AAATGGACTACCATAACGCGGGTGTGTTGACAGAGGAAGTGAAAATCACCTCGTTAATTGGCTTGCAAAAGAAAAACTTCTTTTCAGACGAACCTTGGTGGCTTTTTCGACGGAAATCAGGAGCCTTATGTGATTTGAAAGAGATCACTTTAATGATTTTCAATGTTTACTAAAGAGGTTGCAGTGATTGGAGAGAGGTCACTTTAGTAATTTAAAATGCTTCAATTCATAGGGAAAAGCTCAAAAAAGCTCAGCTCAAATTTGATTCAAAAATCCTTCGATCAACACCGAAAAACGGCCTGTCATGGACGCCGAAAAACGTCGTGTGTCTAAAAATAGGCTCACTAGTACGAAAATGGCAAATTTTCTAACGTGTTGGTTCGCGATTGCGATCGGTTTTTCAGCGCTTTTTCCACTGATAAAGGCCTCTGGCCATGGCGCCGTGGGAAAGTGTCCACCATAATCTTATCACGCTTTTCATTTTTCCTTTTTTTTGAGTGGGATCATTTTATCGGGTTCTGACGTCTCTTTTTGCGTGCTTTTGATGATTTTGTCAGTTATTTTAAAGATTCGGTTCCCAAAAAGTGGACCAGCAGGGGACCTCGTTGACCACATTTGGAATGGCTTAAGGCGACCCGGTCACGGAGCGTCTTCAGTTAACACTTGTTTTGCGCTTTCGGAATGCGCTGAAAGAGTTTTTGTCTAAATAGTTGCTTCGAAAAATTGAGAAGTGGCCACTGGTTGCATTTGGAACGGCTTGACGCGTCGCGACCGCGAAGATTGTAGATAGAATTCATTAGGGAACTGAAAACATTTTTCATCTACAAAAGATGGACCTGAGAACTTTTCGAGCTGTGAGAACTTTGAAATGTTGTTTCCTTGTTTGTTTTTTTATTTTCTTATACCACCCCTAGCAAACATAAATCATTCCGACGACTTTGTTGAAATGAGAAATATTTATCGCGGCAGAAACGATTCGAAAAAGCCTCTATCACTCAGCCGGGGCCTCTTATCGAAAAATTTTTGCATGTGATCGTTCTTTTCTTTTTTTCTTTCTTGCTTTCTCTTTTTTCTTCTTCTGGTACGAAAATGTACATGTTTGTGTACACACAATCACATCGGCAGAGACTCGACTGCCAATCGGCTCGCTGTACAAAATCATAACTACTCCGGTCCGCAGTTATAGTTTTTCTCAGATTTTTTTGGAGGGTTTCCGGGATTTTTTCGACTTTTAGGTTTCCGAGGTGGTGATTCTAGCTCGGCCAGCCCCCTCAAGTGGTCATTTCCTTATAAGAACCTTAAGTATCCCCTTAGTCTCTTGAGTTCCTAGTGATAGTTTTTTTCAGACTCGAATGTGGAAATTCGGCTCGAAACTCTTCACAATATTCCTGCGTTCTCTTCATTTTTCACCGAGTTTTCTCTAACTCTCTCATTTCCTTCAATGCTTCTATTTTTTCCAAATCTTCGGGATCTTTCCTCTTTCCTCCTAAGTTCCAAAAGATCATTCAGAAAGTTGAAAATAACTTTTTGCGCGCAGGTTTTCTTTTTTAGGTTGCCGTGGTAGTTGGAGAGATTCCAGACCACTTCTCATCTTCTGAGAACCTTTTTTCCAATGGCGCCGCTTCAGGGTTTGAACATCTACTGTTCTTTCAAATAAGGTGATTGAATTTGATGTCTAAACCTCTTTCTTTTGAAAACTATTTCGCTCACAGTTCCCTTAGTCAGTGTGAAATGGAATTCATTGTTTTAAGGTATTTTTGAGAATCATGATCTTTGTGAAATTTCTCAAAACAGTACGAAAATTGATAAGAAGCTTCGCTAGACATACATATCGCAGTAAAAAGTGCAAACTTTCGAATGATCAGAACCCGATAATAGTAGGTGGTTTTGTAAGATATGGCAATGATAACGATTTTTATCATCTAGGAGGTTTGAAAAGAGGAAAAACGTAGTAAGTTCATAATTTCTTAGCAACAGTGTTTCAAGCTGTTCATCTTTGACGATTTCGGTATCAACTGGCTTTGATGACTTGGACTATCCGTTTCAAATTGAGCTGTGGACTTTCTCAAAAAACTTTCTGAGCGGTAAAAAGAAAAAAAATAGATCATCTTTCACTTCAAGAAGTTCTTATTCACAATCAGCGCCATCTTTCTCAAAAAAAAAAATCGAAGTTTCGCCACAGAGCGCACTATCCGGACCCAAAACGGCTCCTTACGCAAGTCCAAGAAACGAGAACAATATGCGGAAAAATCGGCCTTGCCAATTAACCTGTGTCAATCCAATAGGGTCCGAAAGACGTGCCGCAACTCAGCGGGCCGTCTTAATTGTGTCATAACACAAGGAAAGTTTTTTGGTGGCCCCTCGCTGCCCGTTAATGAGATGAGCAGCACGAGCCGCCCCGTTATCGCCACCTGGCCATCAGCTACCTGTGCAACCGCCGTCATGGTCGGCAACTTTTTTTCTTCCATTCCTTCGGTAGATTCTGATCTTTCCTTCCAACAACACTAATGGACTGGCGGCGTGGCTTGAGACATTTAAACTTTAACTTGCTCTTACATAAATGGAGAAAAGAGAAGTTCTCTGACATTTGCGCTCCTTGGCTAAAATAAAAATGAACTGTTTTTACTGCTCAAACATCGGTAACGCAAGCTTGACGTTTCTGAGCGTTTTTAGGAAGCACTTAAGAGTTCTGAAACTGCTAAAGTGATTACTAGAAGCGCTTAGAAATGTCCGGGACTTTCTTGAGATGCGAGTGCAGTGCTCGAAAAGGGAAAGTAGAGCCCCAAAGTTTTGAGCTCTTGCGCTCTATTGCGAATTTAAACTTTGATGTTCTCAGATTCTCACAGGACACAAATCATGTCTAAAATGTGACTTTTTTTTCCACAAAATACCTTTTCTGAAAATTAGAAAGCGATCACATATCACATGGAAACCCTCGGAAAGCAATACATGTAATCCAGAAAAAATCCGGCTTTTCTTAGGCTTATAAACTCGAGCTTTCCGTTTTCATCAACTTGATCCGTACAGCTTACTTTTCTTCACAAGAAAATAATATTTTTTTTCCTTTATTTTTTTTGAAAACGGGATAAATTTCGAACAGAACAGCTTGAAAAGGAAAACGTGCAAACATTTTCCTAAGATAGCCGATCTGAGAAGAAATAGCCGCGTTGGGTCGAAATGTTGCGCTCTATCGCTAAATTTGACAGAAGTTGCGCGATTTTCGATCTTTTTAAGCTGCATCGATTGGCTATTAATTACAAGCCTTTCAAACTTGTTTTGAGCCGACCAACATTTTTGTTTTTCCCAACGGAACTTTTCAAAAAAAGATCTGGAGATCCGAGTCATCAACCGACCTGACTCAACCTTGGTCAAAAAGTGCAACCCTTTCCTGTCCTCTTTTCTTTCAAATATCCTCGGCACATGCGCGCGCGACAACACATTTTTTCCTCCCATCACCTCCAAATGTTTTCGCGCGAGAGGATGTAGGCGTGGCCTGCGGGTTACGGTAGCCGAAGGAGTTGCCGCATGTCGACGACAAGCCACGCCTTGGGCCCGAGACCGCTGCCGAATCATTGTCCCCGCCTCTCTTCACGTTTTATGGCCCCTTTTTGCTTGATTTTCCTAGGGTAGCTTAAATTTACGTGTTGCAAAGTTGTCGAAAGGAACTTTTCTGGTTGAAAAATTGCTTTGAAGCTTTGATCTGCTTTGAAAAGCCTTATCACTCGAAAAACTTCGTTTTAGCCTTAGAGCGCGAGTCTTCAGCTTTTGGTGGCCGTTTTTTCATCTGTGATCACCAAATCGCTTCTCTTCATGGTATTTTTTGCTGAATTTTCTTGGATAGTTCAATTTAGATTTTTTTTAGTTTGAATTCGTTGAAAAAGCATTTTTTGTTTGCAAAATGAGATACTTTGACTTTTGTAAGATTGGTAAATCATGTCAAGCTTTTCAACTTGTCTGAGAGGATCTTGTTACTTGAAAGTTCTCAGCTTTTTCGCGGCAATTCTTTCGAATTCGGAGTTCGTTACCCAAAAATGAAAGTCTATCTACAGCTGTTATTTCTTCTGCTGGTTGGAAAACGAGAAATTTGAAAATTATGCAGTTTTTTTAATTTCTTCATATTTTTCCTGATTTTGCCTTTTTTTATTTTTTTGGTTTTGGAATTAATCTAAATTTGAAGACTGTCTTCTTAAAAACATATTTAGATCTCTTCTTAATATTTTTCCTGGAAGCTTCATGAACCGCTCCGCAACACCTCAAGCGTCGCGGTTCTTCTTCGATTCTTGAATGACCCACTTTTTTCGCCTCATTTGGCTGGTTTTCCAATAAAAAAAAATTTGGATCAACCTGAGAAACCGGATAATTACCGTATCTAGTAGAAGAGGCTACACAGGGATCGGAAGTCCAGAAAACGTTTTTGGATCAATAATATCAGTTTTTTGAAATTATTCATGCATTTTTCCGAATTCCGAAAAAAGAGAACTCATTCAGGAGTTTGAAATTATTTTTTCTTTCAAGATCTTATTTGAACTTTTTTTTTAATCTATCTCAACTCGTCAGAGATTCTTTTATAGTTGATTCATCTTTTACTGAGGCAACTTTCCTTCTGTGATTTCAAGAAAAAAGTCTCGGGAATTCCAGAAACTGTGGTTTTTTGAGCTAATCTTGAGTCGACTACGAAAAGCTGGAAGCTTTCGGGAAATCTTTCCATGGAGCCTTTTAGAAACCTCAAAATCATTCATCGTTCCTTGGTTATGTTTCTGTGTTCAGTTTTGCACGTCCCTTTATCTTATTACTACCTTCAGATCAATCTAGAAAGCCCAAATTGTATCTAAAATATAATTGTTTCTTGGAAAATCTCAATTCGATCTCCAGCTGGTACCAGCTCAAAGTCAGCATTGAAAGCTTCTTTCTTCAGTTCACAAATTTCATCCAAAATCCCCTTTTGCACTGGAAACCTCTCTAAATTCGCGTTTCTCATTACCACCTGTGTTGAGTGTATAATGATATATCCACCGTATCAAACGACGACACCGACAATTTTACAGGCGATCGTAAAGCCGTCGGCAACACCAGACACGACGACGGCGATGATGATGATGATGGACCGACCTCGTAAACACCGAGGGGAGGAGCACCGGTCCGAGGGGCGGAGCGCCGTCGCGGAGGACTGCTCCGAGTGTTGCGCAATTTCGACCTTTATACGGCCTTGTCACCTCTTTTTTTGGGTTTTTTATTGAGTTATCCGTTTTCAGAAGCTTTAGAAGTGAGTTTCAGAAGCTTTAAAAGTTTTTACAAACGAGACTTTTTGGACAATTTTTCGATTTGTCAGGCTTTCTGGACCGTTTTGCTACCTTGGTACACCTTTTTTGGCCTTTTTTCCGAGGATAATATTTGATCAGCAGAAAAAATGGCAAAAATTAAGACTTTTTTTTGAATTTATATTCCGAAAAATCGAAATTTTGAAACTTCGACGCGACCGCTACGCGTCGAGCCATTCCAAGTGCTGTCCGAAGTCTAGCCTTAACCGAGTTTTGACTTATTTTTCTTGTTTTTTTTTTCTTATGGGTCATCATTTTCAAAACCCTAAGTTTTCAAAATGCAAGACTAAATAAAAATTCACTCTCAATCTCTCTACTTTCGAAGAAAAAAATTTCAGTCAACCTCGTTTTTCATCAATTCATTCTGAGAAAAAGCTTCTCAGATATTTCACCACCTCAAAAAAACCCTTTTTTTGATGGGTTCCAGAACATTTTGAAAAAGATCTCAAATATGAAAAATAATTGTATCTTTTCGGCACGCAAAGCTTCAAGCTCTCACCACCCTCCCTACAATTTTTTTATATTCTTCTTTCGAAAAAAATTATTATATAGGTGGTAGTTTTGTTTCGACATGATTTCGAAATTTTTATTCGTCTGGGTTTTCTAATAAAATGACGTCACTAATGAAGCTCAATGACATCATTTTTTGAGTTTCTGAATAAAAAATGTTTTTCTTGGAATCTCACCTTATATTTTAGTATTGAAAAGTTACTTTGTCTCTCCCTTTCGATATGACGTCATTTAAAGGGTTTTGATGACGTCAGTGTTTCTAAACTTTTCGATAGTTCTGTTTCAGATTTCTTTTTTTTCGCTCGTATGAGGTATGGTAAACAATTACAACTTTCAAAATTCAAAAAATGACTTCATCAACCTATCACGAGTGACGTCACTTTTTCGAGCTCTTCCCTATCTTTCTCATCCTTATGACGTCATTGTTTAAATTCTAACGAAAAATTGGATCGAAAGCCTAATTTCCCTATCTCATGCTTTAGATTACTACCTTCGCGAACCGTGAAAAGTCGGAACACCCCGATTCATAGAAGCCTAGAAAGGAGAGAAAATTGGCGCGCCAACCCCTGCACGCGAACCTCTCACCTTATCGCTTTCACTGATCTCACCGCCGACTTCCCAAAAATCCACCACGGCGGTCGATCTTCTATTGATTGATTGAGCTTCTCAATCATTTCATTGAAAGCCTTCTTTAATAGTTAATTTTGGTTCAATTTTCGAGCTTTATCCCATATTTCGTTCAAAAATGAAGTCCTTTTTTTTCTCAAAGTGGAATTTTTGAGACCATTATCTTGGCGAGCGGCCCCGATCATATCACCGCCTGAGACTTATTTTTAATTCCAAGCCGATCCTGGAACTTCGAGCTTAACCGTTCAAGCTTTTCTCAAAACAGAGCAACTACGTGACACATCAGATGCCACCTTCTGTAAAGAAGATTCGAACCTCAAACTGCTTGGAAAGTTTTCCAGCGTCAAGCCGAGCGATTACGATGTCCTGAACCACAGTCCCACTTTCAAGCCAGTGGGCTACCTCCGAACTTTTTCTCAAGCTCCACCTTCCAAGCCCGACCTTGAGCTTCTCAGAAAGAAAAGTTCACATTTACGGTGAAGCGGATCCGATCCTACAACTTCATGGACCGTAGTCCCCCTTCTGACCCACCAGGTCACTTCCGAAGTTTTTTTCAAGCTCCAAGCTTCGTGGAGTGAAAAAAAAAAACTGTTTATTGCATCTTCAATGTAAGAATACATGTGCAATCGACTTTCATTGATTTCAACTGTGTTTAAACGGCGGCAGGAGCTGTGGCTTAGGCAGAGAAGTTGTGAATTTCGCTCGTAGAACATCAGGTACAAGAGAGGTCGTAGGAAGAAGTACGGTGCCGGCTTTCCAAAGGCCGATGGCAGAGATTGAGCCGAGCAATTTCGAGCAATTTCACAGTGAAATGTTGAAGTTTATTTTTTGTTGAAGTGGAACTGATCCTAAAAACCACCTGGAGTGTAGTCCTAATTTCAAGCCTAGGCTACCTCTGAACTTTTTCTGAAGCTCCACCTCCGCAGCTTGACCTTTACCCACTCGAAATGGAACGCTGAAGAGTTCACTCTCGTCGGATGGGGGAAAAGGAAAGGAACAGGTTGCAACCAAATCTGCAGCCCATCATCAAACGACGACTTTCGGCGAGAGAATGCCCGATTTCGTGTTGCTTGCTTGTGTTGAAGGAGAGAGACAGGAAGGTGAATTCGGAAATTTTTCCCACTTTCTCTTTTCTCGAGAATCGACCCAAGCTTTTCCTTGATCCTTATTGATTTTTTGGATTATTTTTGTTCGATTTCTTGAGATTTTCTCTCTTGGAACTTCAATGTTGTTTCTTATGGTTGTATGAGCTTGAAATGAATTCTTCAAATTGAACAAGCCTCCAAATTCGTGGAAATTCTTCTAAATTTAATTCTTTAACACTGATATTTTCTTCAAAAGATCTTTTCAGAGTAATTTGGTTGGCTTTTTTTAAAATTGTTTGGTTAAAATGATAGTTCGAAGCTTTAATTATAAAACTCACATCTTTTCAGGATAGGATCTATTCTTTTTAACTCATCTAAATAAATAAGAGTTGTTTTTTCAGCTTCTTAATTAATTTTGAATCCATTTGTAAAAGTATCGTTGATTTTTCTGAATTTTTTCGAAACCTGGTGAATTGCTGTATTCTTAAAAAAGGAAAAAAATTTCGTCTCTCAAGATATTTCTCTTTTTGAACCCCTCAGAAGGAGTGAGCAATTTCTGTAAATTATTCAAAAAATCTGCCAAGTCCACTTTTTTTCCTTTCCATTGACAATACCGTAATCCCCATTCAAATGACGTGATCCCTATTCGGAATTGTTTGTAGCTTTTTTGATTTCAAGCTCGTTGGAAAAACTGGTTTCCTGTGAAGGGTCGGGTTCAATCATCAACTGTTGCTTCGTTGGGTTGGATTTGCCCAAATTTATTGGCTTTTCACGTCATTTTGTTATAAAACCACGTTTTTCGGTTCTTATGAACGTGTTTGATGAATTTTATTGGGAAAAAAGAAAAGTTTTTGTAGGCGCTGTTCGGCCTTAATTAGAAAATTAGAAAACATCCAACTTTAAAGCAAACGATTTGTCTAGCTTTTAATTCATGTACGATTCTAATTGATTTTTTTTCAAAATCAAAAAAAAACCCATATTTTTCATTTTTTTCTAGAATTTTCTTGAAGATGTCAGGCTTTTCAGGGTTTTTTTAGTGTTTCGGGCTCCGATTTTTTTTTTGCTCGATTTTCTGCAAAAAGGGTTAACTGAGCTTCGCATTTTGATTCTCTAGAACTAACCAATATAAAATTTTTTTTGATATTGTTGAGCTCTATCGGAATATTTTCTGGTTTATAGGAGTTTTTGAAAAGAGGAAGCTCCAAAATTCAGAAAAAAAACAACTTTTTCGAAAAAAATTTCTTAAAAGTTTTGACTCCTCTGTATGTTTCTTGAAGGTTTCTAAGGACTTTTACTGTTTTTGGTTCCGATTTTTTTTTTCCAAGCTCTTTGAAAAAGCTCGACTGAGTTATTGTTTTTACGATCTCTATCGTGATTTTTTCCATCTATACAGTACTTTGAAGGAGATCGAATTCCGAAATACAGGAAATTTTGAGTTTTTCCCACTTCGACTGTTGATCAGAATGATCTAATTTTTTCTACTTCCGACTTTTTCGATTTCCGACGACCCCTCGAAAAGCTGAGAGAATCTCATTGCCCATGGCAATTTAACCTTCCGACAGCGGCGTTCTCTCTCTCCCTCTCTTGAACTTCTTACTTCTATAACTCGACGAATCAAATCGAATCGAGAACCGTCCCCCGACCCCGGCCAAACCGGCTTTTCTCGCGCAGCTTTTCCTTTCCTTTCACCTTTTTCCTCATCTTTTTTTCTCTCCCCTCTTTTCATCTTTTTCACTTCTGCTGCCATTGCACGACGTCGTCATCGCGCGCCCTCTCGATCGAGATGACGTCATCTCTTTTTTTTTTTTGGAAAGTCGCGCGGCTGTTTTTTCCCTTTCCACTCGCGCCCTATTCGAATAACTCTTTTTATTGGTTTGCAAAAAAAGTTGATTTGCTCAGGGAGCAGTCAGTTTAGAGTTTCGTGCTGGTTTAAAGGAGCATGGAAGTGTTCCATAAAGGTCTCGAAGCGTTTTTTTTTTCCTTTTTTTTCTGGCAAGCTCGGAACCATTTTTAAGCTTGGATTGGAGAGTATCTCATTTTTTTCTTCAATATTACTGTGAGTAAAACTGATTAGGTGAATATTTCGAGTTCAGTAGGAGTACTAAGTTTTGAGACTTTTTTTGAATGTTTTGCAAATCATCAGTGATCATTTATATCTTTCAAAGCTGCAGCAATAAATATATATACTCGATTCTCCTCGACTCGAAAAACATAGTGGCTAGAGACCTAGCGGCTGCAAAGCGGTATTGTGCCCGACCAAAAACGGTTTGCGTGTTTAGGCGTTTGACAGTGTTTTTTCCAACCGCCACGCGACCATGCCGTTTTGAACCATTCCAAATGCGATCAACAAGTTCTGATGATTATCAAAAGTATGGATCAAACAGAAATTTGGATTTTCGAAATTTTTCAAGTCTTGAAGAAGCCAAAAGAATCACCTCATACATTTTTTTTATATTTTTCGTACCTTTTTGGACGCTTATGCTTCCAAAAAAGGTGTTTCGAAAGCGTGGGAAAAGGGGTCATTTGGGTGTTGATAAATCTCTTCTCCCTGTTCTGTTCTGGATGATTTGTCGCCGCGAGAAGAAGATCGATTCGATCTGTGATTTCCGGGCCTTCCAAGTCCAGGAAAATTTATTTGAGTGGAAAAGCTGAATGTTGCGAACTTCGAACGATCAGGATACGAAAAATGTTCTCCCCTCTTCCTTCTGGAATGTCATCAGAACTGTTGGCGTTTTTTGAAGGTTATATTCAAGTTCCTTCTGGAAATTTTACTCAGCTTTTCCCAGAAGCTGCATTTGAAACTTAAAATTTCTTTAAAGTTGAAACTTTTATGAGGTTTTCAAAATTTTCTCATTCTGACCTTCCAATACTCATTCTGAAAATGTAAAATTTCCAAGCCCTTACTTAAAATATCCATCAACTTCTCCTCAATTTTATTAATATCCAGCGTCTTCTCAAATTCCATCAGCGGTCCCCCAAATAATTTGAACATTTTCAAAGAAATAAATGTTTGAAAAGTTCGAGGACTTCTCTACAAAACCTCTTTTGGTCTATGTACTTTATGAAAATTTTCAAAACTTCGAAACCCATTCGAAAGCCCAAAACTTGTAACCACCTCTTGAAGTGCCCAACATTTCTCGAAGCTTGTAACTTCGGCATTTCTCCACCACCTTATATAACTACCAGAATGAAGCACCACCACCGCCCATGGCATCTCGTCTCATTACAACTCTCGACTCTTACCAACCGTGTTGAAGTGCAGCAGTTCAGGCTTCCTTCTTCTTCACTACTTCCCTTCCTTTCCATTCAAAACTGGAACCGCCGCCGCCGACGCCGACGACGGCGCCACCGCTCTCGTCGTACATCTACACACGTACGCCGCCCTTTTTTTCTCGCCGTGACCTCTGTGACAAGCTTTTCCCTTTTTTTTTTGGTTTGCATGTCTCACGTGGACGGAATTTTGGAGTTAGCCGGTTCTTTTTATTGGTTGATAGAGGATTCCGGCGTTTAATAAGGACAATTTCTTCTACTCAATAGGTCGCCGGATCAATTTCTATCGAGGTTTTTCAGTTTCGCCCTTTTTGCTTGAAGAACTGTTTTGTGAGTTGTAGATTGAAGATCGAAAATTTGCAACGTCCTGTGTGTTTTTATTGCTCAAAAGGTCGCAGGCTCATTTCCTACCGAGATTTTTGCCTTTTTTGTTCGCATCTGCTTCTTTTTTTTTTAAGAACTTTTGTCGGTTCTGGTTTGAAAAGATTAAAATTTCGGCAGAATCCTGATTTTGCTGCTCGAAGGGTTTCTGGATCGATCCCTATAAACGTTTTTTTAATTTTTTACTCTTCCGAGAAATGTTCTTGAGTTTCAAATGTTTTGTCTTTCTTTCTTTTGGAAGATCTCGGAATTCTAACGCTTTAGTCTAGTATTTATCTCGCTCAGAGGGTCTTCGGATCAATTCTCGCCGAGTTTTCAGACTTGCCTTTTTTTCCTGACTTGCTGCCAACAAATTTTTGGTTGGTCCTTGATTTTTCACAATTTTTCATCCTTTCATCTTCTCAATCAGCTCGGAAATGGTCTTTTTTGCCTGACTTTTCTGGGTTCAGACGTTTTTTTTTTCCTTTTTTCCGAAAATTTTTCGCCCTAAAAGTTACAGGATCTTTGATTTTTTTTTGCTCACTCTCTCCGTTTTAATGATCAACTCCAGTTTGGCATTCTGAAATCTTTTCCTTTTCATTTTGATTTTGATTTTCTTGATTTTTACTGAGCGAGTTCTTGTTTAAAAGGTCACAGGATCGATTTCCGCCTAAAATTTTCCAGCTCTTGCTTTTCTTCATCCAGTTTGTCTTTACTCTACTAACCCTAGATAAAACTTCAGAGATTTAACACAGTTTTCCTCATTTTGAAGTGTCTTTTTTTCAACTCAGAGCGTCATGAAATAGTTTCGGAAAAAAATTTTTCAGATTTTTTTCTATTTTTTTTCTTTTTTTGGAAGTGTTTTTCCAGCTCGAATTTTTTTGAGTCCAGCTATGATTCATAGGTGTTTTTCCAATTATTTTCTTGTTTTTTTCAGTGTGTTTTCCAAATCTGAATATATATTTTTCTTAGTTATTTTTGAAATTTATCATTACCTTTGGTCTGGGGAGGGGACATTGAAGTTGTCTGAAAAGGTCACAGGGTCGATTCCAGCCAAGGTCTTCAAATTTTTGCCGGTTTTTCCGAGTCTTCTGAAAACCATCAAAATTTGCTTTCTCATACTCTGGAAGAAAGGCTCCCTGGTTCGACTCCTCTCGCGGTTTTTGCGGTCGAATTCGCCGAAGCTTCTCACCATTCGTTCGGGTGTAATTCCTTTTGTCTGTACTTCGTGCCCCTTGTAAAGCCTTCCTTATTGGCCTTTTTCGCCATTCGTTCTTGCCCCCTCCCCTTTTTGCTTTTCCACTCGAGACCAATATTCATCACTTTCACCTCGTCGCAAAACCGGCTTCAAGTCGAGTGGCCACTTTAGGGCTGTTTTTGAGGCTTCCTCGAGAGTGTATGGTCGTCATCACGTGAGATGATGTTGTTTTCATGGCCGAGGGGCTAGAGATCTTGATCGATGTTCGGGGGGTCGTTGGATCGAGTCTTTATACTGACAAAAACTTCCTTCTCGGCATTTTCATTGAAGAGTTGGATAGACTTTTGCCATTTTTTAAAGCTTTCTTAGTTCTTTTTTTGCGTCTAGACGTTCGATTCCTTTTGATTTTTTTTTTAGCCATTTCTCGTCCGATAAGAAATTATCTTGCAATTTTCCCGCTTCCCTTAAATTTTTTTTCTTGGTTGAAAGGATAGATGACTTGAGAAGGATTTGAAAGTTTTAGGATCGGCTCTCCACAACGTTTTTCTCATTTCTCGTCCGATTTTGATTTTGGCTCTGATCAAATGGCTAAAAATCCCAAACAGCGATCTCTAGGTCGATTTATCGGTTCCTCTTGGCGTTTGGATATATTTTTCGCGTCTTTTTCGTTGTTCCTTAACTTTATCAAAAATATTCATTTAGTTAAGTGGCTAAAGTCTTCTCTCAACAATCAAAAAGTCTTCGGTTCGATCCCTACCGGTGTTCTTGCCAATTTCATTTATTATTCAAAAGTTCGTCTATTAATCTTCCTTTGTTCAATCGCTACCAGTCTAGGATTTTATCTTTCTATGTATTTCTAAAAACTTTATTTCCTATTATATTGTCTCGCTCATTGTTCAACTTGATCCCTTTTGGAGAAAATATCAAAAACAAGCTTTATTCCTTCCTTATTTTTCGCATTTTCATCGTTAATCGCGTCGTGTCGTCAAAACGGTACCCTTTTTCCCTTATCCAGAATTTGTTTTCCAGGTCTTTTTCATTCGAATAATCTGCATTCAAACTGGATTGGTGACGGATAATCGGGCGGGAAAATGAGCACTTTGGGCGAGAGCTTGCAGCTGAAACACGCCCAATTTGCAGAGGTTCTTTTTCTTGTCCTTACAAATTTTTGAAATGAATTTTCAGAATAATTATATGAACCATGGCGGTCATCCTCACATGCAACTGATGCACCCGTGGCAGCAGTCCATGGTTTTTGGGTACAAGGTTCGTTTTTCGGCAATTTTCCTTAGTATTTGCACTTCAAAGAATGTTTGAAGATTACTTTGAGAATGAGAGTGGTTACTTAAGCACTATTCATATTGTTTCGCCCCGAAACCTTATTTGTGAAGAACCTGAAGGGACTAAATCAAGCTCAAAAGATTATTAAGAAAAAATTGACTTTTTCTCTCCAGTCTTCCATTCAAGTGACCGCTGCAATCTCTGTAAAAAAGTGCTGGATTTTAACCTTTTCATTTCAGTTTGTGAGGAGAGAAATTCTTAAAGGACCACTTGACTTTTTCCGCAGAACGGCAGTGAAATGAGTGATGTGAAAACCGATAACTTTAATTTCATCATCCCAGTAGAATCACCGTCTAACCTGTTGCTCTCAAGTTACACACGTTCAAGAGCGAGAGAGAGAACATCGTAAATTTGGGCCCTTTCGAGAAAAACTTCTTCTCGCTTCGTCTGATGATGAAGCTTCAGTTGTTACAACTCCTTCTGATTCCATTGTTCTTTTTCTCGACGCGAGAAAAGAAACAAGCCCATAGCAACAAACAGTCGAATGATGTTCGGCTTATTGCGGCGTGGTTTTTGATTCAAAAAAAGTCTACTCCTCGTTTTCTGAGAATTTACAAAAAAAGGGAAATTTTTGAAGAATCAGTGTGAAAATTATTGATGCTCTCGTACTCCTCGAATTTTGAATGTATATAGAACTAGAAAAAAAAGCCTGGGAACTTTGAAGTGCTCCCTATAGGGACTGTGAAACATTTTGAGCATTGCCTATTGGACCCTAAAACTAAAGCGCCATAAAGTTTTAAAGTTTCAGTTGACCGCTCAGAAAGCATTATAGGGGCCACTGATGTTTTAAACCCTAAGGGGACCTTAAAATTTCCTCCTATAGTGGTCCTAAAAAAGAACGAAATGCTATGGGGACCCTACGCTCTGTAAAGCAATCTGAAGCTTTAGGGTTTTCTTTGACTGCGCTTTGAACCTTTTTTGAACCCCATAGGAACCAAAAAACGCCCCTAGATTGGCCCTTAGAACAGCAAAATCCTATAGAGACCCGATAGAAATTCCTCAGATGTTCGACTTTTTTGAGATAACTTCGAATTTTTTCAAGAACTTTTTCGCCTTGTGAGGAGTGTGCGCCGTCGCACAGCTGGAGAGCTCCTTGAAGGCTATTTTATCACAAGAAAAGACCTTGATAATGATAAATCGCCCAGAAAGTTCGAGAAGAACACGGAAAGTTACCGAGAAAGAATTTCAAAAACACCTGTGAAAAAAAATAAATCTACGACCAAATATCAAGAAAAAAATCTCATTTGATCGCGTCATAAGCTTCTAAATTGCAATTTGAACTGTATAAATGAGCGAGTTCTTTATATTATTATGGAATCAGGAATCAAATTTCAAAATACTAGATTTTTATTTATAGCTCAGTCTCCACGATTTTCTGAAAACAAAAATGATGATTTCTTGTTTTATTTTCATTTTTTTTCCTCGATTTGTTTTTTATCCCAGCAAGGAGCATTTAACATGAGCAATACGGTTATAAGATGAGTAAATTTTATCCAGAGCTCGTGCGGCCTTCAGATTGAAATCGTAACAGATCGAGATTTGATGAAAACATTTCAAAAATTAAAAATAAGGTATAATACCGTTATTCTGCTTTTTCTACTATTATCGGGGCACGACCCTGATTTTCCAAAAAAAAAAAATCGAAAGCATCGAAAAAGTAGAAGATTTTCCGTGTGAAGGCTGTGTTGAGGACCACCCGCTGCGAATTTTTCCTTCCATTTTTTTTCGTCTTGCGTCCCCCAGGTCTTTCTTGATATATTGCGAACGCGCGACACCTTCTTCACATATTTTTCAACACAAAACGTCTGACTTTTGAAATTGAGTACCGTTTTTTATTTTCCACTGAACTCGTGGTTAGATGGCTATGACATTTCGAAAGCCGCTGGTGGGTTTTTTGGAAAATTTTTAAGGATTTTAACAATTTCTGCGGATAGTCATGCTTGCAAAATATCGAAGTGTCGGTCAGTTCTACAAGAAAAGGTCTTGGAACGATAAAGTACATCAATATACGGACTTTTCTGGGGATAACTACTGATTCAGTGTCTGAGATGAAGCCATAACTTTGTCTCTTATTCTATAGTTTTGTTGCTCATCCTATAGCTTTTTTTTGCTATTTCTGGGTTGTCTGTTTGTGACTCAGAACTTGTGAGTAGAAAATAAGTTAGAAACCGTAACCTTCAATTTTCGTTTTGATTTTCGCGTCGGGACCTTTTTGTTGAACTTATCTGGTTTCTTGAGAAGTCATGTTTTTTTCGACTCCAAACCTTTTATAAAATTTCTCAACCTTTTATAAAATTGGCTTAAAATTTCTTTTTTCAAATTTGAAGGCGCAAAAAAATGTGTCTATACGCCCGCAAGGATTTTTGAATAGCTTGAAACACAAAAAAAACTTCCTAAGGGAAACTTCAGTATTTTGCAGAACGGACCCCAGCCTCTGCAGCCGAAACAATCTTCGACGCCCTACACGGATGCGACCAACTGCAAGAAGAGCTCCAATCACATCAAGAGGCCCATGAACGCCTTCATGGTCTGGTCGCAGCTCGAGAGGCGTAAAATCTGCGAGCATCAGCCGGACATGCACAACGCCGAGATCAGCAAGCAGGTAGGAGCTGCTTTCAAACTAGAAGCGGCTCAACGCGTAGTGACGTCATATTCTTCCGAAAATGACGTCATTTTTAGCTTGGATCAAGATGGCGGCAACTGACCGAGGAGCAGAAGGCGCCGTTTGTTGCTGAAGCCGAGAGGCTGAGGATCATGCACATGCAGGTATGAGCTAACATGAGCAATTCTTTATGCGAATGACGTTATGGATCTAAGTTCAGCTAAATTATGACGTCGTGATGATTCCTAAAAAAAAATTGATTTAATTTGAAGCGAATTTCCCGAATGGAGGTGACGCCTTTGAATTTTTTTCAACTACTGAAAAAAGAACATGATTGCAAGCGAAAAATCAAAAATCGTAGCGCAAAACTTGAAGTTTATTAAAATAACGTCATTAATGAGTGAATGTGAGCGATGAAAAATGTTATGACGGTATAATATCCTTCCAGGAGTACCCTGACTACAAGTACAAGCCGAGGAAGAAGCCGAAAAAGAATCCGGACGGTACGATCCAGCAGCCGCCGCCGCCAGTTGGACCGGTCAATTCGGCCGGAACTTCGCCTCCTTCTCCAAGACAGAGGGGCCAGAAAAGGTGTCATTTTAGTGGCATTCCATTCAGTGACTTTAAGAAAACTATATTTTTCGCAAATTTACTTTCGGGATTTCAGACAAATGAACTCGGGGAACAATGGCTCGGAAGAGTCGTATCCGTTGGGCAAGGCGATGAAGGTGAGAAATAGTCGATTCTTAGCCTTTCATGAATTCCTGGGCGGTGCCTATTCTTTAATTTTTTATGTTGTGCTCAAAGTAGTCTAAATGGAAAATTATCTCAGACTCTCCAGGATTTAGAAATCTTTTTCTTTCTTTGACAGCCATTTTGGATTTCGCGGAACATATTGATCGTGTAGAATTCATGATTTTTTTCCAGGTAGAACCGTTGGACCCGATGCCGATGAACAGCATGCACCTGCCGTACATGGCGATGATGCAGGAGGAGATGAAGCCGAAAATCGTTAGTTTGTTGCTACATTTCAAGGCGAAAGCCAGATCGATTCGGTTGCAAGTCTAATTGACTTCATTACTTGGAAAATTTTTATTTGTATGCGCCCGTAATTTTTTTTTTGCTTTTTGACTCTCGGGTGACGGTAAAGAAGGCGCATGCAGGCCGGACTTTCTCGAGTTATGGAGAGGGAAGCAGACATCAGAATTTCATGAAAAAATTCACAAAAAGTGAAAAATCAACAATTTTGTTCATAGGGCGAACTTGTTATTTTTTTTCCCAGGGCTATTCCATCGTTTGAGCATATTTCATTGATCTCACTATCGGTCTTTCGCTTCAACTTGATAGATTCCTAATTTTCTGCACTCTCTTGCTATTTTGATGCATATATGACCTCGCCGTTGAGAGAAAAGAGAGCGCAGAAAAGTCAGTCTTCCACAAATTGTGACGAATAGAGTAAATAAAAAAAGTGTTCCAATTCAAGGACCAACAACAGGCGCGGATGTACCACGGCACGTCGTTTCCGTCGCCTTCTGAATTCGGACACGCCCCCTTGACGCCCGAATCCGGATTCTACGACGACTTCTACGCCGCCAACTTTCATCATCACGCGCCGAGCCCGTCGAATCAGCCGCTGAGAATGGTGGGTAACATGAGCAATGTGGTGCACTTTCGCCCGACCTAATGTGGCTCACGCGACGAAGCCTTTCTCAGTGTGGTTTTTTTTGCTGCAAAAATTTAATATTTTTCGAGTATCGTACTGAAGAATTTATCGATCAAAAAGGGTGAAAACATCTTAAAGCTAAATTTGAATATGTGCTCAGAAAGAGCCTAGGAAACCAGTGAAAAGACTTTTTACGGCTCAAAACAACGCAAATTGGATCAATATGAGCCAAAAATAAAAACTTTGATGAAACTTCGAATTTTTTCCTGGCATTCAGCTTTTCTTTTTTTGAATATATTCATTCAAGCCGCCAATGGACGTCAGTGTCATGCAGCAGTTCGCTCATCAGCACCCGTTCTACGTCCATACGTCACCTCCTTCCTCCGCCCATGACCAGGTGATTAATTCACTAATCAACAGGTACCGAAAAACCGGCAAAAAATGTTAAATTCGACAAGAGAAATGTTTTTCAAGCAACTTTCGCGCTTTTTTTGGTGTATTCAAGAATCCCGAACGCACTTAAATGGGCTAAACGGTTTGTAGGTTCGGAACTTCTTTGTTTGAACTCTTTTTTTAAAGTCTCCAAAGGCATAGATGATCATAGCGGCTCAAATCCCAATTTCGAAAAATGAAATTTTAGATTTAAAGATCTTAATTTTTTACAATTCATATCATTAAAATCTGAGGTTCGAGCAGGTTTTCCCTTTTGAGAACCTACATTAGGACCTTAAAAGAGTTTAACGAGAACGCTTTGACCCATTCTAGATGCGGCCAGAATAATGAAGTTCTTCATTCCTCAGACTTTGAAAAAATAAAAATAAAAACAAGCTTCAGGACGACATGAGGTCGATGTCGTCAGGCTCCTCGTCGGGTTACGGTAGCGTGCCTTCCGAAGTCTGCGACGCCTTCCACGCTGGTCAACAACAACAGCAACAGCAACAACAACAGCAGCAACAGCAGCAGCAGCAGCAGCAACAACAACAGCAAGGAGGACAAGGCCAAGGCCAAGGACATCAGAACGGTCCGCCGTCGACGTCGTCCTCCGTGGAGAACGAGCTTCTGCCGTCGATCGTCGACTTCCGGTTCGCCTCGGCGTTGAACGCCTCCAACGGCTGGAGCGACATGTGGCAGAGCCAAGTACTCGGCAATCCACAAGCCTTCGATCAGATCCCAATTTGATAAAAGTTTTCTCATTGATTCTGAGGGTAGGCATCAGGGAGAGAAGGAAATCGGAAAGTTTTCCGGAGTCTAGAGAAAGTCTCGAAGACTTTCAGAAGTAAGGATTGTGTTTTTAAAGCCGTTGATAATTACTAGTTTACTCAGAAACATAAAAAGATTTTTTTTTACGTCTATAAGCCTTCTCCGAAGCTTGACAGAAAGGTTTCATGAATAGTTCAAATCACAAACCATTTTTCGAACGTCAAACGTTCTCAGATTGAGAAGATTTTAGAACCTTTTTTATTCATGACGTCATCCAGATAACTTTTGCACAAAAACTTTCTACCTGTGACCTTTTTAGAACTTCAAAGACTTCCAATGACGTCATAACTAATTTTCGAAACCTTTGAAGACTACTTTTCCTTTGAACTTCACCTAAAACAATTTCTGAAGTAATGACGTCATCAAAATTACCTTCTTCTACCTGAAAGCCAATTCTCAAGTCAAAGAAAACCGTTGTGTGATTTTTTTTCGAGACTTTTGATTGAATATTTTTCTGGGCGGAGCTTCAAAAGTGACGTCATCCAAAATATTAATTCAATCGTCGATCCCTATAATATCTCCTCGTTAGCTTTTCTTTCTGTACAAATTTCGTCACCTTTCCAAATTAAAGTCGCTCTCTAACCTGAGCAACACCTGAGAAACGCGCGCGGAAAATTAGCCACCCCGGTTTGTTTTTCAGCATAATTTTGCTGTTTTTCTTTTTTTTTCGATGAAACTGACCTCGAATTATTCTTGATTTTGATGATAAACTAGTAGCCCCGCCCCTTTTGAGCTTTATACCGTACACCTTTTCTTTCATACCGTAACCCAGCCGCCAGATACTCCCATTACAATTTGACTTTCAAATCTTTCAAACCAACCCCCAATCTCAGCACATTTTTCTTTCTTTCTGTATACCCTCTCTTCATATCTTTCCTAGAGTATCCCTAAATTCACAGTATTTGATTCTACAGTATTCCGACCGTACAGTATCCAAAGTATTACCGTATATATCTGTTTTGACATTTTTCCCACCCAGTCCTTGCCGATTGCTTTGCACGCAATTGTTTGAGATTTTTCTAAAGTCCATTTTTTTATTCATTGAATATATTTATGAGATAGAGATTGTTCATTTTTTTACTGTTTTTTTGAAAAAAAGATGGAAATTATCGATTCTATTAATAAATACTATAACGAATACTTTTATTTTCTCATCGAAAGTTTAAAAAAATGGAAGCTTTTGGATGAAGCTAAATCGACCAATATCCTTCATCATTGGAAAGCTAACGACAAGAAGAACCAAATGACAAAATTAGTTTCTCTCTAGCTTCGGAATGAACAGAGTTATGAAGCTCGTAATTCCATAAAATAGCTGCTTTTTGGACCTATTATTTCATCTAAATCTTGAGCTTTTCCTTCGAAACGGAATATATTGAAATACTAAATAGAGGCCGCTCTATACAGTAAGAATAATTTGGGAAAGACGAAATTTTTCAAGCTTCTCCTTTTTTCGCAAGGGAAGCACACCGATTCAGGCCTCAGTCAAGCACTTGACCCGACGTGCAATTCGATTTGTCTCGTTGTCAGTTTCAGAATTATAGAGCTTATCAACAGATTGAGCTTCACTCAGGAGCTTCAGACTTGCTTCTGTCGACTTTTTTAGCAATCAACTTTTGATAACAGCAGTGAATGAACTATATCACTGGAATTATCTCAAGGAGTTCTATCGATTGATTACGATATCACTCGGTGTGAGGGAAAAGCTGAGATGCAAGCTGGGAAACGTCAATCAGTTAATCAAAAACCTTGAAGTCGTATATCATTGGAAAGCTGATAAAAAGACAATCGGTTGATATAATCCTTTTCTCTGAAGGTTAAAAAGGAAAGAAGTTTTGGAAGTGCTATTTTTTCTAAAATTTTACGACGCAATTTTTGATTTTTCCCTCGAAACTGATATGATAAAAGTACTCTATAGAAGCTGCTCAATTACAGTAGAAAAAACTTGAAAAAGGCGAATATTTATGAGATTTTCCTTTTTCGCAAAAAAGCATGCCGATTTGGGCCGCAGAAAAGCACTTGATCTGCCCAACTTCAGAAAATATATTTGACGGGAAAAATAATTTTCAAAAACGCTTCGAAAGCTTATACCTCGGCTCTGAAAGCCTTCCAAGAACTAAGATAAAACTCATTTTCTTCCACTAACAAAGCCTATTCGAATTTTTAATGACCATTTTTTAGAATAGAATTCACATTTTGAAAGATTTGTTTGTCTTTTTTTTCCTAATGGAAGCAGACGCAACGTTTGTTTCTTTCTCGCAGAATATAAAGTTGCCTGAAACGGAAGTGTATTCCATCTCAACCTTGAATGGGGCAACCAGCTGGCAGCCACCTGCCTCAAAATGATCGTGGAAGCGAGACTTTCGATTCCCTCAAGAGTCTCGAGGTATTCGCGGTATTTTTATCTTGAAATTCCAATTTTCTCACTTATTCATTCAAAAGTCTCTTCAAAAAACTTGAAATGCACTGCGAGACCTCCAGCGAAGGTAATTAACGCCTGGCGAAGAAAAAGAAAAAGCGGAACGGACGTTCCGACAAAGATTTCCCGGTTTGATAAGACTTTTTGTCCTTTTTCGGCAACAAACACGTTGGAAACTTGAAGAAGAATTGGTAGTTTGAATTTCAGAGAAAAATAATAAGAAAAATATCTCTTGGAATCTTTTTTTCCAAATTATGAACTGCTCATCGAAAAAAACGCCCAAAAATCAGATAAAGCAAAAATCAATACATCTATCAAGAGAGATTTAATTGCGCTTGGAAATTTCAGGAATTGATAGGAAGATATCTAGAAAAAAAGAAAAATTTTCTAATTTTAATAATTTTGCATGGTATAACTGTGGAACCATCGTTAGACTTCAGACCCTTCGGTAGACTACTGGCCTTGTCGCGATACCCCTGCCCCGATTCGTGTGTATATGAACTTCTCAAAACACGTCGGCAACTCAAAGAATCCAGTGAATTTGGTCGTTCTATACAAAAAATAAATGTTTAGCTTGTTGATTTCACAAACCTTGTGCTGAGCTGAACTTAAAGAAACTCCCAACTGAAACTTATAGTTTTATTTTCTTACCAACAAGTATTTTCAAACAGATTTTAGTTGCTCAAAGTTCACCACTGCCCTCGAAATGATCTATTTTTTCAACACAAAAAACAACCTTGGCTTAACAGGAAAGTTAATCGTCCACTTCTATGTTTCAAGGCCTGAGGAGATTTTTTTTTTCCACCGTTTTTCATGTCGAGATAAAAATCGGAAACACGCGCCGACGGTCGTTTATCTGTCGCCTTTTTGGGTGGGCGCGCGCGACGGCGGAGATTTTTTGCCCTGATCAAAAGTTTGTGATTCTGAAAAGCAAATTGCTAAACGTAGGGACGCAAAGTTAGATTTACAGCCTAAAAATAAGCTTAAAAATTGAGAAAACGGAAGAATTGAAAACTAAAACCATCTTTTCTCTGAAAAAGATTTGAATAAACTTACAATTAAAAAGTACTTTACATTGAAAAAAAAAAACGAAGAAAGCGAGAGAGCACGAATATTTCGGAGGCCTCTATAACAGCATAGTGCCTGATGTCTCCACTTTCTCCACGGCCTTTTTTCGTTCTGAACTGCTGGAAAAAGGAAACGGAAGCCTTTTTAATTTTAAATACTCGGAAGCTCTTCGAAGAACTGAAAAAAAGGCAAAAAGCCAAAATATTAAAAACTTTAGTTAACACTATTTACATATTGAAAAACAACAAGATTTTGAAATCTCGATCAAAAAAAAAAGTGAGAATTACAAGTGAACAAGTAATTAAAAATGATAGTTATACATCAAAACTAATAGGATTAAAAAATGTACAAGAAAAAAATTATATAAAAAAATGCGATACAATTTCAAAAACTCTACAGAGAAAAACAATAGCAGAACCAAGTTAAGTTAGAAACCTAGAAAAATAAAATATCATGAAATGAAAATGGCAGTGAACAGTGTTACTACACAAATTTAAAAAAAAAGAGAAAATATGCCTTAGAAAAAATAGCCCCGAAAAATGTGAAAAAAGCGCTCCATGGACAACTTTTCTCTCTACGTAATCAAAGCTCATGATTCATGGATGATAAATACATATTCCTAGCTCCTACGCTTCATTTATACATAATCAGGCCATTTTCCGGCAAAAATTATCTTGAGAAAAAAAATAGGCGAGAAAAGTAGGATTTGTGTAGTAGTTTAATGAGAACTATGTATTATCCATAGAAAACTTAAAAGATGCTATTTCTTCTTTTTGAAACTCGGTTTGAGGGAAAAAAAATCTCTCAAAAAAAGTGCCTTGGACATTCATATTTTTCCTTATTAAAACCAGAATTTGAACTCAACAAGTTCCGAAAAGTTCAATCAATGCAGATATTAGCCATAGAGCGCAAAACTGAGACGAAATTTTCCAAGGCCTTATTTCCCTCGGTTTCTGTAATATATACCCCAAATCAACATGAAAATCTTCGAAAATCTAGAACAATCAGTTCGGAAGAGCCTTGACGTGCTCGAGAAGCTTGTCGCACATCTTCTTGGCATCTCCGAGGAGCATCGAAGTGTTTTCGTTGAAGAACACCGGATTATCCACTGCGGCGTATCCCGTCCCCAATGTTCGTTTCATTATCACGACCTGTACTTTTTTTATTTAGTTGATAGATCATTGCATTATGAGTTATTGGCTCCGCCCACTTTTCTGTGCTTTCATTGAAATACCGTGCACTTATTGCACCGAATATTTGAATAGATGAAATGTTATTACAGCTGAGAAAGACTTCTCTGTCAACTAAATATTCCATTTACTTGTTTAAACTTGGAAATCTAGCACCGCCCATTTTCCTGTGCGCAAATGAAGTTAACCGAACCTTATCCACTGAAAAATGAAAAAAAAAACATAGCTCCGCCCATTTTTCTTTGCTTTCTCGTAAATAAACCGTGCAACCTTCACCATTTCATTTTTTTTTTACAAATTGAAAACTCAAGCACAAAAGTTTCAATCAAAACGCCAGAAAGGAAATAGTAATTCAAAAAATATACTCCCTTTCATTTCTAACGGAAAAATGACCGCATTTGGAATGAGTCTGCTTTTTGCGACTGCAAAGCGTTTTCTTCTTTGTTTTCTAACTGTCCTTGGCCGAGGAACGGCTCTCGCGATGTAGCATTCGACACTTTGAACTCAAATTTCAAACTTTAGTCGCAACGCAACCGCTACGCGTTCAGCCATTAGTTGCGACCGTGAGAGATTTTGAATTTTTTTCAAAAATCAACTTCGAAGACGCTACGAGACATTCACAAAATAAACTTTAAAAAGTTGAATAAAGCTAAATTTCCAATTTTTAACACTTTCCTTTAAAAAGTTTTTAAAAAAACGAACATTTTTGGCGTTCCAAACCCTGAGGACGGGCATTCCAGCGATCGAACTATTCGGATCATCTTCGGCCGCCGAGTTTACTGTATCGTTGGCTCCTGAATCCTCCCCTTTTTCTTTCCATTTCCTGCGAGTTTCAGACCAATCACAAGCGCGACGTCGGTCTCGCCGAAATCTTGATTGATCTCATCCATTTCTTCAACGATATCGTAAGGGACACCGGCTTCCGCGAGTAAAACGTTCAATTGTCCCGGCATGCGGCCTAAAATTCGAGCCAAAAATGTTCAAATATGTACTGAGTTGGCATTTCAAACGAGTATTTTTATGACCATTAAAGTTAAAAAATGTCTAGAGTCTCAAAATATTGACTTTTGTCGCTTCACTCAGAACTTTCTTTTTTTAATCGGAAGAGGAGTTGAACATTTGGAAACTATAAATTCAAAAAGAAGTCAAAATTTTACAGCTTCACAGCGCTTTTAATTTCGTCTTCTTTCAGAATTTATTTTCACAATTTAATACTTTGGGGAATACTTTCTAATTTTTAGAACATTTTTCCATTATTTTTTAATGTTTTTTTTTTTCACACTTCTCCCACCAGCAACAGGATGAATAGCGAATCGAACACGGACGCCTCGTTCCTGGAGACTTTTGACGAGTTGGGCGATCGGGTACTGTGCTTGGGCCGCGCAAAGACCGTATCCCGGTACGATGATCACGCTCTTCGCCGTTGACAGCATTTCTACCGTCTAAAATCTTTTTTTGGTTGATTCCTCCTTTCTTCTTTCTGAACTGCTAAAGAAGTTTTGAATCGTTTCTTAATGAGAAATTTTTGGGAAAAAGGTCCCTTAAAAGTAAAATGATATGATTGTTCTTTCGGAATAATGGAAAAAGAAAAAAATATCAATAAAATGAAATTCTGGAACAGCGAACTATATGAAAAAAATACTGTATTTTTCCAGAAAAAAATTTTTTTTGAGATAAAACTGTGAATAAATCCTAATTATAATACGCAAGAAGTTGAAATTTGTTGTAACTCAGAGGTTAAAAAAGGTAATGGTTACTTGAAAGCTTTTCCATTGTATTTCCCCTGAAATTCATAGCTTTCAGTGATCTTTTTTGAAGGGATTATATAATGTTATTACCTTATTAGCACTGATTTCCGTCGCAGTTCCCTCGATCGCCTTGGCTTGCCCGCCCCCTTGGGATTTCGTCCCGACTCCTCCAAGAATCACATTGATGAGGGATCGGTTCATAGCCTGGAACTCCCTTTTTTATCCTGACAAAAAATCCAACAAAAGTTAGCCTAGTTCTCTAAATGATGACGATTGATTTGGAATACCAGTCTACAAGAAATCAATGCTTTATCGTTTGAAGATTTCCTTTTGAACGAATCGTTTTTTTGGCAGCCATGACTTCGATTCCCAGTCCGCGTTCTTATTTTCCAAAAATTGTTTATGTAAAAATTAATTTTGGATCTTTTTAGATTTGTAGGCCGCGGTCTTTTTTCCAAAGAATTTTTTTAGAGACATGAATACTTTCAAGCATTCTCGTTTCAAATACTCTCCACTAATTCGGGTCGAAAAACTTCGTCTTTTGATTAAAAGCCGGTTTGAAGAAACTCCATCCTTTCCCAAACCCCACCTTGCACATGATATGCGAAAGAATCGCTCCGGAGCTTCCAATCAAGGCTCCGACGATTGTCAGGAGATTATTATTCAACATGAAGCCTTCGGCGCAGAGAGCCCAGCCGCTGTACGAGTTGAGGACCGTGATCACCACCGGCATGTCAGCTCCTTTAGAATAATTGAACGGTTTTCCGTCGGAGCCGGAGTTTATCAACCTCCGATCGCCATGGTCAACGTGACGCCCATGACGCTGGAGAGACCGGCCGTCGTTCCGAGCATCCCGAGGCCTGTCGCGTAGTCCTGGGAGGACATGTAGACGCCCAGGGCGCCTAGGTTGCCCGCAAGAAGCCCGCCGTTGATCAGATGACGTCCAGGCAGGAACGTCGCCTTCGAGCCGAGGATCCCTGAATATACAGATCGAAAAACTGCAAAAACTTTCGAATTCCACATTTCAGTTTGGATTTCTAGCCAATGATCAAACTTTTCAAAAAAAAAATTCCAAGGAGATTTGAAAATTTTGAAAAATTCATTTCTCCCGATTTTAATGATAAACATTTAACAAAAAATTATAATTTTAGAAGGTCGAATTTTCCAAATTTCTCTCAATTTGTATTTTCAGTCCTCCCCAACCTTGCAACTTTCCATACGCCATCAAACTTCCCGTGAACGTGACTCCGCCAATGTATGCTCCAAGGAACAAAGCGGTTTTTGTGGCCGCCGATCCTGTAAACCGGAGCTTTTTTGTTGAAAATATGAAAATGAGTGATTAACCACTGGGATCAGTAAGAAAATGCGGATGTTCGACCATATAGTTCGCCAAACAAGTCAGAGTGGCAGCCAAGCCAACAAAAGAATGGAAGGCGGCGACAAGTTGGGGCAGGTCGGTTACCTAGAAATTATAGGAACTCGAAAAAAACAGGTGAATCTCATTAACCTTGATTTTCTGGGCAATGATCATACCAATAACCGAGCCAAGAGTCACTGCGCCGCCCATCTGAAAAACATATTTTCGGCTTTGAAGCCATTTTTTGAGCTCCATTGAGAATCCGACTTCACTGTAACTTTCTTCGATTTCTTCCTAATTATTCAAATATTTAAATTACTCCTAATACCATTTTTTCGAAACAAACTCGCTCCATCGACAATTTTCATTTCAATGTTTTCATAACCGAAATCACAAAGAAGTTATCGATTCTGGGACTTGGCCCATTTTCTAATTCCAAACGCGCTTTCTTGATGATGATTCTTACCTGAGTTTTTTAGGCCAAACTACGAAAATCCCAAAGAAATATTGATCTCAATCATTATTTTTCAATCAAATTCTAGAGCTAAACTACGAAAGTTTCTTATCGAAAACCATGAAAAATTTAGAGTGAAATTTCCTAAATTCTGAACAAAAACTAAAAGAAAAAGAAATTTCTCACGGAAAATTTATCAAAACTGAGATTTCGAACATTTAGAGACCTGAATCAAGGTATTCGAATCCGGATTCAGAATTCCTAGCGTTGCCGCAAGTCCGCCAACCACTCCAGTCATTCCTAAAATTCTTCGTTTTCTGTTGGTAATATGTGGAAAAATATAGCCATGAAACAACTGTGTTATGCACTACAGGGATGATTTCGCAAGAAAGTTAAAAAATCCATTTTTTTTTTTTTGAAAAGAAGCTCATAAAAAGGGAAATATATGCAGCAGCGAACTAAATTTCAAACATAAAACACACAATTCGTCCATTTTCTGCTATTTCAAACCTAGCGCGTTTCCTACTCTCGCCGTTTTCTGTGTAGAAAGACCAGCCAAGGCGCCGACGCAGCATAGAGAGGAGCCAAGATAGGCCAAGGAATGGACCGATGGAGCTCCCTATAAACCTTCTAGGTCGCATTTGGAATTGCTTTGCGAAAAAGAAGTCAATGAAATACGCACAATTTGCAAGCCATAGGCGTATCCACCAAGAAAAACTGTCGCCGGGATCGCATACAGGAAATTATACTCTGGTGGGTCGTCTGAATAATTTTCTGATCTTAATAAACAGGAAAAAACGTGGTCTCATTTGGAACGGCTCAAAGCGTCGCGGTTAAAGGTTCGAGTCTGTCAAAAAAGCTTCTTGATGTCCTACGCGCAAGTCGTTTCAAGTCGGGTGAGCCATTCCAAACGCGACCATGAGTCATTTTTCATCAAACCTTTCCTCTTGAACATGTCCAACATCCTTTTGGTAACCAGAAATCCTCCTCCGATATTGATCGAAGAAATAAAAGCTGCGGATAGAGCCAGAGTTTGGGCTGGGCTAGCAGGTACAAGGCCACCTATGAAATTGAGATTCTTCCATTTTCTCATCACAAATGAACAATTTCTGAGGTCATCCAACAAAACTCGAGTGAATCTGACTTGTCTGCGCACTCTTTTCTCTCATCGAGGAGGTCAGAAGGGTACGGAAAGAGCAAGTAATTACGAGAGGCGCAGACAAGTCAGTTCCAAATTTGACAGGTGAACTATGTCACGCGCCAGAGCGTCTTTCTAGGTCGTGTTTTCTCTTTTTTTTTTTGGTCACATTCATGGTAATTCCAATTTTATCACCTCCCATCAGACACAAGGCGCCGGCGGCCGTAGTTCCAGAAATGGCGTTGGTGACGCTCATCAGAGGGGAGTGAAGAGCCGGAGTGACGCCCCAAACCGTGTGATATCCTGCAAAAGGCCAAATGAACTCCTTCGAGGAATTCTTCAATCAGATTTCTCAATCAACTCTAAAATTGTTTAAAGCAATCCTAACAAGAAGAAAATATTAATTAAAACTCGATCCATTCCTGAAAAAGAAAAAATTAAAATTCGACTGCATTTTTCAGACCTTGGAAACTGAAAAAAGCCGCGTTCTCAGAGACAAGCTCGAAAAACACCTCCGAGGGTTAAAAATATCGAAAATTCGCTTAAACTCTACTTATGAGATCAAAGGACCGATGCTAATTTGCAAAAAGTTGACCTCTTCAAATTTCATGGCTTGAATTCATGAAATCTTGAGCTATTTCCATTTTATTGACCTTCTATTGAATAACCATTGAAGGATCTTTCCAATTCTCTCAAAACCCACCAACGATACCGGCCAAGGCGAAAGTCGTTGACATATTGGCAAATTGCAAATTCGGGCAGGTCAATCCCAGCAAAGTCAAAGTTCCAAGACCTTAAAAAGTTGAATCAGTCAACTTCTTGAGCTAAAACCGACCAGAAGTCAAAGCCAAAGCATTTTTGGACGTAATTTGGAGGGGTGTGAGTGGCGCTTCAGCTTTTTGTTGAATTTTTTGGTCGACCTGTAAAAATACATTTCTTCTTTCAAAGCTTATAAGGGTTCACCGCTCATTGTATTGAAAAGGTGCTCTAGAAAAAAATTCCGTAAATTTTTTTTTCAACTTTCAGGAGAGTTCGAAGTTTTTTTATATCCGAAAGATTGCTCATTTTAGCCAGAAATCTCTCATAAATACCCACTTTTGCTGCTTTGACTGGCGGCGGGTGTTGAATCGTCGGTGGGGGCCATGTAAGCTCACCATTGTGAAGGACGAGGGCTCCTCGTGTTACCTAAACTTTTAACTGTTTTTGAACCTTTTTTCGAAAATATTTCAACCTCGTCATCTAGATTGATACTGAAATTGTCTTTTTCGCCCAAGGAGAGAAGGAATTTGGCGATATTGTTGGCGTAGAGAGTGCTGCTTTGAGTCGGCAATCTGAACAACAAAAAACATTTTTCATCTTTCTGCTCCAGTTTCACGAATAAAACAAAAAATATGTTCAAATATTGAATTCCAAGTCATGGCTGAAGCTCCGCCCCCGATGACATCCTTAGAGCTTTTTCAAACGACGTCATTGTACTTGACATACAAAATCTGAAGAGAATATTCTACTTTTATTGGCTTCTTGCCTTTTAGTACCGTTAACTTTCAAAAGTGACGATACCTTCCTAAAAAATAAGAAAAAGAGTTATTTTCACAATGAATAACTATTGTGAACAGGGTGACAGAATAAAAAAGATTTCAAACACAAAAGTACCGTATCTCAAAAAAATTGTACAGTAACCCAAGTTGGTTTGTACTGGAAAAGTTTCTAAAATTGCATTACCTATCGATTGATGAATTATTCGTCTGGAAAGAAACTCATCAATACTTAGATAAGCAGGTGACCACATCACTACCGTAACCCGGTTACAGTAAGAGGAAATGGCTCAAAAAGTTGCGTCTGCATTTTTGATAATGGGCTATCACACTGGATGAAGTTTCAAAAATCAAAGAAAAATTTTTGTTTGTGACTTGATTTTTAGAAATAGAGAGACAGCGAGTTTATCCACTAAAAAAACGAACGGTTTCTAGCTTCAAACCTTAATATTTTTAGGTACATCCAATCCTGACCTGGAAGGAAGATCGGTGTAGCCAATATGAGTAACGCCGTGCTGAATGTGGCACTGGCCGGGTTTCGTCGTGGCGATGTTGCCGCCAGACTCGGCGGCGAGATCAACGACAACACTGCCCGGCTTCATCGACTTGATCATCTCCTCGGTGATCAGCACCGGCGCCTTCTTGCCAGGGATCAACGCCGTAGAGATGACGATGTCGACGTCTTTGCATTGGGCGGCGAAAAGAGCCATTTCGGCCTGAAAAGCCGGGACTTTTCCAAGGTTAAAGAGCGAGCTTTTTAAAAGCGCAGAACGCATAAAAAGCCTTGCTGAAAGCGAAGATTCTTTTCAGAAGTTTTTTTTGGCGATCAAGACTTCTGCTCCTTTAAAACTCTATCAATAAATTCTGAAACACCACTCTTTTTTATAATTTTTTTTTGGAAAAATAGGCCATCTACTCTCTGAAAATGATTTTTTCTATCAATCTAACCGTAGCTTGTGATCGATTAATTTTTTTTTTTTGGGAAACTAGGCCGCCTCCGTCTCATTTGAGATTAGGCATGGCTTCAGCGCCTTTGAAAAATCTTGAAAAACGCCCTTTTACCTCGATGAACTCCTTGCTCATCTCCTTGGCGTACCCACCGCCACCTTCGCCTTCCTCCTTGATGTCGACGGTCAGAAACTCGGCTCCCAGAGACTGGATTTGATCTTTCACAGCGGATCTGGTGTCAAAACCGCGGACGATGGCGCCCTAGAAACGGCAAAAACTTCATAATCTCCAAAGGAAAAAGTTATGAAATCCTGTCTAGTGTCTCAGAAAATTTGAAATTAGGGTGGCCTAAAAGAATATATATGAGGAAACAAGCTCCCAACGACATTTTATAGCGGCCAATTTATTAAGTGAAACAAGTCTGTCTTTTCAGGGAAAACAGAAGTTATTTCTTATGCAAATATGAGAAAGCTTCCTTTCAGAGAAACTCACTCTCAAGATATTTAACAGAATTTTTCCGATTTCAAACTCACCATTCCTCTGGCGGTTCCTATTGCACTAAGTCCAGCCACACCACCTCCAATGACAAGAACTTTTGCCGGCGGCACCTTCAAAAACCATTAATCATTCTTCGAATATATACATCACAAACACTATTTTTTAGAAAATCTCATTATCTCTAAATAATTTACGATTAAATTGGAATCTTCATTTTTCGAGAAACATGTCCAATCGGCTCATAATGCTACTTTTTCAAACCTTTCCGGCGGCCGTGATTTGGCCGGTGAAAAACCGTCCGAAGTGATGGGCCGCTTCGACGACAGCCCGATACCCAGCAATGTTGGCCATCGAGGAGAGAGCGTCAAAAACCTAATTCCTCTCTTTTTCTTCGCTTTTCCATAAGATCGAACTTGAGCCCGACTGATCCTCGGCACGCAGTCCATGGCCAGAACGGTCAATTTCCGATTGGCCAGGTCATTTAGCAAATCTTTGTTGGTGGCTGGCTGGACGAAGGAAATAAGGGTGGCTCCTTCTCGGATTCGAGCAATTTCAGAAGAAGATGGGGCTCGGACCTAGGAAAGAGTTATTATGAGAAGAAAAATTTGCTAAAATGCTCGAGGAAGGGAAAAAATAGCCTACGAAAATTGAAAGGAGTTAAAAACTTAGGAAAATGGTCGAAATCAGAAGAAAATGGGTATTAAACAAATCGAAATAGAATATTAACGTTGAAAAAACTTAAAAGTATGCCTTGAAAAAAGGTTTTAAAAATGAGTCAGAAGTTGAAAAATCCGCTAGAATAATGTGAAGACTTTCATGAAAGAAATAATCCCGAAAAAAAACCGAATATTCTTTATTTGTCTGATTCGCCAAAAATGATGAAAAACTGTCAAGTTCGGAACCTTCAACAAGACGTCGGAGTTGAAAATTTCTGAGCTCGGCGCGATTTTTGCGCCACTTTTCAAATAATCATCGTTATTCCAGCCCGCCGCTGTCCCGGCGTTCTCTTCCACCTTAGAAAATTGATTTTTCATTCGATCAATAAGTTTTTTGGAACTTACCTTAACATTCAGACCTTTTGAAACTAATAAAGCCACAGCGGCCGGACTCAAGGCGACCCTTCTTTCGCCTGGAAAATTTCAATTCTCACAAATTTTTTTGCAAATTTGAAAAAAGCTTTTTCATTGTTATCTCAAAAAAAAAAAATGAAAAAAAAAATCATATATATCAAACTTAAAAAAAGCGCGTTCCTATAAAAGAAGCTCATCATTTTTCAATTTTGCATTTCACTCAAAAAAATTTGATTCATTCACAAAAAAACTTGGAACTATTTCTCCATAGAGCAAACTTGCTTCACAAAAAAAAACCTTCAAAAGTTTCTTTCGCCGCCGCAACTGTTAACTGATTATACGGGACTCCTGTTGGTTTAGTGCAGTAAAAATCTGAAAAAAATTCAACATTTATCATTTCAATCTTGAAAAAGACAAAAAATACCTAAAATAAATAAAATGTTTCCGGGCTAGCAGCAGTTTCAATCGTGTCATTGCACAGGGAACTGAAAAAAAAGATACTTACTGCTGAACGTCGAAGAGAAAGAATCGAAACAAAATCTAATTAGAACCTGAAAACAAGGAAGGAGAAGTGGATTTTTTTGATCAAACATCATGAGAAAAACATTGCAAGTAGAAAGTTCAAAAAAATCATTATTCGAAAAATAAATTCAGAAAGGGTATTTTTATTTCTTCCTTAAAGAAAATATGAATTTGAACAGCAATAAATCAAAGTTTCTTGTCTTGACAAGAAAAAAAGCGATCAAAAAGCGGGTAGAGAAGAATTTGGCCAACAAACAAACAAGCACGTGAGGGGCGTGTGCGCGGAACAACATTTCTCTTTTGGAACAAAAACCAAGGAACTTTTTTTTTAATTCATTCAAATCAGTGAACCTCCTGAAAAACTTCCAATAAATATGAGAAAAACACCGAGAAGACACGGAAACCGGGCCCAAACCCAATAACAAACCATGATGAATGATAAGATAACGAATGTCCTTTGCATTTTGGACAAAAACGGTTGTTTACGAGTAGAGAAACATAACTTTCTCTGCAATATTTTCATGGTAAACTTTGGTTTTTCTTAAAGGATTGAAAAAAGGACGAATTCGAAAGTCGCTGTAAAGCGTCTTTCTAGTAATTTTTTTTTCGTTACCATTTTATGTTTTTGAACTTATTTTCAACAGGCTGCGGTCAATTTACAACAACTTTCAAACGTTTTCGAGGAGGAAATTGAGAATAAAGAACTTTAGGAAGAAAAATCCACTTTTTAATGATAAGTTCGAAAAAAAAAGTGACTTCTTAGCCTTCTTGAAAGCTGTCCTTAAAAGTTTAACACATTTAAATGCACAAAAAAAAAGTTAACAGACAAAATTTTTTAGAAAAACCTGAAAATAAATAATAATAAATAATAAACAAATGTCGTGAGATTAAACGCATTTGGTGCATTCACCTTATTCACAGTACATCTTTGCTATAGCGTATTATTACAACAAAATAAAAACGAGAATTTATTCAATTCCAGCGCAAGACATTGAAGAAAATGAAGTATCAGAAAGAGTAGTCGTGTAGAATAATAAAACAAAAAAAAGATGAAATAAAAGAGAATCATTTGGTATTTTTCGCGGATTGAGCCTTTTTCTTCTCCACAAAAGTCTTTTTCGCGACACTTTTGCTTGTTTGGTTGAGTCGCAGCCGTCGAATTTCAACAAGATTGGCTATTTTGAGCATTCTATTTGACTCTCCTAAAATTTTACATCGATACTCATTATTAAATCCCGAAATACCCACCGTAATACCGCCTCATAGTATCCGCCAAGGTTTCGCCGGGTAGCACGACTTCTTGTACCTCCGTTTCAACTGAAAATTCATCAATCAGTCCCGAAAATCTTTTTTCAGATAGAACGGCTCAAAGACAGTTTTTTGTGACTTTTTTTTTTAAAAAAGTAACCATTGTAAAATTTCAAGTAATTCTTTCCCATTGCCGCAAGTTTCATGGCCCTCATCTTGTGTTCGGCTTCAAGAAGTTCCAGCAATTCTAGATCGTTGGGATCACAGTTGGCCCTCATTTCCATCAGTTCTCGGTAGAAGACTGGAAAATGTCCCGATCAAAACCTGATCTATATCGATTTATAATTTTTCTACTTTTACGAATTAAAGATTGAAAAAAAGCGCTAATTCTAATAATATTTTTTTAGGATCAACTCCGAAACTTTTTTTCGATTATAAACTCCTATTCTTGAATAGAAAAGGGGTTGAAAAAGATTTTTAGCCGAGCTGCTACAGCCTTTCGGACCGAAACGCAAAGTTGAAAATGAGTAGAAATGTAGAAAATGGGTGGGAAACAAGATAAACAAGTTTAAGAAAAAAGAGGGTTATTTTGACAATGAAACCGCTTCGCGAAGCGCGTTGCGGTCGGGGGCGTCTCGACCATCTTCGGGCCACCCTTTTTCATCATCTATTCAAAAAATGCCAGCGATTTTGGGGGAGCACGAGCTTTTCATAAGCCAAAAAATCACTAAAAACGGACTGATCAAATCGATACCTTAATTCAATTTTTCTCGGACCATTAAATATCCCGAGAAAGTAATTTTGAACAATAAGTAGAATCTTTATTTTTCCATACGTTATCAGTTCTTCACATTTTTCTTAGTTCCACTCACTCATGCCATCGACATTCGCCGTAACAGGCTGCGAATTGAGTTTCTTGACTCGCGAACCAGATTCTTCCTCAAATTTCCTAGAATTCGCGGCTCTTTGCGATAGAACGACCGTCGCGTCGTCCAGCGTTATTCGTATCAACTCAGTGACTAAAACAAACTTCTTGTTTGAAGACCAGGATAGCCTACAGCTCATACGTGCTCTACAGACAAAAATAATTATTTTCTACAAATTCTCGGAGATCAGTAACGTAATCCGGACGCAGCGTCCCGGCCATTTCTTAGGTTTGCACTCTTAAGTGATTACTTCAAATGCTCAGAAACGTCGGGACGCCTCCGGTTTAGGTTACCGAAGTCCGAGTCCGAGTCAATGGAACGTTTTCCAATAAAATGCAAATTTCAGTTTTTCTTGTAGGTTTGAACAAACCTTACCTTTCTCATGAGTCGTGTAGAAGTTCTGGAGTTGGTCGCATATCATTGAGAGCACTGATAAAGTGTCGTCTGAAAATAATCCTATTCTTGAATTTTCGAAGAGATTGGAAGTTGCAAAGAGATGGGAGACTATTATATCCGGATTAGGTTAAGTCTTTTTTTGCATTTCTGGTTGCAAATCTGAACACGAAGTTTTAGAAAATATCTTGTCAAAAACTAACTGAAAGACTAAACATTTTTCAGAAAACCTCCCCGGAACTTTTTGATCACAGAAAGCTGAGTATTTTTCAGAGGTCACAAGCTTTGATGCTTCAAAGTGTCAGTTCTTCTTTCTGAAAAAAGAAAAACCGACTCAAGATCTTCGGATCCCTGGAGAACATGTCCGAAACGTTGGCTGGCGGCGAATCACTCAGATTGATTATCTTGCAATCTTTTCGTTTGACCAGTTCATAAGGGGCGGAGACTTCAGTCGGTGACGCATCCAGTGGCGGCGGTTCAAAAGTGGCCCCTTCGATAATTGGCTGAGGTTGGCTGACGTCTGTGCCAGCTGCCTCTCTCGACTTCTTTTGAGATTTTCGAGAGCCTTAAATTATTTTTTAGTTTACCAGTGGCTTTCTTTTGAAACAGGTTTAATTTGATTTGGACGAAGTTAAACGATCTGACCGTTCTGCGTCTCTTCTCCCTCGCGGGTGAGGTCATAGAAACATGAAAACGGCACGTTAACACGAGAGATCAGAGAGATCAGAATTATGGTAAAATAACTATAGAACGTCTTCTCATTTCTTGAAATTCAAAGCTTTCTTGACCTTTCTTATCTTTCTCTCCAACGAATTCTTTCGAGTTTGTCGGTTCTTTCGAGCTCTTTTTCGACTTCTGGGACTTCTTAGGGGCTTTGATCGTGTTTATGTGCTCTTTCGACTTGCTGGGGCTCTTTTGGACAGGTTCGACTGTCTCCTGAAAAGTAATACAAAAACACTGCAATGAAACGTTTGGTTGAGTCCCGAAAGGGCTTCCAAGGCTCTATCGAACCCTCAAACGATGACTAATCGTTATAAATGTGCCAAGTTCAAGATAGCTTTGAGTAAAGAAATTTTAGAAATCTGAGACATTCAGTTAGCTCTTCAAGTTGAAAATTGAAGTTGTAAAAGCCTGAGAGCTTCAATCGGGCTCCTAAAAGAGCACTGAAAGATTTGAGAATCTAACAGTTCTATCCAGACTTCTTAAGTGACCACTTAAACCATTAATTACATAAAAGACCAATAGCCGAAATTCAGACTCTTTTTACAAATTTATGAGGGGTCGAACTGAGTCTTTAAAGAGACACTAACTGATTTCAAAAACACTAAAAAGGCCCTACGAACTTTAACCAATCTTGCTCTTCTTCTCACTAATTCATAGGACTACGAGAAGTCGGGAAATTTGGTGAGACTACTAAAGCAGCCGCTCTGGACTCAATAAGCCGCAGTGACTTTACTAAGCGGCGCAAAAGCTCAGTCTCTCCAAACTGGATAGCCGTGAGAGGTACTGCCTACTCAAAACCCTAAAAGGATCACTTCGGATAATGTTTCCTAAATAATAGCTAAACTTTCTCTTCTTCTCTCTGATAATCATAAGGCTATGATGAGCAAGTGAAACTACTAAAGTAGCCCCTCCAGAATCATTCTAGACTCAATAGGCTTGAGAGGCTTTACCTGTTTTACTCAAAAGCTGAGTTGATGACTTCGAAAAGTAATTATGAACCAAAAAACCCTATTGAGATCACTTTAACTCCTTCTCTCGAAGAATAAAACACCTTGCTCTTCTTTCCACTGATAATCATAGGACTTCGAGGAGCCTGAGAAGTCGGAGACTTGGCCACAGGCGAAACGCCTGTCAAGGCCTTCTGTCTGACGTCGGTGTACTCCGGAGTGTCCCTCGACGCGACGAATTCCCTCCCTCCTTTGTGCACCTTCTTCACCATCTCAAACTTGGCCTCGGCTTCTGCATATTCGGCGGTCACGTTCCGCGGGGCTCGGACCGTGAAAATCTCCTTGTGGAATTGAAAAGTCCATTCGGGGCAGAGAAAGTCGGCGTAGGGGTCAAGCGGTTCGCCGTTTTTGTACTTTTCGAAGCGACGCGCTGCCATTTTGTGCCACTGTTCCATGTAGGCTTCTGAAACGATAGCAAGCACTTTCAGAAATTGGCGAGATTTGTCAAAGTTTGGACATCCATAAAAGGCTAACAACATCCAACTTACTATACAAAGCTGCCTCGGCAGCCACACTATCCGAATTGAGGAGATCCACTGAAAAGTTCACAGATTACGGTACTTATCCATTGAAGAACATTTTTTGGTTAAACTATCAAGCAGAAACTGATATTTTAAAATGAAAAATGTACTCCGATCCTTCAGTTTCAAAAAAAAAATCATTGATTCGAAAAGTCGTGAATGAGCTACAGGAACATTCTCCAGTCCCATCTGATGTCTAGCCGCGCAAACCGTTTCTCGTCTGGCGCAACTCGAAGAATGCTTTCAGCCTATTCATTCCACACTACGTTGTGGTTAATCTTTCTCGGTTCATTTCCAACGTTCGACCGAGACGATTAAATTTCATCACCGAATTAAAAAAAAACTGACGAGCCGCCAAATCCTTGCCAGTGTAGAGGTACAGGATCCCATCGAGAATCTGAGCCGCAAAAGTTCCTTGAATTTGCTTTCACTTCGACAATTTTTCAAACTCAAAAAACCTAAAGTTGCCAAGGCCTTTTCTTTTTTGTGCCGTCTCAAGTAGGAGACGAAAAGCAAATTCGACACGAAAAACAAGGCGACGCCTTCAATTATTATCAAGACCAAGAGTCCGACGAGAACGGGTGCTGGAAATCAGAGAACTCGACATAGAGAAAAAAAAAGGGAAAAATTCAATTAGTACAAGATTTTCTGTGCTATAGGCTCCCCAAACAACTGAAAATCGGGAAAAAATTTTTTGGAAAAAAAACAAAACCAACTGCTGCAAAAGCAATTCCCAACTCCAGTCGCTTCATCGAAATTCCCTGAAGTATTTTCTTCGGTTTTTTCACTGAAATCTCCAGAGCAACCTGATCGCACCTGGAAAATGGAGGAATTGGGTTCTTTTTGAACAAAATAAAATGTTTTTCAAAAACTGGAAAAAAACCGGAAAATCACTAAATGAGCGTTATTTGAATGGAAAATATCAACAGAGGTTGAATGAATGAGGTTTGTCTTTTCAACTTTTAAATCGAAGCAAAGAAATTAGAAGAGCCTGTAGGAACCACTTGAGCTGTAGGGCTCAGGGGTCAGAGCCTAATCCCCTAAAGGGAGCACCTAAATTTTACTTCTACAGTGACGCATTTTTTGTTCCCTAATGGGGTTGTTTTCGCCCTGACCCCTAAAAGGACCACTTATGCGTTTTTAAGAATATTGCAAGTTTTTGAGCCGTCTTTGCACACTTAATACAAAAATTTTCTCAAGAACCTCTAAAGTTAGGAAGATAATCTTTCTTTTTGATCACAAACATTTTTAACTAAAAAAAAAATTTATGTCTTCATTTGAAAGAACTCACTTTCTGAGTAACATTCTCAAGAATCAGTCTAACGTCATCATCGATATCTCCAGAAATTTGAATAAGTTCTCTCCAGCAGAAAAATCTTGGATTGTCAACGTTGATTCTCTTCAAGTTATGAAATGATCCGTTCATTAAAACCGCGTCGGAAAGTATCAAAGCGGGTCCTGGAAGACTATTTTTACTCAAAAAAATAACAAAAATAAACCTGTTCCGCGATGATTAATTTCCTCGACGAGCGGAATATAAAGTGGCATTTTCTGATTTCGGAAGATTCTCAACGTGCTCAACTGCTTGGCGTTCGTCAAAAGATCCTCGACATAATCATTAGGGTGAAGATCGTCCAAGAAAATCAGTTCTTTGCTACAACTCGCGCGTATGCATTCGTCAGGAAAAGTCACATTATTCCCATAAACCACAATCGGCCGTTCACAACAGTCTGAGAAAAAAAGATTACTCGTGACGCAGAAAACCATCATGAACAACGTTTACAACAATAAAATAAACATTTCAAAAGCTCAATTTCAAAAATTTAATCGCTGGAACATCCTGAACACAGTTTCCGCTCACATAACCAACAGAAAAACGAACTACTTTTCAAAACGATCGAAGTTTTATGTTTCCATTTACTAACACGAGTTAGTAAAAAAAAATTTTCAAAGTTAAAATGCACCATGTTGCAGAACGACGCAACTTCACACCGCGACGCGCAAAAAATATTGTTTTTTTAAAAATGCAAAAGTTTGCATCGTTTAAACGAATGAGTAAACTTTATTGTTATTATAATTATTAAAACGTTCTTTTTTTCAAAAGAATATTTTAGCGAGTCACTTCTCTCGAATTTGAATTTGTTCGCTCTAAACTTTCAATTCTTAAGATAAAAACCACCTTGCCCTGAAACAAGACCAATTTGGCAGAACACAACGGCAAGCAACATGAACATCGATTTTCGCTTTGTTAATTCTAAAAACTCACGGTTAGAATTTTTAAATCCAAGTTTTAAAAAAACCTCTTAGCTTCTTTTTTTCTTGGCCATGCGACCCCAAAACATCCTTTATTATTTAAGGAGATGAATCGAAACGAATTGAAAGCCTTGAAATGGGAATAACTCTGTCAACTTTCACGTAATTCCGATAAAAAGCTTACTTTCATTTAATTTTTTATGACAAAAAAATGCAGCAATATCACAATTTTTCAACAATGTATGGCAAGCAAATGAACGGAAAAACATCAAAAAGTTATAAGAATAACAACAAAAAATGACACCAAGAACGATTGAAGTAATAGGTCCAAAAATGACCGCGAGGTGAATGGCTCAACGCGTCGAGGATTTAATTTTAGAGTTTTTATCGAAAATTCTACTTGCGGAAGTTTTCTAATGGCTAGAAACGTCGGGGCTGCGGAGCGGTCAAGTCATTCCAAATGCGACCATCTCGCCTATTCCTCAAAACTGGCACTGGTTTCAACCGAACAAAAAAAGAATCCAATAACGTTGAACCCGTTATTTTCTAAAGTATCGCAATCTTCAAAAGACGAATTTTAACGAGAAAGAACTGGGAATGGATGTGCCTCCGTATTGAAAACCCATTGGTCCAAAGAAATCAGAGAAATGTCGGCAAATGTCAAATAAGCGTATTTTAATGTCTCGGCCAGGAAGAAGGACTGCTGGACGTCGTCGTGGCCCTGAAAAAAATTATTTTTTTTCAAATGAGTAAAGTATTTTTGGTGAATGGTGAAGCAATTTATTCGCTGGTACTACCAACGGGCCAACATTATTTCCCAACGCTAGCTGTCACTCCGGGACGTATTGGACAACGATTGTGGACCGTAACCCGACTAACTCTTCAATTATACCATGATTCAGCAGAGATTTTCTTCATCTTACTCTGAAGACTGAATAAATTGAATTGAATTGAAAATTATTTTTGAATCAGTTCACGCAAAAATTAAAAATTTTGTTTCTAGTCCATTTTTTGCGACTTCTCTGTTCTGTTCGGCGACTCTCTCATATTGACGTGCTCTTTTCATGTTTCTCTGACCTCGCCGGTGAGAGAACAGAAAGTTTTTATGTTTCCAAGATGAGGGAAAGAGAGCACAGACAGGTCAGAATGTTTGAAGGCTCGACGAAGTTGAAAATAAAGATTGTAAGCTGTTGTTTGAAGCCGTTTTTCTCAAAAAATACGAATTTCTGTACTTTGTTAGGATCGCAGTGAAAAGTTCTAACAGTTGACATTTTTTCACCTTAAAACTCATGTCTATACTATTTTCAAGGCTTAAATTCGGAAATAACCAACCCTATTTGGGTCATAAACATTCTGGAGACCGGCAAATCCCGCATCAACTCGGCAGTACTTGTCGATGGCTTGGACGGCGTCCCAAACCCAGTCGCGATACATCTAAAAGTGGAAGAACTGACATAAGTTGTGAGAATTTTAAAGAAGCCTGGACAAATTTAAGGAAGGTGTTGAAGAGAAACAAGACTCGTGCCTTTTGAACATAAGGATTTTTTGACAAATTTTTAGGGCTGTTCTTAAAATTAGAAGTTTGAAAGTGAAATAAAATGTTTATCGAAACTCCAAAAAGGAAAAGAACGAACGGTCTTCCCAGTGAGCCGCCAAAGGTAGAAGAAGCCTTCGATGACTTCCGGCCTCAAAATGTAGCCATTTTCGGCCCTTCTACTGGTCGCTTCGTCGTTCGCGTTGAAGTAGAACATTTCGGGGCCGATGTGAGTTTCTGATCGTATGTAACTCTCGTGGCACGTTTTCCCGAGCTCCTCCGCCAGATTCATTGTCTTCGCCTGACGAAATAAGTTTTAAGAAGATTTTTCGAATTTCGTTAAATTTGCCGTTATCAAGTCCTATCGACAATATGTTATTGTTTCCCTCATTGCTGAAAAAAAAATTAATTTTAAGGAAGCTTTCCGAACTTTCTCCAAACTATCGCCATCTACAGCACAACCTTGATCCAAAATCAAGGCCCAAAAAATAGCATGATAAAAAAAAGTTCCTTTCTCAGTTTTTGCTTATTTAAACTTTTTCAAACCGATCCCATTATTTTTTAAATGAAATTCCAACCTTTTTCTCAGCATCGATCTCATTGACGGCCTGCAAACCGAACATTCCGACGACAAAACAGGCCAAATGGCCCATTTTGTGCTCTTTATTTGTGCCGCGCAGTTCTGCCGTATAGGTCAGACCCGATTTTTCCGACTTGCCAAGCATTCTTCAAATTTTCCATTAATTTATTGGAAAAATTTAGAACCAAACTTGTTCACAATGGCCTCGCTGACGTCCCAGTACATCTTCTTGGCTTGAATATCGGTTTTATTGGACATTAGCCAGGACTTGATCAAATACTCGTAGAAAGAATCACCCAGAGCGCCGACGGACCTAGAAAAAACATGAGAAGTTCAGAAAAAATTACAAGATATATATCAGCACAATATTCACTTCAAATTTTCAAAAACTGATCTTTCACGCGTCAAAATATTGACACGCCTTATGTTTTACTTTTTCTAGTTTTTAGAGATTTTTTTCGCAATCGAATCTCTAAATAAAAAAACGACTCAGAACATTGAAAAAGAATAAAAATTAACTCACATGTGATAAGTTTGAACGAATTTGCCGCTATCCGGGCTCATATAGTTGGGATAAAGGCCATCGGGCTTTTCCGCTTTATCCAAAACGTCGCGAATCTTCTTCACCTTTTTCTCGAACAACGGAACCTTTGTCATCCGGCTCAGGTAGGTAAATTCCAGGTGAAGCGAGCCGAATTCAGCCAAAATCGACGATCTGCAAGTGGCGCATGGTATTCTTGAAGAGGTGGCGTGCTTACATGGGCAGACCGAATTTCAGGCCCGCCGGCCCCTCTTCAGGAAATTTTATCAAGTTTTCAACCTTTCTCCCAATTTTTTTCGAAATCACTCTTTCTTGGAAACATTTCAAAACTCTCATTTTTCGGTGTTTTTTTGAAAACATATCGATCCAGTTTCTTATATTATATGTAAGTGACAAAAATATAACTCAAACTCGAAAGTCCGAAAAACCAACGTTATGATCATTTTTGAGACCACTAGTTGGAAGGTCCTACACTAGCCAGGGAAGGGTCTCCGATCGCACCGGAACCCCTGAATGAGAACAGAATCACTAGATGCAATTTTCTACGTTGATTCCAAATCTGATCTCAAAAACTGTCGAGGAGATCAGAGAAAAAAGTTATGGACCCTCAAAAGTCGAAAATTCTAGTGTCTCCGATATAGCTTTTTCGGGGGTATATATATTTTGTTCTTCTGATATAGTTCGTTTTTCACGGCTTGAGAGGGCGGGACTTCTCTGCGCCCTCCATATCTCTCGACGTATCTCTCATGTTTACGTGCTGTTTCCATGTTTCTCTGACCTCGTCGGTGAGGGAACAGAGACGCAGACACGCGAAAACTGTCAAGTCGCGGCGGACGGACTATAACATAAAACAACCGCGTACGCACACGCTACGCGTCCTGCCCACTTCTCTGCCTCGCCTTTCAAGTCGGGATGGAGTGACCATTCATGGACACACTATTTCAACTTTTTCAATGTTTTGTGCGGAAAATAATTTTTCTTTCGAAAAAATAAAACCAACCCTCCGTTGGCCCATCCGTAATTGCTGGCGTACTTCCTCTGAACATCGAGATTACTTTTTGGGACTCCAGATGGCGTTTTGAACGCGGGCAGTAGCGCTTCACCGACTTCTTTGGCTTTCTCTCTGAAAGAATTATTGAGAAGCTATTCCAAGCGCGGTCGGGAGAAACACGAAATTAGAAACTAACAAATAAATCTGTTCTCTCGTGAGGCCGTAGAGTGACAGTAAGCCGCCCAAGAAACGGATCGTCGTTTCGAAAACCGATAGAGTTCCGGTGGCTTTTGTCATCGTGAAGTTGGCTTTGATGTAGTCGTGAGCCTGAAAAATTGAATTCCAAGAAAGTTCTACGCTTTGGAGAATGATTATACCTTCAGCAAACATTAAAAAAAAGTTCTTTGGGTTTTTTCAGTTTTGAATGATAAAATGATGAAAAATAAACCTCTCTATATTCATCCATCAAGTCCATAATGAAAAGTGTGTCGGCTGCGTCAATAATCGTCGCTGGCATCTGATTTCCGCCGAAAATATTCTGCGAGTTTGCCGTTTTTGCGATTGGGCGCAACTAAAAACTTTTTTTCTTCTTCGAAATAATAGGGTTTCAAATAATCACAAAATCGCAGGTCGATCTCAGGCAGAATATTGCGAGCTATGCGTGGTTTTTCCTGCTGAGGCGCCGAAAAAGGGGCGGAGGCCAAACATACCTCGTTTGCTCCCCAGGAATAGTTCTTGTAGCCGTTCCAAGCGTGCAACATCATCTCCTTCACTTTTTGCCGGCGCTTGTCTGAAAAATTGGAAAGTATTTTCTATCATCGTTTTTTATGTTTTGTACAAGTTTGCTGTGGTTTTTTACCGTTTTCGTCAGCTCCATCGACGTAATGGCGTTTGCCGATGAGGTCATCCAAGTTGACGTCAGAGTTGTCGTCAGCACTGACGTCATCTTTGACTTCTCCGGCGTCGAGCTTGACGCCGACCTCTTTCGGCGGCTCCGGCACGTCTTCTTTGACTTCAGGCTTGATCTCCGGCCGACGAACGACTGGGATTATCGGTTCTTTGACGGCATCGACGCCGGCGACGTCTTCAACAGCCTTTTGAGTGATTTGATAAGCCGCCGGTCGAACAGCGTAGCCACGGTCTGAATTGGAGACACATTTAAAAAAGTCTGTCTCAGAAGTTACCTGAGACCACGGTAGATCTCTCATCGCCGCTGGAGATGTACCCGATGAGGCAGAGGGTCAGGACGAAGCAGCCGACCAGCGCCAGTACCGCCTGCCTGTTGAACCGGACCGTTTGCATCGCGCATCCGCCTTTAATTGAAATTTGAAACTTTCAATCGTTATAATTTTGCATTCGAACATTTCTAACGTTTCAAAGTCGCAAAAGCCGTACAGGTTGAAACTTAAACGGAGAAAGACCCTTCTTTTGGGAACTTCTTCACTTCTATTCTCGTTTTTTTTTTCAAATTGTTTTGGGCAGATTATCTCCATAAGTTTGAAAATGAGAAAAAAACAAAAAAATCTTTAAAGAAATATTATAGGATTACTGTAGACTTTACTGTAGACAAACATGCACGAACACATTCCAGCACTTAATTCCAAAAAAATATTTTCTCTTCATTTTATTATAGTTAATTTCGATTTTAATCGCCTTTTTTTATCATTTTTTTCATATATCAAAAAGGTTTGAATAATCGAACTTAAAGTTTTTGTGATAAAGTTCTTCCTATTTCTGAGATTTTTTTTAATTTATAATTGTCGAATTTCGTGAAAAATTTTTTTTGGAAAAATTAAAATCAAATCTTTTTCGTGTTTTTTTAGGGCGGCTGTCTTTTTTTCGCGGCTTTCAAGTTATCAGAACTACTGTCGTAAAGCGCCGCTTTTTTATTTTCGATACGGTTTTTGGTGAGTCTTTTTTACTTGTTTCATTTTTTAAATTTTTTTTAAGTCAAAACCTTGAAAAAAAAAACGAACTCTTCAAAGTTTCCTAACAAACAAAATGCTAAAATTCGGATTCGAAACAACTTTAACCTCTAAATATGATGTTTTGGAAAAAAAAAATGAAAAGAGAAAAAATTCTAGAAAGTTCATAAATTTTTGCCAAATATGTAACTTATTTTCATAAAAAAAATTTTCAAGTGATCGAATAAAACTTCAAAAAAATGATGAAAGAAATAAATATAGATAAATATAGGGAACGAGGAGGAAAACATAAAATGATCCATAAAGTGCGGACACTTTCCAACGAGAAGGCGGCCCGAACAAAAGGTTTCCTCATGCGAATTTGAATGAAAAACCTTCTTTGAATCAATTTTCCCATGGAGAAGTGGTAATGAAGTGCAAACACTTGAGAAAGGAACTCTGTTCTTTTTGGACAAATATTGGAATAAGGAAGTATACATACGTGAAGAGGATTGCGAGAATTTCATGTTCTGTGCAATTTTCTTGGAAAGGAATCCTTTCTTTTACCACGCAAAACAGCTGGGAGAAGCCTTAACGGAGAAAATACGTCCTCAATCTGTAAGAATCCCTCAATTTATTTGAGAAAAAAGAGTTTGAGAGAGAGTGAATATTTCAAAAAGTATCATTTATCATCCCGCCACTGGATATTTTGCAATTTTCGTCTTTTTTCATTCTAAATAATTATCTGTCTACTTCTTATTATATATCACAAAACTACTCAAAATGAACGAAGATAAACGATCGATAAGCGGGAAGACGTGGACCGGGCCACCAAAAACGCGATAAAAGTCAAGGAGACAAACGTGTATAATTTGATAAGGAAGTTGTTGGATTCGTTTTGGAAGTCAGAATGAAGAGAAAATCTGATTTAGAGTAAGAAGAAAAAGTGCAGGAAATTGGGTGGTCAGTGGATAATTATAGAGGCTCTCCCCAATTTCCTTCTTTTTTTTCTGTCAGCCGACGTTCCGATTGACGTCACTGATAGTCGGATGGGTCGCGACCTTGAAAGTGCGGACATTTAAAGGATTTGAGAATCACTAGGGCTTCTTTCACTCGTATTGCTTGGGACTATTGAAGTTAGAAAAAGTATTGAAGTTAGAGAAACAACGAGATTTCGGAAAATAAGTCCCGAAAAGATTAGCGAAACAGTGGGAGGAAATATGAGTGTTAAGAGAAAGAAAGAAATTTTTTGGATCTGAAGGCTTGGAAAGCAAAAAGAAAGTAGCAAAAATATATTTTGACGTTTTCCAGTGGGATTTCAAATTTTATTCTATAATTGACATGACAGTTTTTGTGAAAGAAGGGATTTTAAAAGAATGCTGACAGCAAAAACAATCAAAAACTAGTCGAAAAAGTCGCGAAAATGTGGTATAGTTATTGAAAAAGTACTAATATTTTGGTACTCAAAAAATCTCTCAAGTCATAATTTTCCCAACGTCTTTTGACCTACTTAAAAATCTATAATTTTCTTCCCGTGGTTCTTTTTTTTGGAACAGTTTCAAATAAACCCAAGGACACGGTTCTTAAAAAATATGGTAGAACGCCTTGAAATATGAATGGATGTGGGAGAGGCAAGGAACAAGGGTTGGAAAGTTGAGAAGAAAAGGAAAGGAACAGTGGGATCTTGGCCGTTTTTCGGGTAGAACGGGAGGTTTGTTTTTTTGAATTTTTTTCTTTTTTGAGGCAATTTTGAGAAGATTAAAGATTTAAAAGCACCTTTATGAATATATAAAAAAAGTGAGAGTTAAAAGAAGAACTAGAATTTTTAAAGCCGTAAAATTTTTGGACACTTTAAATCTTTTTCCTTCAAGTTTTTTTTTGCTAGTCATGAACACAGAGGCTTCTATGAATGGAAAAACGGGCAATATTCGAAGGAATAATGGATAAATGAGAAATCGAAGGCTTCTCCAGCTTTTTGATGTCTGAATAAGGAAAAAATGATCTTTAAAGTTGCAAAGTGCAGGTGAGAATGAGCAGGAAAACGCCTGAAAGTGAGCATTTTTCGAGATTATTTCTTTAAGGTTCTAGAAGGCCTATTAACCTAAATATACAACCAAAATAAATAAACATTGAATTTCTGGTTCAAGAACTCAGTGAGAAGAAAGGAACAAGACAAAAGAACAAATAATGTTTTGATTTGAAAGAAAAGGGGCGAGGAAACGGACGCGAAAGAGACAAAATAAACAGAAGATCGCCGTTGAGACCACTTTACATGCATTTTTGATACCTAAAAAGGACTTTGGAAAGAGTTGGTGCGCAGTGAACTTGAAAAATAATAGATGAGTAGCTCTAGAGTTCGTTTTGGGTCGAAAAGTCAAAAAATAAAAAAGGGAATTTTGAAAGATTTTCAAGAAAAAATAACAATTTAATTTTTTGGAGAGCACGCAAGTAAATTAAGAAATAGTGAATAATCAGCTGGAGGGGTCATTTAAGGGTCAGAAAGTCAGAAGATAAGAACGAAAGTTTTGAAAGAGGTTCAAGAAAAATGGGAAAACAATATAAAAAGTCTCGGAATATTCATACTTCTTTGGGATGACTCCTGGAATATTTTTAAATTTTGAGACGTCATGAAGAACGATATTGAGAAACTGATAAAGCAGGAGGGACTTCACTCAATCCTCAAAAAAAAGCTAAAAAATGTCTGGCGAACCCTTAAATGACCACTCACACTTCTTGTCTTTCAGTAACAGATCAGAAAACTGATGCTTTAAAAAAGAAACGACATTTGAACTAGAAAAGGAAGGGAATTTCCAAAATTGAATTTTTTTTGAGCAAATTGATATCATTTTTCACACAATTCTAGCCTTTTTTCGAAATTAAATCGAATGGAAATGAATGGGAAACGTTTGCGGAATATAAAAAAGAAAAGAGCGTGAGAATCCAATCGCGAACACGACAATGCAAGGCAAACAATGGTCCCAGCCACAAAATCGATGCAAATCGACGGCTTTTTTTGATTCTACTGCTTTCAATCGAAGTGTCTTACTAGCGAGGTATATTTACATTGCGGCTGGGAGTTTATTGAAAATCGGCCAGAACACTCATTGATGTATAGTCATGTTCGTCGACATGAAAGGCGGGAGAGGCGGAGAAGAAGGCGGGACGCGTAGCGTGTGCGTACGCGGTCCTTGGCTCGTTTAATTTAACCGCCAGCGATTATTTGGAGATTTATCACCCTTCTCATTCTTTTTTCTCAGATCTTCCTTGATTTTGTGTCATTTGTGAATCAAAAAACAGTATAATAAGTACAGTTTTCAAGAAATAAAGGCTCAAAGTCCCAAAATGGCTCATTTCAACGACTTGAAAGGGTTTTCTTTGAGTTTCAAGTGGCCATTCTAAAAACTAAAAAGTTTTGAAGGTTTAGCTTTTCAGGATCCTTATCCGAAACGTCAATAATTGTTCTGGCCAACTTTCGAAAAATTCCCAGTGAAATAACCTTTCTTGTTAGGTGAACACTGAGCTGAAAAAAGGGGAAAAGCCTTGGCTTAAAGGCTGACATTTTTGATCCAGAAGCGGTGGATCGCGGGTTCGACTCCTCAACACTTTTTCCAATGAGGTCAAATTTGTCCTCAGCTATTATGTGAAAGAACAATGAGAACAAAGAAAAGTCTTGGTTTAGGGTCTGAGAAGATCGACTAACAATTAGAGAGCCGAAGGTTCGATTCCGCCCCGCGTTTTTGCAGCGAATGATGTGTTTGCTTCGTTGCACATCCTTTTAAGGAAAATTTGGAGAGACCTGAAGAAGAGGCAATTTGGTCGAAGCAGCACTCTAAAATAATTCCATTCTATTGTCCTCTGAAAAGGGAACAATGAGTGTTCGTTTTCGTTGAGAGTAACTTTGAAAGAAGCTTATAAAAAACCAGGCGGTTTTGAGCTTTTCCGAGTGCGATCATATCCTTTCAACTTAAACGACAAGCTTGGAAAGAGAAAAAAAAGGAATAAGAAGTTGGTGCGCAGCGAAATTCAATGATACGTAGTATGATAATATCTGTCTAAGAATCTATATACGGATGACATATTTGCGGGGACGTCTGCTTATTTGCTTACTTTGCCAAGGTCTCATGGTAGGATTTGTTGACCCATTTTTACCAAAATAAATACTAAGACCGAGGTGACGATCGCCCGACTTTTAGCGGTTTACGCCAGTTTCTATTAAGATAAAAAGGAAGCTGAAGAAAAAAATTACATTTTATAATATTTTTGAAATTTCGACTGTTTCATGATAAAACCTCAACACAGCTGTTCTCATAGAGCCCCGAAAAACCACAAAAAAACAATAAAAAAATGAGAAGCTTCAACTAAAAAAAGTGCATTTAATATTATCGCCTACGCAGGTGTGCTCACTCGTCACACATCAAGATTCCATTTTTTCAATTTTTTTCTCAAAACCCTTCAAAAAAATATTATTTCTATGGAAAATATGCGAAATACTTGAACAAGCGATTCAACAAAGTATGCTTGTTCTAAGGTAGGGACCGCAGACGAATTTTCAAAAAAATTTTCGAACTTCAATATTACTATGGTTGGATAGCTGCTCTAATTTACTATTCAAAACAGTTTAGTTTTTCAAAAAAGGTTGAGAAAAAAAGTTATGGTCAAAACAGTAGTGAAAAAAAGTCGCGAAATTTAGTACTGAAAGTTTAGATTTCACACTTTTGGTCGTTCATTTTGTTTTCATATCGAATTTAAATTTTTTAGTAGTTTAGTTTGGTTTTCAAAGTCGTAATAAGTCATTAAAACAGTATAAAACCACAAATTTGAAAAGAAAAGCTATTTTTTCTTGAAAAATAAAAAAAATTGCCGCTGCGAGGATTATACTCGCGATATCAAAACTGTATGCAAGCGCACTTGCGCTGCTCCACGTACATCTCTCGGAGATGGGAGGCGTTCGCGCTATACACCACTTCACTTCAAAGTACAGCATTTAGCGACAATCTTGTTTTTAAAAAAAGTTATGGTAGTTGAACAATTATTAGTCACGTGTGTTCGGACCACCTGAAAAATAATTTATTCATAGAGATTCAGTTCGAAATGCTTCCGTTTTTCGGTGTTTTTTTCTTATTTTAACGTTGGCTTCAAACTCACACTGATTAAACTTTTTAGGCACCGCTAAAATTTTTTTATTTTATTTTTTTTAATTGATTGAAAAATTGAGATACGCTAATATTTAAGAAATAAAAAAAGGCGCCAACGACATCTGACCATGTTAAAATGAATTTCGAAATTTTGACTGTCTATTTTTTCTCAGAAAACAAAGTTTTCGGAATAAGTTTTATATTAATAAAATTTTAGTTACAATTTAATCCACAAGTTAAAATAAAAATTGTCTACTTACACGCTCTCGAAACCGAGTACAACATTTTCAACTTTGCGCGGCCTCACGAAGATTAGGCACGGTAAAAATTTTAATTTTTTTGTCTTAAAAGATTTGTTTTTCACTTAAGAATCGAATTCGAAAATAAAAAAAGGCGCCAACGACATGGAACTAGGTTAAAAACCCGAAGGAAAAAAGTAGTTTTGGTTTTTTGTACGACACTCCGCTAAAACGCTTCGAAAATCGGGTGAAAAGTATATCAGATTGAAGAGGAAGGTTTTCTCTATGTTTCCACTGATTTTCTCTGTGTTTGATTCAGTATTGCGCTTTTACGAAAACATCAAACACAAAATCTAAAAAACCAGTGCATTTCACCATCGCAAAAAGGGGCGTGGCTCTGCGGTCTCTATTCTAAGGACACCTTTCCACTGCAAAAACGAAGCTAATAAAATTCCTCAAACAAATTTCTTTCATGTTTCTGAAAAAGGTTATATAAATACAATGATGTGACTTTGATTTTTAATTTGGTGTGTTTCCTGAGTTTAAAAAAAATGCAGTTATTCGTTTTCTTGTCATGTATGATGGTCATACTTGGAATGACTCATCGTGTCGCGGTTGGGTTGAGTTTTTTTGACAAGCGCAATCCGTTTATGGGTCAGAAGAAAGCCTCCGATGATTTTTTCGAGTTGTAAGCATGACGAAGTATTTGTCGCATTCAGAATGGATAATGAAAGAAAGGCCAGGGAGTACAACGGAGATTCACCGACCATAAAACGACTTTCGCCGGAGGACACTTTGAAGTGATAAAACTTCTAACTTGAAACGCGAGCCGTTCTAAACGTCACCAAAAAGAATCATTTCCCTCCGATTTTTGAATACATAAACTTCGAAATTGTTCAAATTGTCTGAGACCTCTGTTTCGGAGAAGTTTTCAATAAAATCCGTAAATTTCAAAATCAGACCGAAAAATCGGCATTACCATCTTGAGGGAATAAAAGTTCGACATAGGGGTCGCCAGAAAAAAAAAAAGCATGTCACAGCTATTGCAAATTGAGCGGAGAAGAAGTTGTAAATCAGCGAGGGGAATAGGCGGCTAACGAGCCGCGGGGATTTCGCCTTAGGGCGAACAACCCAAACAAAACTCGGCCTTTCCTTCTCGAGGCTCGTCGCAACTTTATGCAAATGTCTCGTCCTAACGAACCGAGGACGGCGATTTCCGCCGTCTGGAACCATCTTGCATAATCATTTTTGGGACTTGACACACATGCACAAAGTTCAAGTGGACATTTGGAAGCTTGAGAAGGGAAATGAGAAAAATCGGGGCTGTTAGGAGATAAATTTTCTCTACTGGTTTCTTGTTTAAATGTGCTTTTTGAAGAACTTTAGTTTTGAAAAAAAAAGGTTCTCCAGTATTCACAGATTTTCAGCTAGCAGAGAACGCAGAAAGAATTTATGTATTTTGGAGGCTGTTTTGGAGAGCCAAATTTGCCCTAATGATGAGGTTGTCTTTTGTTAAAAAAAAGTTTTCCCTATTCAGTTTTGCTCCAAAGACGAGTATTTTCTAGAATTACATCAAGTCGAGAAAAAATTTTGTAATGGAGGCTAATTTCGGTAGGCTAATTTGCCCTATTGACAAACGGAAAAAGGCTAGTTTCTTTTCAAGAAAGCGTTTTTTTGCGATCCCGCTCCGAGGACAATTAGGTCAAATAATTTGAACAATTGAATAGATAAAAGTTATAACAAGCAGGGAGAAAAGGTGGAGGAAAGAAGAAGGGAAGACGAAGGAAAAAAGTTGCCTTCGGAAACCTTTTAGGAACACTTGAAGCCCATTTCCATGCAGAGAAACGGGTTCCTCCTGTTCCAGAACGTCACAAATTGCCAATTTCGCGCTTTTTTCTACTTCCAATTATTGAGTACCTCTGAGGCTTTTATCTTGAGGCTGTAGTTATCAACTTAAAGTTTACAAAAGAGAATGAAAAAATGAGAGAAACTTAGAAAGAGAAAGTAGTTTACCAGTCTGGCCTCCTCCCCTTTTTTCACATTCTCTAATTTTTTCGCTCTCTCTTATGTCTTTTTCAAAGATAGCGAGAGGAGAGAAAATTTTGACCAAAAGAAATAATAATATTCTATCATATTTTTTTCGAGCCCATTGTTCGTCCTATTGACATAGGCGTTGCCTAGCTGCGCATGTTGCTAAATAGAAGAAAAAAATAACAATGTGAGTATATTCTTCAACTTCATGTTTTGAAAAATAATGGGACGAGGCTGGATAAAATAGTCCGTTTTCCGCGACTTGAAAGGGCGGGACTTCTCTGCGCCCTCCTTATCTCTCGACGTCTCTCTCATGTTTACGTGCTGTTTCCATGTTTCTCTGGCTTCGCCAATGAAGGAACAGAGAGAAGCAGACATGGGAAAACTGTCAAGTCGCAGCAGTCGGGCTATAACCACAAAAAAAAATATGCAAAAGTTAGGCATGCCATAAATGTTGAGTCATTTGCATATTTTCACAAGTGTTTCCTATGTGAAACCTTCACTTTGAATGAATAAACCGGATAATCCGTTGTTTGAAACAAATTAAATGTACTGTAATTTAGTAATAATCAAAAATTCGATGAAAAAAAGTGTAATAAATAAAGTGTAAGTAAGGCGAGTTTTTGAAACCGCGTCATAACTATTGACACATCATTATTTTCATGCCAATTCAAAATTATTTAGCTGATTTACACTCGAGTTTCACTGTAAATATGATTTAAGTATAGAAAAAAGCCCTTTTTTTCCCTGCATCAAAATTATTGACTCAAACTTGTTTCTTCCTCTTCATTTCCCTGTTTGCTAAATTTTTACTAAGAAATTCCCGAAAAAAAAAGTTGAAATTCTGTCAAAAATAAGTACAATAAAAGTTCAAAGTGCAGACAAGTCCAAAAATAGCGAAAAAATAACAGAAACTGAGGGCGGAAAAAGGCGAACTCTTCAAGGAAATGCAATGAATTCGCAATGCGGGAAACTGGTCCGGGCGTGGCTTTTTCGGGTTAGGAACAATTTTGAGACATTTCCCTTCAGTTGCCACTATCATGTAGCTCTACAGATCCGGAAAAAAAAACGAGTAAGTAGTAATAAATGACCACTAATTTCTTCAGAGTACCCTAAACCCGTTCAATTACCTCAACTTACTTCCAAGCCTTTCCCAGTCCCTATAAAAGCCATTTACTTCTCTTATCCTCGCTAAAAATGAAAAGAGAAGCTTTCATCAGCGTCTATGTGACCGTGGCTGTGATCATTTTCTTTTTTCTGGCCGATTTGATCTACGAAACTGTCAAGAATCTGCATGATCTTCAGCGTATTGCTCATTATGAGATGCGCGAGTTTACGGTATTCTTTTTCAACAATCTTAATATCATTCGACTGTTTTCTTTGATTTGGAAAAGTTTTACAGTACTCCTCAAACGAGGCTTGGCGGGAAATGCAGGAATTAAAATCGAGGCGTCGAATCAGAAGAGCTGTCGTCATTTCCAGGAGTTCGAGAAGAAGGTATTTTTGAAGGACTTTTCTGAAAAGAGTACAAATTCAAACTTTCACCAAATAAATAACTACTAGAGGATTTTACGTCAGTACGGGAAAAAAAACTGAAGTTTGTGAAGCTTTTGATGACGTCACAAATATTCATTCAAAGTTATATTTGCGCAGACGATATTTGAACCTGGATCCTAGCCATCAAAGAACCATAAGATTCAAAATATCTGAAATGTGTTGACAAAAAAGAAGAACAGCAGGAAGAAAGTGCGCTCCAACGATAGTTTGCTGAGAAGTTCCGCCGAAAATAGTTATACCTGGATTTCCGGCGACAATTCCAAGGCGATTCGACCCGTCGATGATGATACTGGAGAAGCGACTTCAACGCCAGTACTTGATGAGAAATGCTTGGAAGGTTTGTCATTGACCTTCTTCGAGAATAATGGACGCCTTTTCCAAGACTGCGAGCAGAAAAGCCACATGTGCCCTCTCGGAAGACCGGGAAAACCAGGAAAGCCTGGAAAGGATGGAGGTTAGTTCAATCAAGACAACGGGCCTGCTTGCGACGCATTTGAGCTAATCCAAATGCTGAATTCCAGAACCTGGACTTTCGGGTGAAAAAGGCCGTGATGGAGCTTCCGGATCGGCAGTTGGAGCCAGTAACGGTTGCGTAGTTTGTCCCGAAGGTCCGCCAGGAGCACCAGGTTAGTGTCATATTTTAAATTTCTGACCTGTCTGCGTTCTTTTTCTTTCACCATTGAGATGAAAGGATGACGAGAAGAGCATTTGAAAACAAGTGGTCGCAGAGAAGCTATAATATGAGAAAGAAACTTAGGACCGGATGGACCGCCTGGAAAGCGTGGCGAACGCGGAAAGAATGGAAGACCGATGAGAAAAATCGGCAAACCGGGGCCGGTCGGTCCACCCGGACAGCCTGGATATCCTGGTAAGTCCATGCTCTTGTTAGTTTTGTGGTCGCATTTAGAATTGCTCAAAGTGTCGCGCGTCATTTGATGTGAAGTCTAGCCGAAATTTATCTAAAAATCTTTGAAAAAAAATTTTTCCAGGCTATCCCGGACATCCAGGAGAGCCCGCACCGAATGGAGCCGATGGAATCCGAATAATTCGAATAAAAGGTCCTCAAGGACCGCCAGGACTTCCGGGCCTTCCTGGCCTCAAAGGAAGACCAGGAAACTTCGATAGCTATGGAAGTGTTGGAATTATGGGACCAATGGGAGCTATTGGCGTTCCTGGGAAACCTGGTCTTCCTGGATTGGTTAGTTTTTGCTTTTCAGCAGAACATAAAGGTTACTCCTTTGAAAGTCTGACTTTTCTGCGCTCTCTTCTCTCTCATCGGCCAGATCATAGAGACATAAAATAGCAAGAGAGCGCAGAGAAATCGGACTGTTTAAATTTTTGCGAGAGTAAATTCGATGGAATGGGTCCAAAAAATAAAATAGCCCTAATTTTTTTATTCGGTTTATCATCCATAACTTTGTTAGAAAAAATTTTTTGACCGGAAACTTCGAAGAAGTTTGGAAAAAGATCCCGAGGAGCGTGTTGGACACACTTATCTAGTCGATTACCCGAAGATGCAGGGCTTTTATCAAACCCTAAGGCTGTGCCACGAAGTATTAGATCTGTTTTTCTTAATTGTTTGAATTAGGAGTTTTTTACACACTGGCTTTGTTGAATTTTTATTTGTTGATCATGGTTTTCGATTTTAATAACTTTTCAAAAAATAAAAGTTTCTTTTTTTTGAATCGGTTCGAACCATCCTTTCAAGCTGTTAATAACATAAGTTTACTCAACTAGTTAAAATTTCAGATCAAATTGATTGTTTTTTATAAAGTTACGGACGAAAAACCAAAAACCATTTTCCCGTATTTTATAACACTAGAGATTGAAATACTCCGATTTTGCTGCCCCTCTTTTTTTTTCAATGCTGTCTTCATGTTTTATAACTTTCTCGCTGAGAGAAAAGAGATCCCAGACGAGTCAGACTGGGTCATTTCGTATCGTTTATCCGCAAAATTAAATAAAAAGCACTTTCAGAATGGTCGATCTGGAAAACCGGGACTCGATGGAATTTATTGTCGTTGCCCTCAGAAAAACAAGAGAAAACGAAGAGTCAAAGTCAAAAGATTGGTCCAAAATAAATGAAAAGCTTTTTTTGTTCCTCTGATCTTTTAACGTGAAAAAGGGATAAAAAGATGTGGAGGCTGATTTTCATGGGAAAAGGTTGCCGTAATGATTAAAGAAGTTTTCATCTTTTTCAGTGGGGCTTTCAAATGAGTACAGGTTGATGAGGTGCATTTTTTCGAGCTGCTCGAAAACTACCGAAAAAGTCTTCGGAAAGTATGATAAATATTGCAATCAAAAAATTGATTAAATTTTCACTCTACTCAGCCTAGCGCGTAGAAAACCTAGTAGCTTAATTAGCGCAGTGCTGTGCACCAATAAAGTCAAAGGGTCGTTGGTGCAAACCCGCGGTAACAAACTTGCTTCCATATAAAATGACGTTTTCTGAACACTTTCAACTTTTTTCGGTCTTTTACCATACCCATTAGCTTTTTCATCGTCTTTTCTCTGTTATATCTCTGACAAACGGATGATCTTCATTGTTTCTTCTCAAATTACACACAAAATGGGAATTTGTAAGATAGTTTCTAGACGGAACCAGTATGACAGGTGGACATGGAGGAATGACTTGGAGAAATTTTTTGAGGTTTGGTTTGGTAAATGCAAATGGAGAAATAGGCATCCTTGGACATTTTAACCAAAAATGGACTTGACCGAGTCCCAGGCGTTCTCGAAGAAGGATTTTGGCGCCGAAGTCGGAACTGGTGTCACTGGTGGATTTGAGACTTTTGGGACCTGAAAATTGAATTTTTCGGTTGGTTATGGGGCATGATAAAAACAAAGGTAAAACACAAAAACCTGATAAATATTGTTACAAGAAGCGCAGCAATAGTACGACATCCATCCGCAGTTGAGAATTCCTCTGGTTTTCAGAACGTCGCACATTCCGTTGCTATCCTGGCAGTCTTAAAATGTAATGTTTTCTTCTTGAAGTAAAGCTATAGCGGTTCGAAGGACTTGATCGCATTTGGAATGACCCAAAGGGTCGCGGTCGCGTTGCGGCTTTATTTAGTGCTTTCTGTTGCTTTGAGTCCGGCGAGTTTTGACCGCAGAGCTGCCGCAACGCGAGTAGGATCGAACGAGACTCAATCAAACTTTCGAGAAATTTTACGAGACGAGACTCGTCTCGAGATACCGGGCTGTCCAATAATTCTTGTCCGAAAATTTCACCATTTAAATTTTTTTTTTAACTTTACGTCTCGAAACTTTTCGAAATTTTGAGAGATTCCGAAATAGAAACAATGCATAATAAGAACAAGGTTTAGCGTAAACTGTGACGGTCTCGATGTATCAAGAGCAAATTAATTCGAGATTTGACGGATAAACGGACAAAATGATCGAACACAACAATTTTTTTCAAAAAAAGATCTGAAATTTGAAGTTTCGTTTTTTTGCAAATTTTTTTTTGTTGTTTCGTCTAGAATTTTTGTCGTTCTCCGTTTCTTTTCTATCTGCTCAATAGAATTACGATACATTTTGCTTTTTTCGGCGTTTTTCATGTTCTTTTTCAGCCACAAACAGTTATTTAATTTTTTTCTCGATTTCGTCTCGAAATTTATTGAAAAAAATTTTTTTCGTCTCGGTCTCAAAAAAATTACTTTCTTTACTAACTTCTTTTTTTCACGATAGTATGACATCATTTAAGCAACTAATGACGTCATATTTACTCACCTTTAGGCAGAGCCATAGTCACAGCTTCCACAGGTTTCGGAACAAAAGCCGCGCTGTTGAAAGGCTGGAAAATTAAACGAATAAACGAATAAAGCCGTGAAAAATTTAGTACGTGTATGCTCCACTGATAAATAAGGAGACCGAGGATAAAAAAACTTCATTTTGAAAGTTTCTTTTTTTAGATTTTTTTGTCTAATAGTAAGATTATTTTTAAAACTCTGTCGAGGAACTCGACTTTCAAAAGTTGTGGGAAAAGTAGCCGTCGTTAAACTTCTAGGTCCTGCGCCTTCTTCTCATAAATGGAAAGGTTGTTGAATTTAATCTTCAACTTCAAGTTCCACAGACCGTTTTTTTTTTTTCAAATCTATCCGCTTTCACATAATTTCCCAAAAACTCAGCCGTAGGCCGCAAATTCTCATTTAGACGGCTATTTTCACGCACTTGAATGAAAATTACCTTTTTCATACACGTATGACAGCCGTAGAGCAGGCAGATCTTGTTGTAGTCGTTCTCAGAAGCTTCTGTGACCCTTCCGATTCGCTTCTGCAATTATATGGAGGAGAGAGTGTTAGAGAAGTGACGTCATTAATGAAGGAATGGAATTATAATTATTAATAGGTCATTATCAGTAGTAATAATTATAACGGACCTGATAAAGAGGATTTTTGGTCCGCATGCTAATCAGTCCCTTCTTGGCGAAAGCCGTCTCATCATAATGCATGATTGAGGTGTAGTCATACGGTATCCCAAATGTCGTTGTGTCACCTTCGCTGAGCTTCGTGAACTGCTCGTAGTAGACTGGAAATGTTGATTCGAAGGTATAGCTATTCATCACGGTATTCGGAGATTCCGAGAATTGTTTTTTGCTATGTTCTTTTAGATTCGCGCTGGTTCGCGGCTGGCTTTAGCCATCGGAAAAATGGTTCTAACCAGATAAAGAAAAAGTGCCTGGTTGGTGGAGAGCACAGACAGGTCACGCCCCCTCACCGTCCCAAGCTAGCCATGAAAGTCTACATGAAGTAATAAGGTCTAAAAACGCCAGGCTCTGATGAAGCTAACTTTTAAAGATTGAGCTTCAATCCTACTTGCTTCAATGTTGCCATACAAAACGTCGATGTAGCGGTCCCGATCAGTTCTCATATGCTCGTGCCAAAGACCAAGTGTGTGCAGCATCTCGTGCAAAACCGTATAAGGTCGGATGCATCTGCGCATGGGCAGGTCGTAGAAATGTTTAGAAACAAAACAAACGTCGCGTAGTCGTTGGCTTCTAGCATCAAGACATTGGCGCCCTTGTTGTACCGGCCTACGCTGGCGTAGCATCTGGGAATGTAAAATTTGAGGGAATTTTCATTTTTATTCAATGAATCCATAACCGATGTTCATCTCCAAAAAAGACTTTTTCATCTATAGTTTATAGTCCGTTCGCCATTAGTTGAAACGGCATGTATTTCTCTGCTCTCTATGTCTCTCGGAAACGCTCTCAGATTTACGTGCTATTTTACTGTTTCTCTGACCTCGCCGGTGAGGGAACAAAGAGACGCAGACAGGCAGAAAGTTTGAAATAAAGGAGAACGAACTATATCTCCTGTCGCAAAAGGCATCAGTAACAAGGTTCATATTTTCTTCAAACGAGTTTATGACGTCACAAATTTCTTTTTGACGCATTTGGAATGGCTCGACGCGAAATTCAAAGTTTATTTCCAACTGCTACACGAATGCGACGCTCTGAGCCATTCCGAGCGCGATTCTGACTGTTCGAATTAGGCAAAAATGGTGAACTAAGTAACAAACATTTCTAGTGAAACCCACCCTTCGCCTCTTTGGTTTCGAATATCGATAAAGTCACGCTCATTGTTGCGAGGAACGTAACGGACGCAAGTATTCTCATTTATTCGTTGAATCGCCTGTTGGATCACGCTCAGTTCCAGTTGATCTAGGACAAACCAATTTGCTCGGGGGTGCGAAATTCTGACTTGTGTCCAAAAAGACACGGGTTCAAACCTCAGCCGATAAAATTTTTTTTTTTTGAAGAAATTTTTTGGGATATCTCCCTATTAAATTTCCATAATGAACCTTTAATTCTGAGAGAACATACCATAAAGACCAGTAATGACATAAGGGATGAGAAAATTGCCATCATCGTCCGTCATTTTGCTCCATCGTAGTGAGGATTCTGGTTTGATGACGTTTCTCATAGCGCTTCTGAACCAGCTTCATCCGAATTACGTTTCGAATAAATCGTTTCAACCTTAACTTATTAGTGCCATCTGCCGATCTGGGTCTCCTTAAATGCATAATATCACCGCCACCGTTTTCCGGCCCAAAAATGTTGATCGGCTTTCCCTAAACCTTTCTTGAACTTCGAACTAAAGGCTAAAGCTTTGTTTTTATACACGCCGTGGTCACTGAAGGGTTCAGGGGAGAAACCATAGTATCGGATACATCGTTAAAAACCTACCCTCAAAGCAAGAACGGCATGAAATGCATTGACCAGCACCAAAATGTACACCCAAACGACCCGCATCTGGCTGAAAAATTATGAAAAAAGGTTTTATTGAATTTCAAATCTCAATGAAAACCAAAAAGTAACATTAACAAAGAGAGAAAAGCTTGAAAAAGTTGGGCCGAAGTTCCGAAACTCTCTTCTTTTTTCCCATGACGTCAGAGGTGATAAAAAACAGTCGTTGGCACAATGGAAACACCACTCCCAGGCCGTCAAATATTTGCATGTAATATCCGTGCCGAGAAAAGTTTCAACTACTTTTTTTCTGCTTTTTTGGGTTGCTACTGATTCAAACTCGGTCCTCGGCAACAAGAACCGGATGTACTTCGGATGATTCTGAGCATTTTAAGTAATCCCTGTTCTTAAAAAAAGTAGCCTAATGGGGTCACTTGAAATGCTCAGAAAGCACGGTTTGCATTACCAAGTACCAAGGAAGGACGAAGAGATCCCTGGAGCAGAGTTCCAACTAGCGTTGAGCATGTTAAGGTTACAGATCTGCATAATACAAAAAAAACGTGATGGAAAAAAATCACGAGCCATTGAAATCTGCACGATCGTTAGAGCGGCCTTTTTGCTGATAATACGCCTTACTGTAGGGTTGACCAACAAAACTCAGTCCGAAAACTTAATTTGAGGTTTTTACAGTTTAGTTATTATTAGAGCAGAATTCACCTTAACTTTTAACTTTTTACGAGTCAGAGTAGGAGAAAACTAATTTTAATACTCGGACCTTGGGAACGCGCCCCGGACATGTCGGGGGACCACTTTAAAGGCATAGGGGCAGTAAAAAATGGGGTTTCAGGTAAAAGCAGTATCTTATATAGTTTTTTTCTTTGCGAATCGAATGGTGTACTCAAAAAAATTACAGATTTCACAATGTTAGAAGAAAAAAACGCGATTTTACTTCCCCGCCTTTAATTTTTGAAAAAAAGCTTTGGATCGGTATACAGACAATTGTTTACAGTAGCCGTGCACGCGATGTTGCGGACATCTCATTAGACTCGCATTTTGTGTGAAATAATCGGCTATCTACTTCAAATTGAGGGTTTATTTTCTGAGTAATCGATTAAGAAAACAGAAAACACACATTGATAATTAAGGAAACACAAATAATCGCTATTCCAATCGAAACCTGTGTAAAATCATCATTTTTCACAAAAGAAGCATTTTTGCGATCAAAGTATGCAAATTATACATGAATAGAAAGCTTTTGTGACGAAAAGAACTTTGGTGACAACAGAAAAAATTTAAATTTGAAAGAAACGAAGAAAAAAGCGAATATCCGGAAGATGGCGAAGCCTGTTGTCCATAGAGCAGCTTTACTGCAAAGCGCCCTTTTCGCGGGAACTCAAACTTTCCTTTCTCCGACTTTGAATTAATTTTTCTCCAAAACTAGGAAGTTCTGTACGTTTCCAAGTTCACCGTTCGATTTGCGATGAAAAGCTCTATAAATTACTGCTTTGAACTGAAACACCGTTTTTTACTGCTCCTATGCCTTTAATAGCGTCCGAACTCTCAAGTGGACCCTAGAACAGCTCAGATACGTCTGGAGCGCGTCCGGTTTTTGTTATCGAGATCCGAGTGATTGAAGAAACCAAAAAAGGTTACAATGGTACAAGATAGCAAAAAAAAGTTTAAAAAGGAAAACTGCTCCACAGCTGACTTTTTTGAATAACAAAGAATCAGAAGAAGAAAATCCAAAAACACGGTTTCAGGGTGGTTTTTGTATGCTCCCGACCGGTGCACAATGGGGCGGCATAATCGGTTAGCTTTTTTTCCCATGGACTTTGCATATAGTTAACGTCTAACCCTTGTCCCGACCGGTTCCTGGAAAGATTCAGGAAAGGATGATGAAATTAGAAGAGCATTTTATAAAAAAGATTTATTTATATATTTATTGAATCTGAGAAACGCCACCAAGTGTTGGGCGAGCCTTCATGAGAAGTTCCATCAAAATTTCTTACCTGAAAGAAGAAAGAAAAAGCTTTCATTTTTTTCGAAGAGGTTAAAAATTAACAGAATATCTGCTCTATTGATAAACTATCGTTGAATTGCTCATAGTTCATTTTTTAATTAAAAGGATAACTATAAAATGTATATCATCTTATTTTCAAGTTGAAGAAAGAAGAAGAAGCAAAAAACTATGGGAAATTGAGGCTTTTTGAAGGCTTCAACTCAAAAAAACTTTCCTCAAACAAATAACGATTTTTTTCAATAAAATATAAATGCGATTTGAGAAAGCTTCATCTTTTCTTCCCTTCAAGTGCTCCCTTCACCTCCTCTTCCATCAAACTTTAGTAAAAAAAAGTCATCTCTTCATCATTGTAACAATCTTCTAAAATTGATTCCACCTGCAAAAACTCGACCTACAGTGTTATTCATCACTTTACATAATCCAACGCCTCGGTTTTTGGTATTTTTCCTATTTTTCAATGACGTCGACCGAAAATTCTTGTTTCACTGGAAGTCTTTACATAACTTTAGCATGAATCGGTGCGCTTTTGATTGATGCAAAAAGCGTCATTTTCTGAGGAGAGAATGTACTTATCTGGGAAAATTAGAAAAGGTTAGTTCATTAGAATTTTTGGGTGGGATCTTTTATGTTTTGAAAATTTTCTTACAAAAAATGGCTTCTCTCATCTTTTTTTCCAGCTTTTTGAACTATTTGAATTAAAAGAAATTTGTTGTATCTATTTTCTTTCGAAAAACTCATAAAATAACACTGAAAAAAAAATACAACAAAAAATAGACAAAAATAATGACAATAGAGAGGAAAATTCACCCCTTTTGCCGTTATTTGAACATCTGTTCAATGGCATGCACGCGATACACGTGTTCGATTGGAGAAGTCGTTGGGTTTCGGGAGAAGAAATTCGGAAAAAGGACATTTTCGCGTTCCTACATTTTTAGAATGAAATAGCAGGCGTTGTTCAGTGTTACTTAAGGACGCCAAAGGGATCCCTAGAGGGCAACCTCAGAGGCACTTCAAAAACTCGATGAATATATCATCGTGCAATAGTCGATCGTTTTTATTAAATACGTAATTTTTCTTTTCAAGTCTGAACAAAAGTTTTAAACTTCTCATCGCTTCGTATCAGACCCTCTAGGATACCCTATTTTTTTCCCTTATGGGTTTCTCTCCTTAAACCCCTCCAGGGACCACTGCGGCGATCCAAAAATGACTTCGAAACATTCAAGTTGTGCCAAATAAGGTTCATTTATAGGAAGCAGAAAATGGACTCCAAATCATTTTTCAACTCTTTTTCACCTTGGTCTTTGGAAACAACCTCGACGTCATACCGTCTTTGAATTTTCGATTGGGCAAAAAACTGAGATTTCCCCAATTTTTCAGCCGTTTTATTCATTGATTCAACGTTTTTCGTGCTCCATTGATAAACGCTTCGTTCTGAAAATAGTTCCATTCTCTTTGAAATTTTTCAGTTTTTGTCTATATTTTAGATAAGTCTGGGAAATTCTTCGACTGTAAAACAAAACTTGAAGAATAATCCAACGTGAAAGACAACTGAAAATCAACGCGAAATGCAAGAAACTCGAAGCTTATTATTTGCGGCGACCATTGGACGTTTATCCGATAGGTCAGTTCTTTAAGAACCGGGTTCTCAAGGATTCACACGAGCTTTTTTTAAAATGTTTTTCAAAAATATTCGTTTTGCCAGCAGTGACCTTTAAGAATTTTGAATCATTGGTATATTTTTTCACGGTTTTCAGAGTGGTCTGCGAAGATGTTCAAAGACCCAATTATTTCCTTTCTCCTTTCTCTGTCCTGTCTATTTCAAGTTTCTGCTATAGGTATGTAGTTGTTATTCTGTGGAAGATGAAAAAGTTTAGCGTAAGCTACTTTGAAGATTTTAACGCTCCTGAAAAAATCTCAGAAACTTTCTTCAATATCATCTTTTTTTTAAAAAGATGCTCGTGTCGGTTTTTTAATTTTTTTTTTTTCAAAATTAATTTTTTCAACACTTTTATACTTCGTAAAAAAATCTGTGCAGTGAAAAGCAAGTAATTTGGAAATTTTTTGAATTTTCATTTTTCTCACGCATTGTAGGTCTTTGTTAAGGCTTTGATTCATTTCTCAAAAAATTATATTTTTATTCCTATCAAACTTAATTCCTTTTTTTGCAGAAGGATGTTGCAAAAGAACCATGTTAAGCTATCCTTCTGGAGCAGCAATTCCTCCTGAATGTGAAAAGCTTCGCTGCACAGAAGCGCCGATTCTTATTGAAAATCCTAAGCCATCATTCGATGAAATTGCTATGTTCCTAGCACCGGCAACGAAGATCAGCACGCTCACCGTAATCGATAACGAATTTTTCATATTCATTCATTCACTAGAAAATCTAGTTCACAAAGGACCTGGTTCGTGTTCAGAATCAAATTTTGCCTCACTTTGGAAGCTTCCTCATTTTAGATACTTGTTACAGGTCCTGCAATTTCTTTTCGCAATGCCAAGATGCACGAATCATGTTTCAAAAAATTGCAAAAAATAACTGTCGACGACATCCGCCCCTACTGCAAAGGAGAAAAACTTATCGTAGTGGAAGGCAAAATTGATGAGACTGTTAGGCAACGGCTGGAGACAGTCGCAAATCAGGTAGATTTTTTAATGAGGGAAACAATGAAAAAACCACACGAAGATTGAAAATACCACGGCTCCCAAACGTTTCAACTTTCAAAGCTTCAATGTCTCAATATGTGTATTTTTGTTTGACACATCAAAATTTCAGAAATTTTCTGAAGCGCGCGAAAACTACCGTACTTTTCAGACATTGGCCGATTGCGCGAAGTTGACGACGCTAGCCCCTTCAACCACTACAGAAGCGATTAACACCACGACGGTGACAACGGAGGCGCCCACGACGACTGAAGAAGCTGTCAACACCACGACAACTATCGCGACGACGACAGAACCTGAGATCAACACCACGACTGTCACCACCATCGCGACGACGACGCCAGAACCAACGACGAGGACCACGACAACTGAAACTCTCGAGACGACGACGCCGGACACTACAGTTGCTCCAGACGAAGCTATCAGTTCCACGACGACTGCGACAAAATCGCCGCCTCAAAACTGCGTCGGTGCGGCCGCGCTCGCTCCAGCTGCCGAAGAGAAAGAATGCCCCTCGACAAGTGAGTTGATTGGAACTGAAAGCCAAAATTTAAAAAAAAAATGATAAGAACTTAACGGTTTCATATTTTCGGGGCGATTTTGTAGTTTGATAAATATGAGGACTAAATTTGAAATTAGATCTTAAAGTTAAAAGGCTTTGTTTAATGAAGACATTATCATCCGTTCCAATGAATATATTTTTCACAGGCATGATCGTCCTTCCTGGAATCGTCGTGATTATTTTCCTGATTTTGGCTCTCGGAATTGTTTCCTACATCGCCTTCATAAAAAACAAATCGAGCCCAAATAATCGTCCAAACTCGAAGAACAACAGCAAAGAACTGTCCAGCCTTGGAGTACCGATAGAAAGGTCGAAAGAGGCTGTAGAAGCTTCCAAACGCAAAGATGCTGGGAAGGACTTTGCCGTTTTCCTAAACAAAGAAACAGAGACGAGAGAAGAAACGCCGAAGTTGGACAAGAAAATAAATCTGGAGGCTGGTGTGATTGGACCTAGTGAAGTCTCGCTCTGTAGAATTCAGCCGAAAAAAGAAAAAGTGCTCAGCGAAAAACCAATCAAGATTCAGCCTGAGAAGAACCCGCCAAAAAAGACTTTCCTGCAAAAGGGAATTATGAAGAAAGCAAAAGTTCAGCCACCTGAATCTATCCTTCAGGGAAAGGAGACTCGATTCCAACCGCCGCTCGAAGAGACAAACTTCTACAATTCTTCTACTGATTCTCCAGCTTTGGAGCCTTCTACTGCTCCCAGCACCGATTCTAAAGATTTGCGTGAGTTTCCAATCAAACTGGAGTTCGGCCTAAAGAAGTTCTTTTCAGTGTCTCAAAAAAAACATAACAGAACTATGTCCACCGCCTGGTCAGACATGCGAACAATCGGAGAAGATAATCAACATCGAAAAGAAGGAACGAGCTTCAACTCTGTTTTCGGACGTACTCAACGATTTTGAAGTCAGTTTTCACTCAAATCTTTCATCATGTTCAGCTGTTATCATCCTCAAAAGACTACACGTTATGAAAAATTATTTTCAGAGTCTTTACAAGCAACCTATCTTTCCGGAGAAGCGACTGCATGAGGAAAAGCACAAGGAAAATCTAAAAAAGCTCAACACGAAAATTTGACTTATTTCTTCTTTTTTCTGTACCTATTCTCTAGATTTTTCTTTTTTTTTGTAGCAATTTTTGTCGAAATAAGTCAATGGACTGAAAATAAAAATTTTATTGAAAAATATTGGAAAACTCCTTTCCAAAGAAGAAATGTGTGTCTCGCGGGCTTAGAAAAACCGATCGGCTGACCCTCGCACAAGCCTGGTTTACAACAGAGTTAATCTATGGGCAAATTTTACTATAAAATGTTTATTTTTTTGAGTTGGTACGACAAAAATCTCAAGTCCGCAAATCTTGAGGACCGTAAGCCTGTGTACGCACATCACAAGGCCAATATTCTTGGAGACCAAAATCTCGGAAAAACAGATCTGTTTTTTTCTGCGGAAAGCATCGCTTTGGTGTTTCAGATTTTAAAAATATTTTGTTTTTAGAATAGATCTCATCAGAAATTGTGTTCGGTGATTGAAGGAGAGAATATAAGAAGAAGAATCTAAATAAATAAGACGTAAATGAGAGGTTTTAGCTTTCCAAGATTTTTGGTTTCCAAGATTATGGGCTTTGACTCAAAGCCTTTGAGATCTGAGTACACAGGCTTACAGATCTTTAGAGTCGGTGACTCTATGTGAAAAATTAAAAATTATCAAGTTCAAACTAGAATTTTTTTCGAAATTCATGGCTTCTTTTCATCTTTTTTTAGCTTATTTTGAGTTATCAAGATCTATGTTTCATTCGACGAAATCAAAAAGTTACAATGAAATGGAGAAAAAAATATGAAATAAATACAGACAAAAAGAAGAACAATAGAGAGGAAAAACTAAATAAATATATCTTTTTAGAAAGGTTAAAGTGACCCCTTTGCCGTTATTTGAACATCTGTTCAATGGCATTCACACGAAACTAACCACTCTAGGGACCACTTTAGCGTCCCTAATTATGATGTTGGGTGAAATCGGAAGGGCCGAAGTTCGATTCCTGGAAGCAGTCGAAAAAGTCTTTTTCGTAAGATATATGTTCTTGCCAAACGTCTTTGATTTTTAGTTGACTTTCCCTTTTTGGCCTATTCAACTGAAGCTTATATTTTCAAGAAAATATAAGTCTTCTCTACAGAACTTCTCCAAGTTGTATCTGAATTTAACTCTCATCCTATTTTGTTTTCATCAAACCCCAAATTAATCAATTTCCAGCTTCGTTGATGATGATGAACGTCCTTATTTGGTCAGTCGGCTGGACCGAATGCTCATCCGGCGCTTATTTCAACGCGATTTCCTACCGGTACGTTTCTTTTTTTTTCTCGATTCAATTCCGAAATCGTGTATACTTTCAATCTTTTTTTTCGATTTTGGTAAATTGGAAGTTGATGAAAATTTTCTCGTCGTTAATTCGACGAGAAAATTTTCATCAACTTCCAATCGTTAAATTTTGGAGTGAAACTTCTATGAACTCTATTTTTCGATTTTTTTTTTCCCGTGGATTGTTCAGTTTTTGTTAACATTTAACTATTGTGACTTTTTTTTTGGCGGTTTCCTTCTTCAGATTAAGAATCAGAGTGAGAAAAAGCAGGTATTCTTATCCTAGTTTGAAGTATCTATCATTTCCTAAAAATTTAAAAAAAGATTTGATTTTTTTAACCGCAACGCGACCGCGACGCTTCAAGCCATTCCACGTGCGACCACGCTATTTTTTTAATCCGGAAAATCCCTCGCGCAAATTCCGACAAACTTTTTGTTGGTCGAGGTGGGAAAGCTCGCGGCACATTTGGAACAAAAGACGGCGACAAAAAGCGTCTCGATGACGGTATTGTTGGGGGAGCCCCGGGGTTGTTTGCCAAAAAGCGTGTGCTCCGCGCCAAGAGATTTCGTTTCTCTCCGTTTCCCGGGGCGGTGGGAAGAGTCATACAAATACTCGAAGCCAAATACAGTCATCCCCCAGTTGACTTGACTCATCTCCCCTTGAGAAAGAGAGTGAGCTTCACCTCAAACGTCTTTTTTGTTTGACGGTTTCTAGTGCCAATAGGCGTCATTCTGCTTTGGAAGACCTTCGGAAACTGAACCTTATCTCTAATTATCTTGAACAGTTCTTTTTGGTAATGACTTATAGAGATAGTCAGAGATTCTGATAGCCCCTAGAACCGCTAGGTTGCCTTTAACCTCTGTGAAGACCATTTCAAGACGGGATAGTTTTCAAGAACCTTAGAAAACTGTTCCAAGTCAAGCAAGGATTTTTATCCCAGTTTTCATCTGTGTTGACTCATCTACCTGTCTGAGAAAACAAAATTTTTGTTCGAAACGGTTTTTTGGTGCCGTTTTGCTTTGGAAGGTATTTTAGAATTTAATCAATTTTCAATGAACAGCAGCTTTTAAGAGACAGCGAACTTGAAAAAAAAGTTGTTTCCGGGTTCAAACTGATTTTAACTTTTTCAATTAGTATAATATTTTCCTTGCTCTCAAATAGTTTCTCACGTGCCCAGGAAACCATAGAAGTATAGAAAAAAGCGACTTTCAACTGAAGAACTTTTTGAAGCTTCAAAAACTTTTAATCGATTCTCAAAGCTCCAAAAAAAAAAATAATACTAATATTTTTTTTCTCAGCCAGAAACGACCTACTAAGTCTAGAACATCTTAACTTGAAAAATTCCCCAAAAAAATCCAAAAAATACCTGAAAATGTATCCTCACCTTGACCCGATCCCTAGAATTCTAAGAAGGCTTCTTAGTTTCATAAAACCGATCCCATCCGGAGCAAAAAAAAAAAGTTCACACCCATTCCTGTCCATCGTGAGAGAAATTCCGCCGCCGACCACCTTCCCGTCGCCGTTTCCATATCCATATTTTTCCGGAAAATCCCAAGTTGGCTATTCCTTTTTTTCTAAATCTGCCTATTCCTTTTTTCTAAATGGACCTGTGAGTAATCAATGTGATGGAAGGTCATCAGGTCCCGACCACAGTCAAATCCGAAGGAAACAAGGGCGGAGGGTCTCGTGTCGCCACAGCTTCCGGAGTACCGAGGTATGGTCATTTCTGTCGTTTTCGAGGAGTTTTTTCCCATGCGTTGAGTTCGTAATGGAATTGTCTATGATACGGCTTCGGTAGTATAAATTTCAAGGAAGAAATCTCTGTAGTTCTTTTTGTAAATTTTTTTGTGGAACAAAGGGATTTTTTTCTATAAATTACAAGTATTTTGGATTACTCTACATGGAAATAAAAATCTTATTTATGTAAATTATCTTGAAAAAAAGAGAAGAAATTGTAGAAATGGCAAAAAAATGGCTGGGCGCTGAGAGGAATCGAACCCTTGACCTTTAAATTATAAATTATAACTTTCTACTACTTAACCACGATACAAAACTCCGTCTTGGTTATTTTATTATTCAATCCCGACTTTATCAGATCCTAGAGCCGTTAGAAGGCGCTGAATCATTTTTTTTTTCACAAAGTTTCCATTTTTTTTTATCCTTTGCTTAATTTCAAGCATAAAATAACGTGATATACCACGAACTCTGCTGATTTCATGAAATAACATCAAAATTGTCTCTTTTCCGTCTCAAACACAAGTGTTTGGGTTTCTCACCGTACTTCAATATTTCGCCAAACTTTTGATCGGCTTCGGATTCTCTTAAACTTTTCTTTTGAACTCTATATCTCTCATTCTCTGAAACTTCGATTCCCCTCTGCGCTGGGCTATTTATGCCATTCTTCGAACTTTATTTGAAGCTCAAACTCTGAAAAAGATACTGAAAGGAAATCAAGTCAATAGTTTAGCGCAGTGCCTAGTGAGCTTGTCTCACAATACAATGGTGAATGGCTCGGTTTCCATCGGTGTTTGATCGTTTTTGCCATTTTCCTCGTCTTTCCCCTCAAAAATACTTTTTCAGAATGGTTTTCGCGGAAATAGTCGGAACTCTTTCGTTCCTCCAACCGCAGGCCGATGACGATATTTCTGATCGCCTTCATTACTATTACACGACGACTTTTCTACTTTTAACAGCTGTAATTCAATAATTTTCCTTTTATAAATTATCTAAAATAGGTTTTAATATCGTTGAAAATGTTTGGCGGTCGGCCAATCGAATGTTGGCTTCCAGCCGAGTACAAAAGCAGCTGGGAGGATTATACAGGTAATCTCAAATAACTCACTAATCAACTAATCAAACACCTTCAGAAATGTACTGTTGGGCGCGGAATACCTACTTCGCGGCTTTCGACGATGAATTACCGGAAGTTAGCCGGCGCGAGAATACGATGGTGAGTTAGCGCAGTCGGTAGCGTTCTAGCTCCCAACTCCAAAGGTCGCTGGTTCGAGCCCATCCACGTTTTTTGTAGGTCTCCTACTATCAATGGGTCCCTTTTTTCCTCGTTGTCGTCGCTTTTATGTTCTATTCACCGTGTCTTTTATGGAGGCTACTTTATGATAAATCTGGTTGGTTTTTTTGATTTTTTTCTGAAAAAAATATATTTTTTTAGGAATTCGGTTGAAAGATATCATGGGCTTTGCCAATGACAAGAGCAATGTTCAACCAGGTTTTGAAAAAAACCTTTTTTTCTGACAAAAAAATTATATTAAGCTCAACGAAGAGCCAATATCAACGGCTTGGCCGCCCATTTATCCTCGATTTTCAAGCACCGATTTCGTTTCGGCTCCAAACATCCGTATCATCACAAGTACGTGAGATGAAACTTGAGGAAGATGGACGCATTTGGAATGGCTAGGAGCGCTCCCAACCAAAAGCGGATTGCGCAAAAAATATAAAATTTCAACTTGTTCGAAATCGAAAAAAAAAATCAAGCCGCAGCGCGACCGCGACGCTTTAGAAAGCCATTACAAGTGCAACTAAGATTCATTGTTTTCTATTCAGTCGCATTGGGAATGGCTAAAAGTTTTCCGACCAGAAACGGCTTGTGTGGGATGGCTTTCAAGGTCTGCTTCAAACTTTTAAAGTTTCAACTTTTTTGAAACCTGAAATATCAAGCAGTAGCGCGACCGCGACGCGTTAAGAAAGCCATACTGAATTCAGCTAAGGTTTAGTGTTATCTATTTAGCCGCGTTGGGAATGACTCAGGGCGTAACGGTTGCTCGCTTGCGCCCGACTTGATTTGACCCGTGATCGGAGATATAAATAGTGGGTAAATTCCAACTGCCCCGCTTCAAGAGATTTGGAGTGCTGCTATTTTTTATATGTCTTCAAGTTCATTTTTCAATTTCAGAATATTCAAATTCCTGAACCTTCGTTTCTACGAAGCCTACCTCACATTCCTCTACCTCGGCATCAAATTCTTGTTCCTGATCAATGTCTTATTACAGGTTTCCGTTTGAGGAAAATCTTCGCATACTGAAAAATATATTTAGATGTTTTTACTGAGCCGATTTTTAGAGATGAACTCGAGGGGGTTTTATGGCTATGGCCTATTTTTCGATTTGGTCACCGGGAAAGGTTATTTTTTCTTCATTTTTCAAATAACAATTTCAAAAAGGACAATTTCGAAAGACTAGTCTGACTTCAGAAAGATTTTTCAATTGGGGAAGTAGATATCGGCGGAATAGTGTGTAAAAAGAAGATATTCAGACATCTTCAGCAAGTCAAAACATTTCTTTATTATCTTTATGAGATATATTGGAGTTTGATTTTTTTAAGAATGTTCAAATTTTGAGATTCTCTCGCAAGCCATTTTTCGTTCGAATTAGTAGAAGTTCAAAAATAATGGGGTAGGAAGCTTGAAATACCGTTTTCTTCAACCTTGGCTTGCAAACACGAAATACCTCAAGTGAGCACCTGTTAAATTAATTGTTAAACAGGCTGTTAATTTTCTGATCTCTTTTTTCTCTATCTAATCAGCAGTTTTGCTTCACTTTTCTATCTTGAATAATTGAAAAACCTTTTGAAGCGGCTGAAAAATCTAAGTACTCTGTAGGAATCTATTAAAATGTATGCCTTAATTGAGATTTCTCTTTTTTTCGCGCTATCGACTTTTTTGAATTAACAGAAATTTTTTTGTGTTAATATCAATTATAACCTTTCCAAATAGATTTCCTTAAATTTCTTGATACTGCAAATTTCAGGCTGGAAAGAATCGCCGAACTTCCCGGTTGTCACTTATTGCGATATGCAAATTCGGATATTGGGACAGGTTCAAAGGCATACGGTTCAATGTGTCCTCGTCATTAATATATTCACTGAGAAGGTGAGAAACAAAATGAGCGAAAGGGAAAAAACAGCCGTGGAAATGTGGGGCTTGTGCGCTCTGGCTAATTCTTTCTACTTGTCGGTTAGATGAAGTTAGAAATTCACCATAGCTTAGTATAGGGGGCGCAAAGCCCCGCCCCTTCACGCCACCAAAATGACGATTTTTTTGTTGCAAAAACGGTTTTGAGGCGTTTATACTAGCTAAAGTCCCTCTTTAAAAAAATGAACTGTTTCTGTTAACCTATGTAATCGACAACGCTCTACAAGACTCAATATTTTTTTAAAAACTATGTATTTTTTTCAAAAATTAAGCGAAAAAAAGTAAGATTTAACACGAAAAAAACTGACAAGTTTCACAAAAATCGTCGCGTTTCAGAAAACCAAGTGAGGAACGCTTCTGAATTTTGAGTATGTTATACATTAACACTTTCTTTATTTTTTTGAGTGAAAATGAAAAAAATCTACCGACGCGAAAAAAATATTAAAAGCTTGTAAAGTGACAGCAAACTTTGAAGCTGAAATGCGAAAAAAATTTTTCAGCGACATGGTATACTTTTTATTTGATTTAAAAACTAACAAAGTGTCCAAAAAAATAAAAAAATTCAAAAATGAAAAATAATTATTGGGACAGCGAATCAAATTATATTTGAATTTTACCAAAACCTCCTTTTTTCGCCTGCCTCGTTGACGCATGAGAGAATAGGATCGCGTTTATACTTTTGATCAGGTTATTAAGCGTTCAAAAACTCTATCAATGAAAAAAATTATGAAAAAAATCAAACGACGCGAAAAAAATAACGGCTCTAAAAAACCTCGAAAAAAATGTCAATTTTTTTGAAATTTTGGAAGAATTCGTGCAAGCGTCCGTAGCAGTGTTTGCGTCCAACACACCGATGCGCCCTTTTAAATGTCGCAGGAGCCGTTTTTTTCGGAGTCAAATTGCACATTTTCCTGTTTTATTTCGAAATAACATTATTTTTTTCATTTTTTTCTTTTTTTAAAAACCAAATGATAATAATTTTTTTCTCATTAGAAAAAAAGAAAAAAATAAGCTAAAAAAATTCCTTCTGACCTTTTTTTCTAAGTAGTTTTTTTGATATTTTATCAAAAAAATTCTTATGAGGATTGTACAAAAGATTCATACCAAAACATGAAGCTCAGTCCGGACAACCTCTCAGAACAGAAAACCGATTTGAAAACGGTTCAGAAATGCGCAAAAACATTTAAAAAGAAAGCGTGCGGCAGCGGGTAAACCGTGAGATTTTGCCTCCAGTTGAACGCCGAGCGCGCTCGTTTTTTGGCCATAACTTTTTTCTTAGTGGAGCTTTTTTCAAAAACTAAACGGATTATGAAAATGGACAGTCTCCTCTATCGAACAATGTGAAAAACATATTTTTTGAATCGTTCTGAAGAAACGGCTTGCGGTCCCTAGCTTAGTAGTCATTCGCTATCAAAAGCTTTGAAAGTTAACAAGAAGTTCGTCATGAACAACTTCTGATTGGATGGCCACGCCCCTTTTTTTATACAAATTTTTTCGTGGCTCGAAAGTCGTCATCCTTTAACTTTGAGCGTTTACATCATTTTTTTAAAATCAAATTTCAACTTTTTTTTTTCCTCTAGATTTTCTTCATGTTATGGCTGTGGTACTCGCTGCTGGCGGTGGTCTCCTTCTGCTCGATAATTTCTTGGATTTTCTCCTCGCTTCCTTTCGAACAACGCAAGAAATTCGTGGCTCGACGGCTGGAACTGGCCGATGTCTCTTTCAAGAAGGGAAACTTTGTCAATGAACTGGAGGAGGTTGGGAAATGCTCTTATTTTGAGTGAAAGCGGCTCGGAAAATGACTGAGAGGTCAAACCCTAAAGTGTCCGCTAAAAGTTTTCCCTTTCCGAGACCATTCAAAAATTAAAAAAAAACGACCTGGCTGCTTGGAGTTGTGATTAGGTCTAAAAATATTTTGTTGAACTGTTTTCAAAACATTTAAGTCTCTACAAGGTCTTGAGACAGAAAAAAACCCTCTTTTCCTTGGAAAAACTTTAGTGGCCACCACTTAAGAGGCCTCTCAGGACCACCTTTAGTGGACACTAAACTGGTCACTTTAACTACCTCTATAAAAGCCACTACTTTTCGTCTTAGTGTCGACTATAGTCTCTAGTACCACTTAAACTTCTAAAGTGACCACTTATTCTTAGCAAATAAAGAGGCCATTATTTCGACTACTAGAGAGACTACTGAACGTCAAAACGCTAAAATGGCCACTAAACATTTTCCCAGTTTCAAATTACAACTGCTCATGGGACTTTGCTGTTTCGCTCTTTAAATGTGTAAGCCGCCACGAATTGGTATTTTTCCTCTCAGAGATTTTTGTGTGGAGACCCAATATTCTTTATTAGTTTTTCAATATTTTTTGCCCAAGTTTTGAATTTTTTCCAGTTTGTCCGAGACTACGTGAAGATGGACGGAGTTTTCGTCCTGAAAATGATAACGATCCATTCCGGAGTTTTAATTTGCACTGAAGTTGTCGACACCATGTGGGACCAGTTCCTCGCCGAGCAAGGTCAGTTTTTCCTTTTCCTCAACATTTTTGATTTCTTCTGTTTTTTTGTCCGCTTTTGTTATGTTATGAAAACTTTTGATGGATTTCCCGAGTAAAATAAGGCGATTTTCCGTTTCAGTTCTAGTTCAAAATGGTGTGGCCTTCCTATTTCATATTACAATTTTGTTACAAATTTTCATGGGATTTTAAAGCTTTTTTTTTGAGTTTTAAGATTTCTTCAGAAGTTCTATAAATACAGGCTTCTTGACAGTTCAATAATCGATAAAGTTTTTTTTTTTGCAAACTTTCGAGCAATTGAGCCTAAAAATGTGTGATCTGCCAAAAATAATCAGACACGCGACGCGGTCGCGTCGCGGCCTAAAATCAGCCGAGTCTTCAGGTCACGAGGTGATTACGCAGTTGCTCGACGAGGGCAAGGAGGGCGATGAGAGGGCACCTTCGGGACTCTCCATCGACAACTACAAGCGGAAGACGTCCGTCCTGGTCCCGCTCGTCAGTCGCGAAGACCTCAGTCAGCCTCCCGTCGATCAATATCTGAGGCCTCCCAGTAGTCGGCTACAGTAACCTGTTACAGTAGCCTGGATGACAGATCAATATCATCTCAATTTTCTTTTTTTGTTCTGAATTTCTGTGATTAACCAAGGCCTTTTCTGTTGTCCTTTCCAGGTCTTGATCGTATATCCCAAATTTTTTTCGTTATTTCTGATTTTCCGCCAATGTATCTACGTTATTTGTGAATTTTGTGAGTTTGGATTAGGCATTGAATTCCAAATCTGTATTTTTCCGGCCTGAATCAGATTCGCAACTTTCAATTAATGGTTACTTCTCATTTTCACTTTGTTAAAGAAATATTTGGCTTCGTACATTCATTGTTTGCATCCGACCTGAAGCGTCTTGCGCCTTATAATTAATTTTCTAGGTTAATCATTGAGCTCTCAGTTTTCTGCTGACCAAGCTTTCCCTCGATCTTATTTTTGGGACTCAGTCGACCCACCCTCATTCACTTGGCCCTTTTCCGTTTTTACTTGGTTAGTTGGGACTTTATCAATGGAGCGAACATTTTGCAGCGTCCAAGACAGGCAGCACCGTTCAGTTGGCATTTCCACAGAGGAAAGCGACAAGAGTGAGATATTACGAACCTCTGGTGGCCAGGAAGTTTGGCCGGGAAATGGGAGAGCCTTATTTTTTCTGAAGCTTTCTTTCATTTCAATTTCGAAGATGTTGGAAAGTAGGAAGAACAGTGATGGTCACGATTATTGCTTATTGATTTTTTTCATGAGCACCTAAAAAGCTACTGGAGCTTGACTTATAAAACTTGCACTAAAAAAATCCCTTAAGCGACCACTTGGAATTTTTTTCTTACTTTCTAGCTTTTTTTCGAAATTTTTCTTTGTGATTTTTTTATTCCTTGGGTCATAATATTAATATATAATTTTCTCAGGTTTATTCTGACAGATTGAAAGATAAAAATCAAATCTTGAATTTTATCATTTTGAACAAGGAAATGGCACGATTTTCGAATCCGGGCGGCAAAATTTGAGCATGGCAAGGCGAAAAAAGGAATAATTTGTTTCTTTTTCTGTTAATACTGAAATATGTACACGAGAGTAAGTGAATTCTAACAGGAAAAATTAGGGGAAAAAAATCGAAATTATCACCAAATCAATCTCAATATTTCTCATTATAAGTAGTTGGAAAAAGAATAGACATCGGAATCCAGGAAAATGACAATAAATTAGGCACAATAAAGAGAAAGGAAGAAATCAAATTTGAGGCAAAAGAGTTTCTTGTTTAACCGGCTCACACGCCGTGGAAAGTGTTTGGAAAATCTGAAATCGGGATTCTGATGACATTTAAAAAAAAAAGTCGATCAAAGAAAAGGAAACTAAAGAGTGTGGTGAGAGCGGAGACACCTAGACATTTATGGCGTATGCGCCTCGCTAACTTTGTAGCTATCATGTTCTTTGTACATTCCAAATTTTGGTCGACTTATTCAAGAATCAGGGGAAAGTAGTAAAAACGAAGGTTAAAGATTATGAGAAATAAAGAGACGTCTCTCTCTTTTTTCTATGACCTCTAAAATCTACGAATTCCGTATGTCGTACTCGGACCTCGTAACGCGGACCGTGCGTTCCTGAGCAATTCTAGGGATCAATTAAAGGTGCTGACCGCTAAAGTGGTCACTAGAAACGTCCGGAACGCGTCCGGTTCGCGTTATTAAATGTTTTTCAAGGATTATTCCGATAGAGCGCAGTTTCCGAGATACCGAAGGGCTTTTTATTACTGTTATAATAATTAATAAAGTATTGATCATAAATAAAGTGAACCTGAGGATCCGATTGTTTGTCATCGTGAAGAATAAGCTCACTGATCAACGAATCGACATTTGCCAGGCCGAATAGTCGCGCCAACTGCACGTCTTCCACCTTAAGTGGTCACTTTTGAACTCATTATCGTTTATATTCGAAGTTTTGCAGCTTCTTCCTGGGCCACAACTTTGAAAGTTCTTTCCCGATTCTTCATTTGAAAAATTAAAAAGCTTTTTAGTTTTAAGCTGGCTATCCTTTTCAACTGAATGATATATATCTGAAATCCCAATTTGTGCTAAATCTTATGAAAAGCCTCAAAAATCGACTATTATTGAGAAAAATGAAAAAATTCGAAAATTTATCTCAAAAATTCATAAGTTCAGTCCCACTTTACCTATTCTAACAGATTCTGCACCATTGAAACCATAAAACCAAGCTGAATCTGAAAACTGAGTCAAAAATTACCAATTGCTGAGCGACAGCCTGTAGAGACGGTAAAAGGAGCAAAAGTCGGCCAGATCGGCAGTCATTTTCTTCTGTCGCCGTGGTACTCGCTACCCGTGCGCACCTGTTATTTCACCTTCACGAATCCTTATTAAAATAAAATTCTTAGGAAAAACGAAGTGGTCCCTATAGAGGCGGCCTTAGAAGCCTTTTGAAGGTTCTCCTCAGAAACTGGCATTCCTTGGTAATTTATCATAATCAAGATCCCTTAGCAGTAGAAAGAAAAAACAATTTAAAAAGTTGCGTCTAAATTCTGAATTTTCTTTCTTCATTTTTTTATCAAGTTAAACATTTTTTTGAAACCATTCAAAAAAAGCATGTTTACAAAAATGCGATAAAGAATGAAAGATAAATTAATTATAATGGAATTTCGAAATTCCTTCTTTGTAAATTTTCAAGCCGTTTTTTCAGATTTATGATCATATGAAAACAGAAACTTTTCGAAAAAATTGCCAGAAAAACCGAAAAAAGTTGAAATGTGAGAACGCCTGTTTTTTTAATTAACTAGCTATGGAGCCAAAAAAAAAACAGGTCTTTCCTTATAGGCGATCGCATTTTTGTAAACTACTGATAACTCCAGTAGTTTGCCTACCTCTTTTCCAAGGCCCTCAAACAAGCCAATCTTGCGTTTTCCACGGAATCCGAGTCCTCGACGTCTCTTGTAACTGTAAAATAGTTTTCATTATTTTATTTTGATCCTTTTCTTAGATTCTTCTCGAATCAAGGTCAAAAGCCGATTCAAAATAATTCTTCTGATACTTTTTGTTTGAAAAGTCTAATGGAAACCACCGCAAATCGACTCTCATCAACAAATGCAAATACTGACTGATGAACCTTTTCTAAAACAGAAACATGAGATTAGAAACAGACAAACCGGGATTGAAGAACAAAATCGCCTTGAGGGCCACGTATTCGATCAAATCCAGATGAATTCTTCGCATCGGCGAGATCAACTCGTCGATTATTCGGCTCACGACGTTGCTGATAAAACTTTCATTAAATTTGAATGATGGCCCAGTGGGTAGTGCTTCTAAATGCGGTCCGAAAGATCACAGGTTCAACTCTCATCGAAAGAATTTGCGACTTTTGAAGAACGCAAAATTTTGGGTTAATAATGAAAAAAAGTTGAGTCATCCGTTTTTGACTAACCTCGAGTGGCCGCTCAAGGGTCCCTTTTCTAATGATATTTAAATGATTAGGACTTTTGAGTGCGGTGTAAAAGGTCACAGGTTCGGCTCCCATAGATGATTTTAAATCTTTTGCATTTTTTTTTTCAAGCGACAGCTCAAAATGGTGGATTTCTCCGAAATTTCTATCAAAAATCACCTCGTTCTACTTTTCTGATATTTTTCGAAGTTCGGAGTTATTATTACTTGATATCGCCGATGTTGACGGCGTGTTCCTTGGGCAACAAAGTGTCGTTGGCCAGGCAAATCGAGTCTTTCAGGCAAATTGACCGAAAAGCCACGCCGAGGACGATTATTGACGCAGCCGTGCCTTTCAGAAGAGCAGCCTGAAAATAAAAAAGGTTAGTTTCAAAAAAATACTATTTATCCTTTTCAAAAACTTTCTAGTCCTCTAACCTTCACTTTTCATTCCCATACCCTCATCACATCGCTCGTTATTTTTTTTTACAAATATAAAAATCCGGTGGTATGGGAAAAAAAACCCGCGAATTTTCGAAACGCGACTTTTCCGATTTTTTCATATCATTAGGAACTCTCCAACAAATCGCTTTTCGACTTTTTTCGCTTATTTTTTTGGTTTATAATATATCTATAAAATATTAGCATTTTTTTTTCTATTTCTTTGTGTTTTAATCATGTATCAACACCTACTTTGTATAGGAAGATTCAAAACGGAGAATTTGTAGAAAAAAAGGTCAGAAACTTCGCCGTCGGAAAGTTCCCTAGCGATATGAAAAAATCGGAAAAGTCGCCGTTCGAATTTACGCTGATCTTTTTTCATACCAGCAAAAATCCATTTCAAGAAAATGATCCTAAAATGAAGAACAAAAATCTGAAAAGCGGGTTTAACAGTTTTTATGAACATAATTAGCCAGTCTCACCCCTCTCGGTACTCTCTCTTTCTCTCTCGGTAAGGCTAATCGGACGCGCCCCGGACATTCTGAGTGATCCTTTCGATACTCTCAAGTGGTTACTTGAAATGCTCAGAAACGTCCGGTTTGCGCTATCGAGGTTCGAGTACACTCTATTCCCTACCGTTTAAAGATAAGAATAACTGAAAAATATGCCTAAATCTCTCATATCCGGCTGCTTTTTCGTTAACTTTCTCAAAACAGGGGTGAAGGAACAATACTCGGAAATTTGCGAGATTCCAAACCTGATCAGTCAAAGACAAGAGGGAGAACTGCTGGAGGGACTTGGCCCACTCGACGAGCAGGACCAGCTGCTGATGGATCGACTTGCCGACGTCATCGAGGGTCGCCCGACGGTCGTCCTCCGTCTTGAACTTGACCTTCCCGCAGTCGTAGGAGACCTGAAATCCTTGAGTCTTCCGTTGATTCCAGTCTTTTGAGTGAAAAACCTGACTCAATTCTCGGGCTCTCAAGGTTTCAACGCCCCCGACAGAAAGCTACTTACGCGTCGCAGCCCTCTATAGCAGAAAGCGCAGAAAACCGCCAAGGGTTGAACGATGTTTCAAGGTGAGTACCGCAGTTATAAATTTTTTTAGATTTTTTTAGTGGCACTTTGTAGGTACGACAAAAACCGTTGAACTAATGCCGTGTTCAAAGTAATTTCCGCGAAATGCAAAATGATCTCTGACTCTCCAAAATTTAGTGATCTTTTCCTTTCTCTAACGGGTATTTTGCATTTCGCGGAATCAAATTGAACACGGCATAAAGATCAGTACGGGTGAATGAAAAGAATTCAACTTTTTTGCGAGAATTTTTCATCTTATTGTATGAATTTTCAAGCAACTAAACGCGGTTTAGAGCCATTCCAACCCTATAAAACTACGGTATCGTTACCGTTTGAGTCCTCTTGATGACAGAACTTCTTAATTGCTGGCAGAGTTTCTCAGCGGCCACAAGTTGATCGATCAGTTCTTCCCGCTCACTTTCCGCCTTTTTTCTTTTCCCGATAGCGTCTCTCTCGTTTTGAATCGCTGAAAAAAATAAGATCCATATGGAAAAAAATAAATAAATTTCGATAAATTCCCAAATAAACTAACCGTTCGATTTCATGCCAGCCTTGACGCACTTTTTGCAGTCTGCAGGACCTGCATGCGTTTCTTCGATCTGAAAAATTTTAATTTTTTTCTAATCCTTCAGTAATCAACAAAAAAATAATTGATCGGTGAAGACTCGATCCCGCGACCTTATAGACAAGAAACTAAGCGCTTAGCCACTTAGCCACTCACTTTTCGTGACGTCACAAGATCGCTCAAACCGGCATACGTAGTTGTGTCGCTTTCGGATGCTACGGCGGAAGAAGCCTGAGAACAAACTTCTGAGTGACCTCTTGAGGGGCTTTATTACTTTGATCTACACTAATTGTTATCCATTTAACGAGGTCTTTTCCATGCAAGAATATTTCCAAGTAATGGAGCCATTAAAGTAACTTAGAAAAAGTTCTTCTCCTTTCTTGAAGGCTTTTCGAAACTGTACTCAAGTCTAAAGCAAATTTTCAACGATTTTTACTTTTTTGAAAACGGTTGAATCATAACACTCAGCGCGTTTACATGTTAATTGGAATGAAAAAACCTTTACAACCATCACAACTGATAGCCCCGTAGTGCTTCCCAGTGGCCTTGTCGTTGCAAATATTGCATATCTCCTCGACCATCAGAAAATTATCACTTAAAACATCAGTTATCCATACTAAAATCAAAAAAAAAGCTCTAAAATACGAGATCCTATAGAAAAGACGAATAAAAAAAAAATATTTTCAGGCGTAGGTTCATGGTAGAAACGGACAACGAAAAGGACTCTTGAACTCAAAAATTTTTGAAATCGTTTTCTAATTATATTGAAGTTCTAAATATATTTGAATCGTTTCCGAATAATGAATTCATCAAACTTTGATGCTTTTTTTTGAACGACATGGAGAAATGCGCTTTGAAAAAAACTTTGCAATAAAAAAATTATAAAAAAATGGAGAAAAAAAGGTTGAGAGAATCGACACAAAAGACTGAAAAGCCATTAAAAATGGTTCGCGAAATCGACACGGTTGATAAGAAGTTTTCATGTCATTTAGAGGAATGGAATGGTGAAATTAAACGGTCGAATTTTTGAAAGTTTTTGAGAAAAAAATTTTATGAAACTCTTGGCAATTTCAAACTTAAGTATGAAAAAAAGCCTGGAAACTTCAAATTTAGGCTTTGTATCAAAAAGTTTCAAAGTATAAAATTCAAAAAAATTTCATGGTTTTATTGGCCAAATTGGTTCAATAAACTTTTTCAGATAAATTCCATTAATTTGGCTTTTTATCCGATTTATACAAACGATAAAAAGGGTTTATACGACAACTTCACCTATACGAGCTATTTCTTTCAAAAAATATGGCGAATTTTGCAATCCTTGTTGTAAATCTATGAAGACAAACGGAAGAAGCCAATGTAAAGAATAAAAATCGAGAGAAGAACGATTTTTGTTGGAGGCGGCCGTGACGATAACAAATGGACGGGTGGCGATTGGGTTGCCTGCCAACAATCGTTCAAAATCTATCGATTTCTCGTCTTTTCACGTGATTTGTGCCCCATTGTAATAAGAAAATAAAAAAACGAAAAAATATTCAATACTGTGAAAATACTGAAAAAAAGCAACAAAATTGCTGTACTTTTGAAAAAAGGGTTTAACGTGAGAACTGAAAGTTTTCTTGAAAAATAATCAACCGGAAAAACAGAAAAAATAATGAACTGATCCTAGTTGAAGAAGATTCCAATGGAAACATTTCGTGAACGCGACGCGCTCAACGGAACTTATCATTAATTTTAGGATATCGGATTGATGAATTCGAAAAAATTTAAATGAAACGTCTTATTTTTTTTTTCAAATGAACTCTAGAGTTCAAAAAGAGAAAAAGATGTCAGGAAGGAATTTTGGATCCGCGAACTACAAAAAAGATCAATATACAGCCGCTTGTCTCCACGGTAGTTATGTAAGAAGTGATAAGAGCAAGCGATTGCTTGATCAGAGTGATCCCTGAAGTGGTCAGCTGATCTCGTTCCGATGCAAAGTACAATGTCCATCCATCCATTATAAGGGCGCAAAACGAGTCGGGAAAGGTTCAATAATCAGGAGAAATGGTGTAATTTTGAGACGTTTTCAAAGATCAGCGAAATTTTTTACTTTTTATACTAAAGAACTAAAGAATACGAAAAATTGAATCGAAAACCTTTCCCAACCTTGAAAGAATCTAGTTCAACTTAAAAAGACTGGATACGCGCCAGATTCAAAGCTACTTGAGACTGTCGAGTCGATTCCCACGATCCGTTTTACAAGCGAGCGAAGTTTCAAAAAAACAAACTAAAACTAGTAACTTCTAAAAGGAAACTTGATAACTATATTATATTCCATCTTGTTCACAAACCTTTTTCAAATTAAATACTATCGAAAAAGCAAAGCTAGTTCCAGAAAAAAAATGACCAGAAAAAAAGGCGATGGAAAAACACGGGGTTGAATGGAAAGGCGGAAAAGGTGACCCTGGGTGCAAGCAAAGAACGTCCAGACAAACGCGGTAAACAGCCGCGCAAAATATGTTTTCCCGGCGCTCTTTACTGCGAAAACCTCTTAAGAGATCTCTCCAGGTATCTTGTAAATATCTTTGCGAGTTGGCACAGTGTTACATTTTCACAGTATAGTCTGTTCAGATTTTGAATGTCAAGTCGTCGCTGAAACTCCGCCCCTAATGGTGCGATAAACCAATCAGAGAGTGAGCCACCCAGAGAGTGTTTTTGAATGACGTCATTGCACTTAACATTAAAAATCTGAACAGACTATACGTTCAGTTTCAAAAAAAAGGAAATTGAAAGAGCGAATTGGTGTGTTAAATTGGAGAATTATAAAGTGGTTCGCGCCTTTATTTTGTTTAGGACTGACGATAAAATCTGTGAAAATCAGAAAAATGGAAGAAAAACTCAACTGGGTACAATTTACTCAAGATGAAATAATTTATCCAGAACTGTTCATAGTTTGGCCAAACTGGGACACAGTGAAGAAAAAGAAAAAAAAATATGGGTTTAATATGAAAACACGTGAGAAATAGAAAAGAAAAATAATTTAAAACTCGAAAAAAATCAGATGCATTTAAAAAAATTAAAGAGGAGTAAGGTCGCTCTTCGTTTCAAAGCCATTTCGAGCATGCTCCTTTAAAAACTCTGTGCAAATTCATCTTGTTTTCTATATAGAATATTTGGTTGAGATCTATTTTTTGCCGTGCACGGCACGCGTTCAAAGTAATGCCGTGTTCAAAGTAATTTCGGCGATTTCAAAATAAACGCGTTATTCGTTTAAAATAACTTCGGGAAATAGGCGAAATTGGTATTCTGGGAAGGTGAGTCCTACAACGATGTATCGTTGGATACGCATTTTTACGGTGAGTTTTACGCGCGAATTTGAAATTTCAGTAGAAAATGCCCAAATAGTTCCAAAATTTTGAGTTCCCGCGAAGAAATTACGGTAAAAATGCATATTTAACGTTATATCGTTGTAGGACTCATTTTTTCTTGCCATTCTCGGAATAGCAATTCTGCCTATTTCTTGAATTCATTTTAAACGAATAACGCGTCTATTTTGAAATCGCCGAAATTACTTTGAACACGGCATAATTTTGGCGATTTTGACTCGTTATTTGTTAAAAATTATTTCGCGAAATAGCACGCCTGTTAAAGTTGGCCGGCCGTATTACGGTAGTTTGCACAGGTTTTTCAATAATAAAATCAAATCTTGTGTACTTTTTGTGACGTAACTTACCTTGTAACCTCGAGAAATGGGTCCTTAACAAATTGCAAAAAAAGAAAGAAAATTTGAAAAAATTTCTGGCTCCGAAACTGACTGCGCAATATTGACCGGCCGCCGCACGGTGTTTTTTTCATTACGCAAGCACTAAGAATAACTGCCGAGATAAACGCGAGACACTGGCGGTACATTGACGAGCTCGCAAACATCTCGCATTTTTTCTCGCGCCGGTTTCGCATTTGTTTGGGCGCGAGCTCGCATTTTTCTAGGCGCGAGCTCGCATTTCTCTCGCAATTTGAAAATTTCCGAAATGCAAGATAAATGCGAGATGGCGCCGAGAAAAATGCGAGGTCGCGCCGAGATAAATGCGGGATCGCGCCTAGAAAAAAGCGACATTTTTGCGAGTTAGTCAATGTACCGCCACCGAGCTCGCATTTATCTCGTCAGTTATTCTTAGTGAGGTCAAGACTCTTCGTAAATTATGATGCTTAGGGTGTAAGCACACCGAGACGCACTATCGCATACCCAAAATGTTTTTTTTTTTATTTGAGAATTTGCGATTTCAGGATAATAGCTCCTGGAATGTTCGAAAGTTGTCAGTTTGAAGATTATGATGTGAAAAAAAAAATTCACTTACGTTGAAAAAACATTTAGGAACGATTTCGAAAGGGGAAAACTCTAAATTACTGATTACAAAATAAAAACAAAAAATATTATGAAAATGAATCAGCTCCCATTGAATAAGCATTTATAAATACGAAAAATATTGAAATGAGGAAAATTCAAGTAGCAAATGAAAAAAAAAAACATTTTATATATCTCGAAAACCTAGCTTCAGAAAAACAAATGATGGATAGAAAGCAGAAATTTCAGAAAAAAAAACCTCGTATGGCGAAATTTTTGTTTAAATCCGAAAACCATCAAAAAACTAAAAAAAAAAATATAATTCAGATGAACTTGTACACAAATCCACATTGTGCATATGCGTGATAGGCGAAATTGGAATTCTGGGAGGCTTCACTGGTCAATCGGCGTTTCCTCAAAAAAAAGCTAACATTTTTTCACCCATAGATCAATGAAAACTACGATCGAAAAAATAGAAATAATTTTTCGTTCAAAATTCATATGATACAGTTTAAAAAAATTTTCGAAGCCTGTTCTGGCCTAGGCACGCGCAGACTTCTTCTAAAAAATGAGGCTCAAAGCCCGGGCCGCCCAGCCTAACCCGCAAGCCTGAACAGAACAGGCAAAAAAAAAGAGAAGAAATATAGGCCATTCCGCGCCAGCTTTTCACGTTTTTCGTTCCGCCAAAGGCCAGGTCAAATTTAACCAACTTTCGCTTCAAGACCTGTATTTCTTGTCGTTATAAAAGCAGAAATTTTGTCTAATTTGGTATACGGTCTTTTTGGCGGGAACAAAAACGTGACAAGCTGGCGCGGAATAGACTATAGGCGAATCGAGAAAGGGTATCGCGAGACTTTCTGAGGTATATCGCAGGCTCTGAAGTCTCACGATGGTCTTCTCGATCCATTTTGAAAGGTACCTTTGTGGACACATTATGGTACCTTCTCGATTCGCCCGTGGACATCCGCGACGTTCCCGCCTGGAGCGCCGCGCACGTGCCAAAAGTGCCTGAGGTGTTCAAAGTAGTTTCGGCGATTTCGAGATTCAAAAACAGCTACTACAACAAGAAAGCGACTTTCACGTGCGTATCCAACATTTTGGAACTACTTTCCGCCATTTCGTTGTAGGACATAACTGTTCTACCAGCTCCAGCGTCGATTTCGGAAAAATTGGAACCATTTTGAAACCGTTTTCAAAGTAATTTCTATGGACACGGCATTAAAATTGCGCTTGAGAGTGCATTGCCTTCGATTCTTGCAGACTTCGTAAAATTCCTCCCCCTGGGGAGCCAGTCCTTTGCTCTTCAAAAAGTGACCAAAAAAAAGTGAAGATTGATTTACTTTAAAATAATGTCCAAAAAGTTTCAGTATAAAAGCCTGTTCAACTCCAATAATTGAAATGTAATTTCATTTATTTTTTTTTCTCGAAGAAGAGATGGGAAAGAAGTATATAGTTATGGTACAACAAAAAGGACTCAGCTTAATGGGACCAAAAATTTTTATGAATCACAACATATCGCAGAGAAACGAGCCAAATTTATAATTTTGGTCTCGAAACGAAAAAAAGAGAAAGAAACATCGACTATCGACGAATACCTGCTTAGAGAGGATAGAGTAAAATGAAAAAGAAAGCTTTTCAGAAAAAAAAAGAAAAAGATATGGATTTGAAAGGAAGTTTTTGTGTTGTGTTGCATGTTCGACTCGCTTCAATTCGTGGGGGTGGGTACAAAGAAATATTTGTGGGAAATACTAGACAAAAAAAAAAGCGTTCTGTGAAGATTTACGGTCTAGAAATGGGTAAAGTCAGGGATAATTTGAGTTTTACCAGAGGAAAACAAAGCTTTGAAAATCGAAAAAGTCGAAAATTCCTCGTATTTTCTCACTCGGGAGTCGCCGAAGCCTGCGAGACGGACGCGTCATGGTGCTGAAAATAATTAATTTCATAGATTTATGACGAAAACCTTAATTCAAGCACATTTTTTCGTTTCTTAATCTCAACTTCTTCAAAAAAGAAGAACCTTTTTTTCTTAAGCTTTACAAAAAAAGAAGGCCTTTTTCTTATATAATTAAAAAAATCACATTTTTTTGTTTTTTTCGTTTTTTTCAAAAACAAAAAGAAATTTTTCCCAGTCTTAACGATATTTGAAGCTCGGATTCGGAATTAAAAGACTTTTTAGAGATAAATTTTCACCATGACGCCATTTATTTCAGCTTTTTGCTCTGAAAGACCTTAAAAAACCGCCCAAGTCCAAGATGGTTCAAAAGAAGGGATAAGTTTATATTTGTTCAGACTATTTGCCATCACCGCAGATATCTCCTCTCAAATATTCCATCAGAAAAAAGAAAAGATTAAAGATCTCTTTTAATAGATAAAAAAAAACAAAAAAGCAAGGCTCAACTCTTTTTTTCGTTCAAAAAAGGGGAAAAGCTTTATAAACGGCTGAGATAGTTGTTTTCTTTTTTATTTTTGCTCTTCAATTTCCCCATTGACTCTTTATTTTGAGTTTTCTCGTTACCTGAACATGAGGAGCCGGGCTGAGTTTACAATGGACACTTGGGTTGATGATCGAAGCTTTCCGCTGCGGAACCGTATCCGGTCGGGGGATCTGGAAAAGGAAACTCTTAAAATGAAGTTGGAGCACATCTGGGCGTGAACAGGTCTTTCAGTCCAAAAAAAGGATTTTTTTGAAAAAAACAGTGATTTTTAAGCGCGGAACTTTTTTTTGTCCAAATAAAGGAATTTTCTTATGAAAATAATCTTCTTCGCCTCAGGTGAATTTCGCTACCTTTAGTTTTTTTATTTGGCGGCCTTTAAAATCAGTCCGTCCATCTATAAGCTGAATGTCATCAATATGGTTTCATCGAGTGAATGTACACAGAAAAACACTTATATAAGTTTCACCCTCTCTTTAAATAATCCACTTTACTCTACTTTCTAGTGTTGATAATAATGAAGGAACATCCCTTTTTGAGATTACTTTGTCTGCGACCTTTTTCTCAATTTTTTTTTTTTGAAAAAATGCGATGAGGGGTCGTTTTTCTCCTATTAATTTCTCGAATACTTTTTCTTGGAAATTCTTAGAGCCGAAATTCCAATCTTTCCCGCCTTTTATCTTCGTCATAAGCCCCACTGTAGTCTTCTTTGCACTTTCGTAGTCTCCTTTTTTCCTTGTTTTTTTTTTCTCTGATCGAACACGACTTGTCTGGTCTTTCCCGCTCAAAGAATAACAAGGCGTCGACCTTGGCGCCGTGCCATCGGCCACCAACGGCGGCGTTGATTGACAAGCCGACTCTCGGCCAACAAAAACAAACCTTGTCACTTTGAATCAGCTATCAATTCCATTTTTGGAAAAAAGGTATTTGTCAGAAGATTCGAGAGACTTTTTTCAAAAGTATTTTGAGTGAGCTCTTCGAAGGGTTATAAGTTTTAGTAGATTCCAAATTTTCAGTTTTTTTTTCGACATTCAACCCTTTTTTAAAAAGTTTTTTGTATATAAAAAATAGGAAAATCTTTTTCAAAGTAGTTTGCTATCAAAAGGTTCATGAGTTTATTGGTTCAATAATATCCTCCTACAAAACTCAAATCAACTATCAGCCCTAAAAATTAGAAAAAAATAAGAAGTCTATAGAAGCTAGAGTAAACTTTTTTCGTTCAAAATTTTCGAGCTCTCAGAATGGCCAAAAAACAACCGGTACTTTTTTTCTTCATGGAAAAACTATTCCCAAAATATACGTCTTAAAGATTTAAAAGATCGCTTAAAGATGCTGAAACCCGTTGAAAACGAAAGCCTCCTCGCTCGTTTGTTGGTTATTTCTCACCATTTTTCTTTCAACTTTTTTTTTATTCACCTGCAGGTTGGCATCATCAGCGACCTGGTCCTGCTGGTCGACATTCGGACGCGACGGAATGTTCGTCGGTTTCTTCTCGTGAAGAGTCGGAGGACCTCCGGCCAAAGGATGAGCTCGGCCAGTCACGCCGGCGCCCGCCTTCGATTTGTCCATGGCGTAGTCTCCAGAATCGAAGAACTTCTGAAAATAAATCAGGGTCAATGAAAAAAGGCCCTTCAGAATTGAAGATGAACTTTTATCAGTTTTATTGAGACGGAAGATTTGAAAAGAAAGCTTCCATGGAAAAAAGACAAAACAAAATTTTTTTAAATATTTTATTCACTCTAAATCTCTACTCGGACATTGGTAACGCGAACCGGGCGCGAATTGGACGTGTCGGGTCATTTCTAGTGACCACTTTAGCGGCGTCAGCCCTCTTAAGAGATCCCTTGAAACGCTCAGAAACGTCCGTTTTTCGTTACCAAGGTCCGTGTAGAAAAAATCCTGTTAACTTCGAACGAAGTTCTCTAAGACTTTTCAAGTTAAATGAACCGATTGAAAAAAAAAATTTGAGCACGAAAAAATTAAGCTTTTTTGTAAAATTTTGAATATTGGAATAGGCACGGATCGAAATGCTCGAAAAAAAGCGCAAAAAAGCTATTGGTAAGATATTTTAACGCCTGAATAGACCCCTTTTGCCTACATAAAACGCTTCGAAAAGGTAGAGTGGCACCTGAAACCGGATCTTGAAGTTATGAAGTAGAAATGATGTGTCCGATTTTCGTGATTTTCGTGATTTTTTAATTCCTAACTTTCTCGCTTCAAAAATCATTGTTGTTGGGTTTCAAGGCACAAGGAATAAGTTTCTAAAAATTTTCCAAACGAAGAGCCGTTTTCGGTGTTATTTTCGGACACGTGATGCTTATGCGCCTTTAAGATCTTAACGAGATTTCTGACCGGCTTGAAAATAAACGAACCCTCTGCTGGAGTTTTTTCTGCAGGAAGGACGAGGCCGGTCGAGCCGGCAGCTTTCCGGACGCCGCCAGTTTTCCCATCAGCTCCTGTTCCTGCTGCTTTTCCGGCGTCAGACCACCTTCGGCCAGGCCCTGGCTCACGGCCAAATCACTCGCTTCACCTCGCATTTTTTTGATTTTATTTACCCACTGAAAGATTCGAAATCAGCTTGGTTGAGATACGCCGTGTTCGGAGTATTTTAGCGAAATTTTCTCTGACTCTCCAAAGTTTAGTTATCTTCTTTTTAACTTGGACGGTTATTTTGAATCTCGCGGAATAAAGGAATAATCCGACGTTACCAACATGTTTGATTTTCAGCATGAAAGTATAACCATTCGATCCGTCTCGTCGAGATACGTACGAATATCATAAAATAATTTGGCGCTAGTAAGAAGAAATAACTTTATGGTGTGCAAAAACCAGAAAGAAAATTTCAAAAATTTCGCTGCATTTTTCGACGCTGATTCAATTCAACTATCGCTACTACGCCATGAGAAGAAATAAACTTTTAAAATAGGAAAAAATTTGAAAATTATTCGAAAAAAACAACGCAAAAAAGAAAAGAAAAAGAGAAATCACAGTAAAAATAATGCCGTGTTCAAAGTAATTTCCGCGAAATGCAAAATGATCTCTGACTCTCCAAATATAGTGATCTTTTCCTTTCTCTAACGAGTATTTTGCATTTCGCGGAAATTACTTTGAACACGGCATAAGCGACCGCGTCGAAGCCCGCGCTTACGCACTGTATGCTCCTTTTAATATTTTTTTCCTTTTTGGGAAATACATTTACAGATTTTTTTGCTACGCGTATCAAGTTTGCAAACCGTTTAAAGCTACCTGATAGTGTTTTTCCTGTCCACGTTTTGAAACAAATGATTTTTTATGTCAAGTATTTCATTTATTTGACGAATTGTTCACTGTGGCTCAGTTTTTTCGAAGCGAGCCACAGTCGGCTTCGCGCTATGCGCGCTCCGCCTCCGTGTGAAGCCTTAAAACTAAGCCTATTTTCTTAAGTAATTCAATAAAAGAAAAAGCAAAAACTTCTATTCCTCAGAATAATTACTTGATTGAAAACTAATAAAGTTCATCTTAAAAATTTTCTAAGTGGTCAGCGCCAAATAATTTTATGATATTCGTACGTATCTCGACGAGACGGATCGAATGGTTATACTTTTATGCTGAAAATCAAACATGTTGGTAACGTCGGATTATACCGGAATTAATTTGAACGAAACAACACCGAGACGAAACGACCAAAAACAGATTCTACACAGTTCCTTCAAAATTGAAATAGGCGATAGCAGGAAAATAGTTCAAAAAAAAAATCTAGAAAAACTAAGGTATATACACAAAAAATTTTGCTGAAACTTCAAAGGAGCATGGTCGGATTTGAAGAAGTTCTCGCAGTGAATAGTTGTTTTTATGATTCTTGAAATCATTCAAATCTTTGACTTCAGCAAGGATTTTTGTGAAGCATATAAATGCCGCGTCCAAAGTAATTTTGCGAAATGCAAAATGATCACTAACTCTCCAAAATTTAGTTATATTTTTCTTTTTCTGACGGCTATTTTGCATTTCGCGAAATTACTTTGAACACTGCAAAAGAAAAAGAAAATAATAAAAAATTTATGCTCTACAAAAATTTGGCGAAAAAGGCAGGCGCGGGAAAGTAAAAATTTGCTCTACTTGGAAATGAAACAAAAACATTCAACGTCTATGCCCCTACAAAGAAAGAAATTCGTGCCTATTTTCCGTGTTATTATCACGAAAACTCAAAAAAAAAAAAAAAAAACGCTGCATCAATTTGAAAAAAATATTTTTAACTAAACTGTCGTGCAATAAAATGCTCGTGAAAACGTATTTTTTCCACTACAGTAAACTATTAAACGCGTTCATGAGATCTCATGCGCACACTCATCATGAGACAAGTATAAAAACCAGGAACTGGTGAATTTCAAATAGGCGAGCGGTTTCGTTCTATGAATTGAATGGGTTAAGCCAACCATGAAAACTATTTTCTGTGACAATGAAAAGCAAAAAAGCGAAGAGGTGTACGCCAAACAACAATTTTTTGTGATGAATAACAACCACAAAAATGGTAGCAAAGCGTTTTTCAAGCTCCAATGCCAGTTAAATTATCAAAACGCGGGAGAAAGTCGAATCAACAGAAAGGTTTGTCTGAGTTGGCCGGTTGTCATAGCATCAAATCCGACGAGAGTTCGTGCGTCAGGAGGATTAGGAAGTGAATTGTCATCTTATAATGAGGGTTATTCATATTTGCGAGAGCCGAAAGGTTTTGAGAAAGGGATTGACGTCAAAATGTTTGATATTACTTGGATATATTAGCCACGAATATTTCTCCGTATTCAAAAAGTGACTCGAAGATGTATGAGGCTCAAAAAATTTAGAAAAAAATATAACATTAAGGAAACGTTGATTTTTTCAAAGCTCCTTTTTTGAAGCGATTAAAAACTGATCAATAATTTTTTTGTGCTGCCTCAATTAAAGGAGTTTGAAAAAAATTTAGTAAATTCAATGAGACAAAAAAGATGTTTTTACGAAATGGAAATTTTTTTACCAAAAAAACGTTTTTAACAAGAAGGTTTCCCAATTGTTCATTTTAAATATATGAAACTTGGAGTAAGAAAAAGAAGAAAGGGCCGAATTGACTAGGAGCGTGAATATTGGGGTATTCAACGGTAAGCATGTGGTGAAAAAATATATGAATCGGCAAAGTTATCACCTTGAAACTGTTTAAATACCACTGAACTGAAACAACGACGGAAAAGGCTAAAATTACGACCAAAGCCAATGCAAAACGATGTTCAGAACGGTGCCAATGAGTGCCTCCGGGGGCCGAGCGCCGGCAAAAGAGTTATTGATCGGTGGAGCGTACTTGACGTCGACCATTTGGCTGCGTATTCGGCTGCATCGCAATGTGTCTCACCGAGAGACGGCAGACAGTTAGACGACCTGGACCACGGCGAAAAAAAAGAGAAAAAAGTGCGCGCGCGCTCGCGTGCGTGTGTGTCGTCGGCCTTGCCATGCCCTCCACACAAAAACTTCTTCTTCTTCTTCTTCTCCTTCTTTTTCTTCTTTTTTCGCGGCCGCCCGCGCCTATTTTTTTTTATTTCAAACTCACCAACCAACCAACACTAACAGCCACACCTTTCGGGCTCGGAATTCCTAATTTCGACGCCTTAATTTTTGATTTTTGTGCTTTTACATCTCGTTGTTGCATTAGAGAAGCGTAATCCGCGTGATTCTTGATCTTTATATGTTGTTATCATGTTTTTTTTTGTTTTTGAGCCGCCCCTCTGGTTTTTTGAACTCGATTTGACCTTTTGGGAATAACCAGATTATTTTCTAAAAATACTGCTGTTTAATTTTTTTTTTTTCAATCGTCATTTTTATTGTATATTCTTTTTACATTCCTTAAAATAACTTTCGAGACCTTTTTTGATGTTTTGGATGTAACTTCGTTTTTTTTTCTAAAATGAAAGAGACCTAATATAACCCCATTTAATATTAAATGAAAAATGCAAGTAACATGTTTTTTTTGTTTTCGTATAGAATAGTAATCAAAAAATGTTTTTGTTCTCACATTAATTCGATTTTCAAGATGTTTTGAATTTCTCAAAAAAAGAGTTGAAAAAAAAGTTAATCCCCGATTAACAACGTAACCACAATTGAGAAGAACATCTCTCCGGATTTTTTTTCAATGTATTTTCGGAAAACAAGCTTATATTTTTCTGTTTGAGTTCGTAAAAATGTTTAAATTCTCAAATTATCGAATTTCTAGCTTTTCCGCCCACATAGTCGAATAATCTTGCACTTTCAAGAGCTTTTTCATGTTAACATTCCTTGTACTTCCTGGATAATCTTCCACTCTGCTTGATTGCCGCTTTAAAGTGCATTTTTCGTTTGAAATGACACATAAATTCATCGAAAAAAGACACTTCTCTCTTTTTTTTTCCTGCAAAACCGAAGCAGTTTGCTCGTTTTATCGATCTTTACCCTTTCTCTATCCCTTATCACAGCTTCAACTGATAGTTCCAAGCAAATATCGATCTTTTTCATATTTTTCGCTCACTTACCCACAGGTTGGCAAGAACTTTTTGATAGCGCCCGCGGAAGGGCTGCACTTTTTTGTTTGTTTGTAGCGGTCGATTTTGATCAAGATCTCTTTCTTACTGGATAATTCTCTGAACTTTGATGACTTTTTAATGGAAATGGCTCAACACTCTCAAAAATCCAGTCAACTTTCAAAACAGCGAAGAAATAGATTATATGAAATTTAAACATTAAAGATAAAGACATAGTTTTTTGTTTTTTTAAATCTTCATTACTGTATTTACTGTTTACGCATAAACCCAGCTTCAAGCTATACACGCAATCTTGTTTTTTTACGTTTTATTTTTTAAATTTTGAGTTTTTCTTTTCAAATAATGCCTTTTTTTAAGACAATGTTATACGGCGACCGTTCAATTTTGCGCCGTCAGTTTCGAAGCCAGGAAAATTTCTTAATTTTTTCTCTTTTTCTCTTTTTCTCCAATTTTTCAAGGATCTATTTCTCTAAGTTACAAGGTAAGTTACAAGATAATTACCGTCACAAAAAGTACACAAGCTTTCATAATGTTACTGAAAAAAACCTATTTAAATTAGCGTAAAACGACTGTCCGCCTTAAAACGGCGTGCAAATGAATTCTCTAATAGCTGGGAAAATTGTAAATATATATATATATATATATTTTTTTTTGTATGGACTTCTGAAAAATGCTTTTTTTGACCAGATGTTGTGATATACAGCGCGAAACTCCGACTAACCTAAGAAATAGCTTTTTGACGCAAAAGATTCATAATACTTTTCACTTTTTCGCTTCTTCAAACTACCCGGCAGATATTTTTTTGGCAGAATAGAAGATTGAGAAAAAGTTTAGTATTATCAAATTATTGAAAATAAATGGAACACTTTGTTCATTTTATAGTTGGCTTTCGGCTCTGAGTTGTTTTTTTTTCCTTTCTTCTCCTCATGTGGAATATAAAAGTGGCAGCAAGGACGAATTAGTGCTCACCAAGGCCATTTTTCGCATAGTTTCGAAAATCGCAACCAACCGTTTGTCACCACGTTTTTTTGTTCGATATTCACGCATTTTCTTCTTTCCCCTTGCTCAAAATGAATGATGAGCACATGTTTCGTGGTTTGAAAATCCAGATTTCAAACTCCCCGTCGATGAAATTAAATTTAGCCGAGCGCCAATGGCTTCAATGTTTACTTTATAGGATTTTTTTTCCTGGGCTCTCCGCACCGTTCCGTCAAAATTTGTTCAGTTGCGCTTTTTTGTGCCCTTTTCACAATTGCACTTTGTTGCGAATTCGGATTTTGACGTTTTTTTTTTTGCTTCATTGAGCTTTGAGGTAAGATTTGTGAAGAAGGTGTCAGAGTTGGTTTGATCATCATGGTAGTTTGTGTGTACAAAGAAGCTTTTTGAATTGGAATTGTCATCGCTTCTTTGAAATTTTCGGAGAGTTTTGAAAAGACTACACCTATAAATTTTTCTTTTTTTTTTTAAATTGACCCAATCCTTTTTTTTTCTTGATTTATAAACCTTCAAACGGACATAAGTCTTTATAAAATGCGGAAAATTGTAATTTTCCACAAGAAACCTTTTGTCTCTAATGTTCCTGTAAAGTTTCATCAGTAAACTATAAATAACGAAAACCACATTTGTAACCGAATAGGACTCCTTATTTTCGAAAAATCCACTCGTTTAATTTATTTATTGCTTTCCAATGAACACATCCCTATAATCAAACTGTGAAAAATAGCAGGTTTTCTCGACGATTTCACTCGAAAAACTACCGTAGTAACAGTTGGAGCGCATCTGCATTGCAGCTGTCCTGCACTACGAAGAGCCATACCCAAAAAAGGGACAAGCAAACCGAAAAAAAAAACGGCACATGAAAAAGAACGAAACGGCGGGCAGCTGTGAATTCGTCGTTTTTTTTTTCTGTTGCACTCTTTTCGATTATGTCCGGTTACTGTGTGTTTCTTAGCACGTGCCGAGCGTGTCATTTCAAAACTATAAAAATTTTGTCGGCCTGGCCTTTTCAAGGCTATTTGAATTTGGCGGTAGTTTTTTGAAGTTTGAAACTGTGAGAAAAAAAAATGTTTGTGCGCTAGCTCTGAATAGGAGATGCCTTGGCTTTTTAGATTTGAATTTCTTTAGAAATAGGAAGCATGGAGAGAACTAAAGAGCGATTATTATGTTCAGGAGAACCTCATTTAGCGTCATTTCTGGACCTTTTGCTACATTTTTAAGGTTTGAAACTTTAAGAATGGTTTTTGTGTAGGAGAGTTCAATAAGAGACGGCCTGCATTTGAAAATTAGAATCAAGTCAGAGAGTGTGTGTGTGTGTGAAGAAAATCAGAGAATAGGCTTGTATGTATGGTGTACTCCTCTCTTCCCATTGTCTTTATGTCTTGGCAGTTCCAAGGCTTGATTGAAACTTTGGAAGAGGGTTTTGTGTGAGAGATTTGAATAAGAATACTTGGCTTTTCAAATTTTGAATCCAGTTAGAGATAGAGAGAGTGTTAAGACAATCAGAGAGTCTGCTTGTTTTTCTGGTAGACTCTTCTTTTCCCATTGTCTCCATCTTCCGTCCTTCCCAAGGCTTGAAACTTTTGGTAAATGGTTTTGTGTAGGATAATTAAATAGAAGGCGCCTTTGCTTTTGAAAGTTTTGATTTCGTTTAAATAAGAGGGAGTTTGGAGACAGTTAGAGATATCATTATGTTAAGTTTTACTTGTTTTCGGCCTCCTTGGATTTTTCTCAGCTCCATATTAAAGTACAGAATTTCCCAAATTTTGAGGTCTAAATTGATTTTTTTATCAAATTTGAAGGAGCACAGGAGAATCCTACAAAAAGTACCGCCGCGAAGAACCTTTTCTCCAAGCCACGCCCTCTTCCCGGCGCTTTACGAAGCTGTTAGTCAGTCATCTGTCTCCACTTCTGTATTTACAACGAAACATTAGAATCCTGAGAATTAATTGGTCTCACCAACAATTAACGCTTGTTGTCTCAATAAAATGCTATGAGAGTCAGCCTTGTTGTTTAACTTCTTACAAAAATGCATACCGTAACAGTATTAGCAATCAATTTATTAATTTAATTCTCATTTAATGCTTTGATTTCTTCAATATTTGTCCCACATTTGTTGACTCAACACCACTGAAGTCAATAATATTTTGCTCGTAGTTGTGTTTTCGCCCTCATTTGTCATTTCTAGCGGAAAAAAAAAAACAGTTTTCCAACTTTTTTGCAAGAAAAAAGGAAGAGAACGTTTTTTTTTCCAGCTACTAGTGTTTGTTTTCCAAGAGAAGAATGAGGGAAACGCTGGAAAAATGGATTTTTTTTTTCTATCTTGGCACTCAAGTTCAATCAATGCATTACAAGGTTAAGAGGATTAGCCAGCTCTCATCATTTTTTCAATAAAAAAACACCTACGATGTTTCCATGGATACCGGATTTTTTGAGAATATATTATCTTGCCTCTCCATTTTCTCTCATTACTTTTTGATTCTTCCCCGCCGCGTGTGGGCTGGATTCTGCTTTTTTTTTGAGGTTCTTAGTGATAAAAATAGGTACAGGTGGAAAAATTTAAGATAGGAGGGGGATGGGGGAAGGGAGTGGAAAAAGGAAACGATAATTCTATTTTTGCAAGGTAGTCGGCTGGAATAGTTTTTAATGCGTATAATAGTTTACTGATTTTCTTTTTCGATTGAAATTGTGCTTCTCATCTTCTTACTCTCAATTCCATTGTAAACTTTTTTTTTTTCTCTTGATATCAGTCGCAATTTCCACTGTTCTAGCCATTCTCCGAATCAAAACAAATCATTTTTCTCCCTCTTCAGGCCAAAAAGAAGCCCAAAAGAAGCCACGCATATGCTCAGCCGAGGGCACCGGGAAGTTGGCTGAAAATAACGCGTTTTAAAAGTTGGTTTTCAACCTTTGCCCCATTTTATCATGTGTTAAATTGTTTCAATTAATAGGGTAATCTGTGAGAGAGAGGCTTGAGGGGAGTATGTAGTCTGTAGGATTTTTTTTTTGCTCTTTCGCCAACAAGAGTATTTATTATGGAAAATGACCCTTCAGGGAATATAAAAAATCGGGAAAAATAATTTTTTCTACAATTATTATGGAAAATGACCCTTCAGAGGAATATTTTCAACTCACGCTTCTGAATGATGTGATTTTTCAAGTCTTTCTACAGAATTTTTCATCATTGATTGAACGTTTTTGAATTGTTGTCACAATAAAAGACTCGTGTAACGGCTCAACGATAAATTTTAGAAAAAAAGTTTCCTTTGCTGGTAAAATGGAAAGAAAAACTTTTGCCAAAATTTATGATCATTTGACATAGAAATCAGAAGCAAAAGTTCAAAAATTGAAACTGGATACGGCCCTGGACTGCCTGCTCTTGTGTAAACTCAAAATGCCGATTTTCACGAATGATTTCATGAAGATGGATGTGGTGGTGTACCTGGCGTTGGGCGTCCTCGCCGTCGTCTTCGCCGTCTCGCTGGTCATCCTCATCATCATGTGCTACCGACGACGCTACGAGCTCTCCAGATACAAAGTTTATACTTTTTCATTCACCGAAAACAAACTTCGCCAAAATCGCTTCAAAATCATAAATGCGCGGTTCGTTTCTGACCGCCACCAACCCAGTCTTTCAATCTTTTCTAAATTAAAGTCATTATAACTACTTGAAGTCGATATTTTTTGTGCCAACAACCTTGAGTTCAAATATAATTTCATTTTTTACAAACATTATTCAGGTTGAAAGTTGATTTTACATCTGATTTTTGAAAATTTGACTCGTTCAGCTCTTCCTCCCAGACTGATTGAGTTGTTTACTTGCTAACAAAAGTTTAGAAATACTCGTATCCGTGACTTTCAAGCGATAATAAAAATAATTTCTGAAAAATCATGGAGTCGGCTCGAATGGCTCCAAAAAAAAAAATCCAGGCTTCTTCTTGGATCCCCTGAAATTAATTGTTACTAGAAATCCTTTCAAAAATTAAAAAAAATGCGATTTTTTTTCTTAACGTAAATTTTTGCAGTCGTCGCCCCTACGATTCTCCAAATTGTCTGAGATCGACAATATCGAAAACCTCGTCCAGCTCAGTCCGCTGATTGGTTGGTTCCTTTTTTACTCTTTTAACTTCCTTTTTCGTACAAGTTTTGAGAAGAATACATTTCGTGTTCAATTTTTCGAGTTTGGAATGCTTTATAATTAAAATTTAACCGTTTTTTGATATCCTGAAATAAATTTTCTACTTTCCAGGCGAAATCCTGGACAAGAACAGCTGGGTGTACGATGTTTCTGGCCTTCTGCAACATTGCGTGGCGGTTTTGCGGCTTTGTCATAACCTCACGGAAAAGTTGGCGTCGGCGCCCTTGAGCCAGGTTATAGTGTGTCTCTTGAAAGCACAGTAGATAAAAAGCTACCGTAATGATAGCTTTTTTGCGCGTTTGCTCTACTGACTGTAGGAAAACGGTCAAAAGACGGCGAAAAAAAGAGGTCTCGAAGCAAAGTTTCAAATTACTTAGAAATTCCATAGCGGTCTCTATGAGAGTTTGAAGGTTCCTCTCTAGGGATCTTAGCCCTATGGGAACCACCTGAATTTTTTCAAAAGGAAAAATCCACTTTTCTTCAGAAAAGGTGAAAAAATACTCTTCGAAAAACCATCAAAAAAACTTGGAATTTCTCCATCTTCCCACTGATTTTTGCCCTTTCCCGGTATGTGTGTGTTTTTATCGTTTCGAAATTGCAACAAGAAAAAAACCAGTTTTTTTGGTTGGAATTTCGTCATGAAGAAGTAAACGCGCCAAGTTTCCTCATTGAAATTTTTATGGTTTTGAGGGGTTATTTGCTCGAAAATTGTGAAATTTAGGAATCTTCAAGTGTATTTATGATTCAAGAGGCTTTAAGAAGGATGAAAGCTCCGAAATTTTTCGGGAATTTTAAATAACATTTTTTTCAAACAGAATGACATGGAATGACTTTGAACAAGGACAATGAAATGAGCCAAAATTTAGTATAAAATAGTATAAAATAAAATATAGAATGAATTCAGAAATTTTTCGTTTTCAAAGGGGAAATCCAGAGTTATCCCTATTGAACCAATCTTAGGAGCTCTTAGAGATTTCCCTCCAGGGACCACTAAATCTTGCAAAAGTTGTCCCTATAAAGATTTGAGTTGGTGGTCACTATAGGGGAGCAACTTAAAAATTCTTTCTTTGGAATTTCAGAGTGGTACCTATAGGGAATACTTTATTGACCCCTATAGGGGCTGTTATCCCCCTAACTTCTACATATAGAGACCACTCGGGCGTTCCTAGGTGACTGTTGAAAAGAAAAAAAAAAACGTTTTAAAAATTGCATTGCATTAATAGGTGGGACCTCACCTTTTACGCCATCGCGGTTACTTTAAAGCGTGATTACTTTCACTTCGAACGGTGATTTTTCCAGGCTCCTCCACAGCTGAGCGAAGGAATTTGCTCGGCAACTCAACGGGTGATGCCCCGTTTCGACGACCTTCTTTGCGCTGTCGCCAGTCCTTCGGTAAATTTATAATCATGTTTTCTGGAGTTCATAAAAAGGAAATGGATTTGAAAAAAATTTTTAAAAAAACGTTTGAAGTAAAAATTAAAAAAACTATTTTCATTTTTTTAAAATTTTGCAGGTCGACGTCCGCGTTCTGGAGGCTCGCGCAACGTCTCTGGCCACCGTTTGCTGGGCTCTTTTTCTGCCGTTTTCCCTTCTCAACGTCAAGTACAAGGAGGTGAGGTTTGGGTAGATTAGGCCAAGAAAAACGAATATTTATCATTTCCTAAGCCTTATAAAAAAACAGAAAGCCATCCCCAGGCTATCAAAAAGAAGTTAAACATAGACATTTTTTGGAAATTGGACACATTTAGTCCATTTTTTCCTCTTGAAGTGATGAGACTTCTCTGCGCACTCTTCTTCTCTCGGCGACCCTCCCTTTTTGACGTGCTTTTTCATATTTCGCTGACCTCGCCTGTAAGGGAATAGAGACGCAGATACTCGAAAAATATCAAGTCGGTGTAGATTCGACTATCTAGTCCAAAAAAAAAAAAAAAATACATGCAGAGATCTTAAGAGTCTTCCATGAACTGGAAATTGAGTATGGCCTTTCGCTTCAAAAGTTTTCATTTAAATTGTTTATACTCCTTTAAGAACCGTAACAAGGAGTCCCTCCATTTCATCATTATACGAATAAAATCGGAAACTCTTTTCGGAATCTGTATAAAGTTGAGTTAAAATTTTCAGATTCTTTCCGTGCCACTGGCAGAAATGGAGCAACACCTGACGGCTCTCCGAGCAGCGGCCGACCTGGCCGAGCGCGCCGAAATGGGCAAAGTTCCCGTGGATTGGGCGCGGATGGACGAAGTGGCGGCCGCTGCGGCAGAAGCCGCCGCCGCCGCAGCCTCCGCTGAAGGCCACGACGGCGACGACGTCTCCCATCATCTGACGGAGACGACGCCGTTGGTCTCGTCGTCGTCCCTCGCGACGAACGACGACGATGTCCCCGGTGCGACTCCGTCGACGTCGTCACACGCCGACCATCATGTCGTCTACCATCCCGAACCGATGACGTCATCCGTCGGCCCGAAGGCCAACGGCTCCGTCATCGTCCACAACAGCGAGGTCGACGTCGCTGAGTGAGTTTTTGGGGGTTTTCCGAAAAGAAAATCCATCTTCTAGTTTTTGTGGATATTTTGAACTTTTGCTGGACATAGTATTTAAGAGTTTGAGATCTTTCAGAGTTTTAGAAGAAAATTATTCAATTTGAGAAAAGAAAAGAAAAGAAAAAAAAATAAAAATAAAAATAAATGAAAAGAAACATTCGAAAAAGTTCGGAACTACATCAAAACGTATTAATAGAAAAATTATGACTCAGAATATTTCATTCCTGAGACTGCAAATAAAGTGGAGAGAGTGAGACGTCTGAAATTTTCTCGGTATCTCGTGCTGCCTCCTCTTTTCAACAATCTCTAACCCTCTGAATATTTTCAACTTTTCACTCATCGATTTCTTATTCAGAAAGCCTCCCTCGCCAGTCAACGGTCATCATCCGATCGACCCGAAGGCGTGACGTCACTGAACTTTTTGTTTATCGATTCTTCTCCTCATCATTAACTGGCGGATCTCTTATCACTATCCGGTTTCCCAAAAAAAGGCCATTTTATCATTATTTTTCTCGTAATTTCGACGCATTTGCAGAATATTGTGCAATCTTTCTCAGTGTTTTTGTGTTGTTACGTTGTATTGGGCGGTATTTCGAAGCTTTTCTTTTGGTTAGATCCAAGTTTTGAAGTCTCATTGTCAGTGTAAGAAACATGAAAAATTGTCCCAAAATCACTTCTTTGGCATTTTCTTGTTGAATTCTCCGTTGTTGTACAATTTGCCTCATTTTTCATCAAAAAAAAAAACATTGATAATGTAAAATAGTTTGTGTGTGTGCTTGACGTTGTGCTTGTGTGTTCTATTTTTTCAATTTTGTTGCGATTCGATGATTTTTGGGATTTTTTCCAGCTTAAAAGATGTCTCCAAAGAGTGTGGAAAACTTGGAGAGTGTCAGAAACTCTGCGCGTCTGGCCCTTTATCTCCTTTCTCACACTTTTAAACTTAAACCTCTAAAAACCCAGTTACCATCAAATTTCATCCCGATTTCCAGCATAATTTGCATTCTGTTGTCCCATCAAATCCCAAAAAAAAAAATTCAGGAATAAGGCAATCTCTTGTTTAATGTTTTTGTAATAATTGTTGAATTTTTTTCACTTTTCAAAATGACATTAAGTTCAAACGACTTCTACCTGAAAGTTATCGACTTTTCTGAAAATCTGGTGAACCAACGCAATTTTTTGTTCTTTGATTTTTCAATTTTTTACCTCTGTTTTTTCTTGTTGACGGATGCAATTTTGTCTCGCTTGGAACGTGTTAGTTATGTACTGTGGGAAGGAGGTGATTTTTTGATTTTATCGCGTTTCGAGCTACGGTAACTTTTGGAGAACTTTTTTTCCGAGTGTTTAAAGACTTTTGAGCTACCTTGATTTTTTTGGAAAAAAATAATTTATTTTAAAGCGTTGGTAAATTGGTAGAATCAGCAAAACTCGTTTTCACGCGATAATTTGCTAATCGTACCGGAAATTATTTTTATTAGAAACTTTTCAGATCCTCCAAAATTTTGAAAAGCTGCTGTTTTTTCTTAGAAGTTTCGAACATGAATTTATACATATTTGTTCCTAAATTCATTGAAGATTTCGAGAAAAAATCAGAAAATCATCCACTTTTCCACAATACTCACCCAACTAATTGGCATATCTTACCTAGATACGGGATGGCTCGCGTATTAATTAGTTGCAAGGAAATCTTTTTCTTCACTTTTTTTAATTAACTAATTTTTGAAGCTTTAGCACGCCTTCCCAACTCCTTAATAATATATAATATTTTTAATTTTTTTAAGTTTTCCAATTCTTCTTCTGTTTACCTCGGAACGCATACTCCAATCAATAACGGTTTTTTGTTTTGAAGGTTTTTCTGAATTCGTGTATTTTTTCCCAAAAACCTCAACGATTTCCTGTAAGTCTGATGAATTTCTCTATGAGAATTGTAAAAAAATTGATTTCTCCATCAAATCTCTCTCTCCAACACAGAATATTCAGGTCGTCTAGCTTTTCATTTTTTTTTTCTGTATCTTTTTTTTTCGACTCTGTTCGATTTTGATTAATATTGCGGTTAGCATTTTGATGGAAAAAGGACTGATTTTTCGTCTAACTCTCACTTTATTAATTGATTGAAAAATCAGGCTTCATCCATGATGTTAGGAAATAATTTCAGCTTGAAGTTCTCAGCGAAATATTCCTCATGGTCGCACGGGGCATGGCTTGCGCCGGACTTGAAACGGCTTCGAGTCATTCCACCCGCGACCATAGCGTGTTGTACATTCATTTTTCCTTCCCACCTCTCTATATTCGTGTATTTTCTCACCAACTTTTTCGATCAAAACTCGTTGCATTCATTAATAATTCGCTAATAAATGACATTTTGAAAGATTAAGTTTTTTTTTCTTGTTCAAGGAAAGAATAACGTTGATAATGCATTTTTATTTATTCATTTTTAGTTTGATCAAAGAGAGAATTTTTAAGGTTTTTTATCATTAGTATGGCAACTTTGGAACGAGCGCTCAGTGAAGCGTTGGGATCGGTGAGAATTTATTTTTAAATGAAGATTTCAAAGCTATGATGGAAATGTTAAAAAAATCTTGGAATAAGACCTTATAAAATGTAGTAACACATAAAATGAGCTCAAAAGAACAAAAATATTGAGTTGAAAGACATTTAAATGCGCGCGCATTTTTTTAAAATTAATTTTTTTCAGAGGTTGAAAATTTACACTTCAACAAATTTCTTTGAAAAATTCATTTGATTTAAATCTTTTTTTCATGTGTAAATGTCGAAAAAAAGTGTAGAAATATACAAAAGAAAAAGGGGATAAAAAGTTTTTTTTGTAGAAAAAGTGAATTTCGAGACGTATTTTTGAAAAATAATCTGTTCAGTAAACTTTATGAAAAAAAGAGCCAAGGTTTTTCCGAATATCTGTTTTCGTTTCTTCTAATTTTTCCTTTGAATACATTTAATATTTTTTTATAAGTTTTCAACAAGACTTCTCAAAAGTATATAAAATGAGAAAAAAAGTCATTAAGAAGAAGAAAATGTTAAGAAACCAGCAGAAACGATTCGAAACGTTTGCCTCGTCGCACACGTCGACCATGGAAAAACGAGCTTTGCCGATTCTTTGGTTTCAGTCAATTCCATCATTTCTAGTATATTTTCCAAAGTTTTGAATAAGTTCAAAGTTTAAAAATTGAGGTAGAATGGCTGGCAAACTGCGGTACATGGACAGTCGGCCGGATGAACAAGTTCGTGGGATCACGATGAAAACCAGTGGAATTTCTCTTTTGTGCGATCCTCTACTCATTAATTTGATTGATAGTCCAGGTACATAACTTCCTTAGGTTCAATATTGTGTTAAAATAATATAAAGTAGAGAGCGAAGCTATGAAAATGAAAAATTCAAGGTTTTTCAAAAAGCGATTCGAAGTTTTTTTTATTTTTCTCTTTAGCAGTGCCCACCTTACATATTTTGGCTTCAAATGCATGTAAAGGTTTTTTTGAAAAAAATTGTTCTTTCTTCTTTTATTTTTTTACTATATAATTTCGTCCCTCCGCGTTTTTGAGTTCAAGTCTTTCAAATTAACGCTTTCGAAGAAAAAAATGATTGTATTCTAACAGTTTTCATTAATTCCAAAAGAAAAAGTTTCAGGCCACGTTGATTTTTCCGGTGAAGTCACGTCGGCTTTGATTCTCTCCGATATCGCTTTGCTTTTGATCGATGTGGTCAGTCATTACAATATAGTCTCATCCTTACTCGAAGAATTGTTTAAGATCGAAGGAATCTGCTCGCAAACCGAAGCCCTAATCCGGCAGTTGATTCAAAACGGCCAATCGATGATTTTGATCATCAACAAAATTGATAGGTTTGTCTTCATTTTAGAACTTGTTTGAAGTTTTTTTTTCCAAGGCAGATTTTTACTTGACCTTAAATAACGCGTGCAAGGGCTTTTATCCTAAAAAAAATCATGGTTAAACGAAAAAGTTTCTTCAAAGACTCTTAGAAGCAGCTGAATATGTTCCGATAAAAGCTCTTAAAATAATGAGAAAAAGTCTTTTGAGCTTTTTTTTCACTGCCTCAGAGGGCCTTTTTTAATCTCCTTTTCAGTTGCTTTCCATTATCATTTTGTCGAAAGAGGTAAAAGAAGGCCAAAGTGAAAAGAAAAACATTCGTTGGGGACCTTCAGAAGGCCTTTTCGTTTTTTGATAGAAGCTTTCCCGTTTCGCCTGAGATTCTTCATGTCACTTTATCCTGCTTCTTTACTATTTTTTTTCTGGCTTTATCTAAAAAATATAATTCTTCAGTTTTTTATTCGAAAAATTTAAATCTCGATAGAAAATTCTTCAGAAATTCATGAATTATTCTCATTCTTTAAATGAGCTAACCAATCCTCTTTCATTATCCTCCTTCTTTCAAAACTCTCTTCCTGTCATGTTCTGTCAAAAAATAATGGAATTTTTAGAGATTCAAATTGAAGAAAAACCCTCGAAAATTGACTATGTCCCGTGTACTGTCATCCTTCTGCCCATCCTTTATTTTTCTCTTCTTTTTATATGCTAATGTCAAAAATTGACCCGGAACAATCGGCTATTATATATAATGTTCACAGGTTACGGATAGAGCTGAAAATGTCTTCAGACGAAGCTTATCTGCACATCGTTCGGCTGATCGAAGGCGTTAACAGTTGTATTAGTCAGGTATTTTCATTTTATCTTTGTTCAAAGGGACGGAAACAAATTCAAAAATGTTGAGAAACGACAACCACAGTATATATACGACTATATATCACTAAATCAAAGATTTATTTAAACTGAGAATTTTTTTCATTTTTTTGTTGAAAGGTATGACTTCTAGAGAATCTGTTCGGTATTTCTAAACTTTTCATTTTTCTGGAAAAATGCTATATTGAATGAAGGAATCTTTAGGAAGTAAAAGATCTCATCAGAGGTGCCTCTAGGATCTGTAATACAACTTTTAGGGGCTCTCTAAAGTCGAAAACTTCAATGTCTCCGATTGAGCTCATTTTTGGAGGGTATATAGGTTAGCTCTAGAGAGCTTTTTTTTTTCTTCGTCGTTTCTTCTTTCGGCCTTTCACGCAGGAAGAAGGTGAAAAAGGCCCAAAAAGTTCGTTTCATACATTGAAACTACAAAGTAGAATCAAAGAGAAGGAAGAGGGAATTGACGTAGTTACTTTGAACGGTCAAAGTCAAGAGTTGATTCTTAACAATTATATGTTTCTTTTCCTCGACTTGAAAAAAAAAGTTCTTGCAGAATCTCTCTTCTTTTACAGGTGGGGTTCGTTTATCCAACCAGTGATTTTCTTGTTTCATTTCCTGTTTCACTTAATTTTTTTTCTTAAATCTTTTCTGAACTTGGAGTCTTTTGCAACAGTACAAGTTTTTATAATTTTTCATGTTTTGTTCAAAAAACTTTCGTTTCAATTTGAGCTTCCAGGTCTTATCGGGTATTTTATTGGAAGGCGATCGATGGGATAATTTCGAGGAGGTCGAGGCGCAGCTGCATTTTAATCCAGTGAGAGGTCGGGACATGGATTAGGCTATATTCGACGGTTATTTTTCAGGCAACGTCATATTTTCTTCGGCTTTGCATTCATACGCCTTTGGCCTGGAAGATTTTGCCGGTGTTTACGCGGAAAAGATTAAAGTCGATCGGAATGAACTCTTGAATGGAATGTTTGGAGATTTCTACCTAACGGCTAGTGGTGTTAAGGTGATTGATGTCTTTTTTATCTTTATTAAAAGTTTGAATCTTTTCAAGTTTTTTGTTATTTTTCTCAACTTAAGTTTAAGGAAGGAGCCGCAGCAAAAGGAAAGAAGACCATCTTTGAAGACTTGATTTTGGAGCCCCTTTGGAAAATACACGACTATGGTCTTGTGGAGAACGATCTGGAGAAATTGACAAAGCTCACTGGTAAGAAATGTATCTGATAAAAAAATTAATAATTATAAATAATCAAAAAACGACAGGGAAAGCTTCGTTTAAGGTTTTTTTTTTAAATTCAAGTTTCTTTTTCAAGCATTACAAAAGTTAGATAATAAAATTTCTCTGAGTACTATATTTTAACATCTTCGTCAAACCACTTTCATAAATCCAGAAAGACTCGGCATCAAGCTGAAAAGCCGAAGAGCGGCTGAGGCGTTCGACGAGGCCATGCGAACCTGGCTTCCCCTTCCAAACGCGACTTTTCGCGCCGTCGCCCGAGCTCCTTCGGCTAAATCGACCTTCCAAGATCTGCGCCGGATCAACCATCTCACCGGCAAACGGATAGATCACCCGCTGCGACCGTTGATCACCGCCTGCTCTTCGGAAGGTTTTCAGAGAATATGGAAAACGAGAGTTCAACAGCTTCTTGAAGAGACACCAGAGAAGGAGGACTTCTTTGGCGTCTTTTCAGACTTTCGTAGAGTTTTGACTGAAACTAGAGATTAGCTGCGATTTCAAGAGAGTCCAGAGAAAAAAAAGCTTTTCAATTTCTCTGGCGTCTCTTCAGACCTTCGTTGAGTGCTGACTTCTTGGAGACAGAACTAGAGATTAGTGATGACTTGAAGAGACTCCAGAGAAAGGGGATTTCCGAACTTCTCTGTCGTCTCTTCAGAAAGCTGCTGACATGGTGCCCCGGGAGCCCCGTTATTTAAAGCAATCGCCCCCGCCCCGCTGAGTAGATAAGTTGAAATGAAGTATAAATCAAAGAATCCGCAGAGAAACGGCTAATGAAGAATCTATTGGTGAAAGGAAATAAAAGTTTGACCGCTTCTCTTCAAGTAGTTGAAAAAAGCTAGAAATTATTGGTGGCCTGAAGAGATGCCAGACAACAAGGAAATCCTGATTTTTGTGATTTCTCAATAGGGATATGTTTATCTCTCTTCTTCTGGAACAAACTAGAGATCAAGGTTTACAGAAAAGACGTCATAAAACGAGAATAATCTTGCTTCTTTGGCGTCTTCTCAGGCCGCCGTTCATTTCGTTTTTCTCTCATATTTGTCCTTTTTTGGAGCCCTACAATCAAATAATGGCTGTTGGGAATTATCTTTTTTTTTTAGAAACTACGGTAGTTTTCGTCGTGAAACTCCTACAGAGCGACGAACATGGCCGCCGTGCCATTTGTAGGATTTTGAGCGGGACTTTGAAACCGGGAGATAAGCTTCATGTCCTTCATGCTCAGGTTTGACTTCCTCCAGCTCAGAAAAAGATTTTTCGCATGATTCAGAAGCGAGTCGTTGATTCTGAAGGCTCGGAAGAAGCCGTGACGACGACGGTCAAAGCGTTAGGCATGCTGAGAGGTCGTGACGTCGTTCCTATCCCTAAAGTCACTGCTGGCGTCATTTGTGCCGTCGATGCGGATCTTCTACTTCAGGTTGAATAATCCTTGTCCCGACTCGAAACTGCTTGTCTTTCAGAACACCACGCTGTGTTCTGAGCCGGATTATCCGCCTCTGAACGTTGGTAGTGAGGAGGGCGAAGCTTTGGTTCGTGTTTCAGTGAGCACGGATCAGCTTGATGAGATGGATGAGCTCCGGGAGAAGCTCAAGCTCCTGTCCTTGCTCGACTCGAGTTTGAAAGTTCGTTTGTGCGGGAGAAGATCAGGAATATAGGTGATAAGGTGGTTTGGTACAGTAATTTAATTCAGATTTCTTCTAAAGGTAGGTCAGTTTTCCCTAGGAAAGGTTTAGGTAAGTCCTAAGATATAAAAGTTAATTGAAAGTTATCCCACGGTTGACTCTAGTTTTTGAGTGTTAGGTGAGATCAGACAGGCCTAAATTGTGTCAAAAAAGTGAGTTTAGTATGTAGAAGGTTTAGGTACTGGGAAGAGCTCAGAATTCTTTTTTTTTTTTCGAGATTTGGCCAAAAGTTGAGCAGTTTGCTAAAGAAAGCGAGAAAGGAGGGCGACTCGAAGAGCCTTTAGAGAGATCGGCTATTTCTTTTTTCTATGAGGTCTCTTCATGCTCTCAGTGTCTCTCAGCTTTTTCAATCTTATAGTTGTTTCACACTTTTTTGATTTTATCAAAAAGAAAAATTCTCGACAGGTCCTCGAACTTGAAACCGGAGAGTTGGCAATGGTAACCGCCGGAGAGGTGCACCTTCAAAAGTGTGTCCGCGACCTCAACGACCTCGGAATCACCAATTTGGACGTCTCCGCTCCGATAGTTCCCTTCTTGGAAACCGTCGTACCCGAGCCGACTTCCGACAAGTACGAGATCGAGGAAAAGATCACGGTGCGACTTGGAGGGTCCACAGAATTTAGACGGTTTTTAGGAGTGTCGCATTCGACGGCAGATTGCCAGGGACGACGAGGAGGAAGATGATGGGTCAAAGGCTTCAGAATCCGACGAAAAAGAAGAAGTCCAACATCAGAAGCAAGCGACGAAAACGGCCCTCTACATCCGCTTGAGAGTCGTGCCGTTGCCGGATTCCCTAGTCGAGGTGCTTGAGAATAAGGATCAATGACGTCACTATTTAATCATTTTTGATGACGTCACCTATATGGAAAAATCATGTTCAAATAAGAAATTTTATAATATGAGGTTTTGACGATACTCTCATGGAAAAAAGACGAATTTGGTGACTTTGAAATTTCTGTTGGAAACTTCTAATTAATAACATCATTATTTATGTATATTTCTTTTCTGACGTCATCAAATGTTAACCGTCACCTTTTTTAAAAAAAATTTAACGTTTTCCATTGATTTCAAGATGTTGTCAACTTCTTGATGACGTAATCTGAAATGAAATGACGTCATTTTGATCTCATGAGCTTTTAGTCTGAGAGCTGTTAATCATAAATTCGATTAAATTGTCTACAACTATCTATTTTTGCAGCTCCTCGAGAAAAACGCCAAACTGATTGGCGCCATGAAACAAGGCGACGTTGATGACGCCGACGCCAAGGAGTTTGAGTAGGATTATCGATTGATTTGTAGAAAATCTAAATTTTCCCACTTGAGGGAGAAATTCCGATCGATTTGCTCTACTCAGCTTTACACGATGAAAGGCACATGGTGGTTCCGAAAACCCAAGGAGCAGATCGAGTCGTTGATCAACAGGGTACGGAATGATGAAGATTTGAGAAAGTCTGACTTGTCTGCGCCCTCTTTCCTCTCACCGAGGAAGAAATAGCTGGTGGGCGCAGAGAAGTCCGACTTTTCCAAGAAGCGACGAAGGAAGTATGGAAAAAGAAGCTGTTTCTTGAAGATATGGTCGTTCGGGCCGGAGAAAGCTCGGGCCAACGTGATGTTCAACGCGATTGAGGGTTACGAGAGGAAAAGTGTCTGGACGAGTGGGTTTTCTATTGAGATATTAAGAAAACAACTTTTTTTTTTGTATACCTGTACACACCGTGGTGAGGTTATTGAACAAAAAAAGCTGGTAAAAAAATGGCAATAAAGGCACAGGTGTTCTAGTTATCTAGAAAAAAATAGAGTCCTCAGTTAGTTTAGATTGTATCCTTCTAAAAATAAAATTCCATTTTTTTCTAAGAGTAAGCCATGTCGAAATAACTGATTTCGAAATATCGTTTTTGACAGAAGACAGCGAAGAATCGACTCTGAGACGGTTTGATCAAGCCTTGACGGCTGGCTTCGAACTATTTTGTGGATCGGGACCTCTTTGCAATGAAAATATGCGCGGTGTTGGTGTGATCGTCGAGAAATGGGAGGTCGACGAGGAGGTTCCTGTTTCGGAATTTGAATTTCGAAAAGCTCACTCTGAAAGTTTTGATAATTCCGTTTTTGATTTTTCCTCGATTTTTAATATTTTGAAGTTTTTTCGAAAATCGCTGTAGGTTATTTTTTAATCAGTGGAGCACATTTTTTTCATTATTTTTTCAAAAAATCTCAGGATTCGGCGATCGGAGGCCAAATGATGTCGGCCATGAAAAGCACCTGTGCCTCTGCGGCTCAAAAACTGGCGCTTCGATTAGTGGCAGCCATGTACAAGTTGGTTACGGTAGATTCAGTATACTGTACTTGAAATGGCTTGCAGATGTACGGTAACCACCTCTTCGCAGGCTCTGGGCAAGGTCCACGCCGTGTTGGCTCAGAGAAAGGCCAAGGTTTGTTTAGGGGTGAGAACGAACTTGGAAGAAAAGCAATAAGTAATTTTCAAATGGAAATAGCCACGGGTACAAAAAAGTGGACGTTCTTTCAACGGTAAGAAGTTCATCTGATCAAAAATAAGTGTTCCATTTATTTGCCCTTGAATAATTTTTGGAAGGAAGCTTTCAATTCCATATTTCTAGCGTAAATTATCATTTTATGAGTTTTGATATTTGATTTATTCGATTTTTCGAGCTTGAAATAAATTTTTAGCCATCTTACGGTCCTCTGCGCTCTCCCCCAAACAGATACTATCTTTCTAGCTATACTTTAAAGCGAGTTCAGCTTCATGTTTTACTATAAATAAAATTTGAGCTTTCAATTGAAGAGGAGAGGACGACTCTCTTTATTTAAACATTTTTCGGAAGTTCTTGTGACTTTTTCAATTCAAAAGTAATTTTTTGAAATGTTTCTTTTCCGATTTCCAGGTCCTGGCGGAGGACATCAACGAAGCGACAGGACTTTTCGAAGTTGTCTCATTAATGCCGGTCGTCGAATCATTCTCTTTCTGTGATCAGTTAAGGTGAACTGATTACGACGAAATTTTCTTCATTTAACTATCATGGGTCACATCTTATGATTAAGTTAATCAGTTTTTGAAAGAAGAAAAAAACCTTTCAAAACTGAATTCATGAGATTTTTAAAGGTTTCTATAAAATCGATTTTTCGGATCGGTAAGGTTTATTGAGGGTAAGTTTCTGTTTATATGAAAGTAGAGATGCCCAGAAGCTCAGAAAGAGTAATTTGATCCGCATCGGAGCATTTTGACGGTTGCTGTGATTTTTCGAAGTCTCATTTCAATTATTTGGCTAAAATGACTAAAATCGAATAACGGGAAGAAAAAAGTAATAGGGTTTTTTCAGAACTGGAACTTCTGGCATGGCATCGGCGCAACTGCACTTCTCTCATTGGCAGATCATTGATGAGGTTTTGAGAGAGAGATGAAGAAAATTGAAAAAGAGAGCTATTTTGAGAATCCGTATTGGGTGCCGACAACCCTCGAAGAAATCGAAGAATTTGGCTTGAAAGGCGACAGTCCGAACCATGCGCGTGGCTACATGGACGCTGTTAGGAGGAGAAAGGTAGTGATAGAGAGTATGGGAAATGAGGAGGTATCAGAAATGAAGAGAAAAAGGAGGCGTCTGGTGTCTCTGCATTCTTCCTGCTCTCTGATCCGTGTCGAAAAGTTTTATAAAGATATATCGCATCGAGTAATTCAGTAAGAAACGGAGTAATATTAGAAAGCATGGAAAATGAAGAGATCTCCAGACATGGAAGGAAAATAGACACGTTTCCGGTCTTCGTTTCTTCAATGCTTTCTGATCATTATGTTTCAATGAAAAATTTAATGTTTATCAACAAATTTCAAAGGTAATTAGAAAGAATGGATAATGAGGAGGTAGCCAGAAGTTGAGAGGAACTTTGTTGAGCCTGGTGTCTCCAGTTTTCTTATAATCTCGTTTTGCTTCAAGTTTCAGGGGTATTCGGGAAGTTTCGAACTTTGAGAACGATACTTTTTCTCGAAGCTTTTTCTTTTTTTATAAAAATATGGAAAAATAGAATACATTTTATGTTTTTATTTGAAACATTTCTTCACTGAAACTTTCAAAAACTTTTGAAAAAATTTAAAAACAAATGAGAAATTTTTTCAGGGTCTTCCAACTGAAGATCTGATCGTCGTGTCGGCAGAAAAGCAGAGAAATTTGAAGAGAAACAAATAAATAACATTTTTTATTCTTGTTGGTTATTGATAATCTTGTTTCTTGTTATTTTTCTTGTTTGTTGATAAATTTTTATTGCTTTTTTTCCAGTTTCTTTTAAGCTTTTTTTTTTCGAAGATTGATAATTCTTCAAATATTTGATGTCCCGGCTTATCGAAAAAGAATCCAAAACAAGGATTAGTTGGTTTTTTTTTTCTGAACATCCGATTTTTAACGGTCTTTAATTTGTTTTCCGTCATATTTTTGCTTGAGATTATCTTTTGAAGAAGAAATGTGGTTCTGCTGCATCAAGGCTCATGTTAGGTCTTCTCGAATTTCATTTCATCAATTCTCTTCTGGTTTTTCACTAGTTAGAGATGAAGCTTTCTGAACCGCGAAAAAATTGCTCAAAATGACTAGTTCTCTCTTTGGACACGCCCCTTATTGATTGATTTTTATGAGCTTTTTTAAAAGTCATCATAATCAGTTGTGAAACGATTTTTTATTTTATATCATTTTATCGCGGAAAAGAAGTTAATTTCTCGACTGACCTTGGGAATACAGGCTATCATCAGAATATCAGTGCACCTGGATTTTTCGTGGAGTCCCTGAGAAATGAGACGAAAATAATGTTTCCTTGTCATCTAAATACACCGATAGCGTGTGCAATCGAGCAAGAGAGCCTCAGAGAAGGAGGTGAAGGACGAGAAATATACCAGGCAGATAATTATCAGCACACCGGGGCTGCGCCGCCGATTCGTGCACTCCGCGTCCGTTTTTCTGCTGATTTTTCGCTTTTTCCTCAAAATCGTTGTCTTTTTCATGAGACGTTTTCATTATATTCGAGAAGTCTCTCCCTAATTTTTGGTGGCTATAAGAAAGTTCTTTTGAATGACTTTTCAAGTTTTATTATGTTTTTGTTTTTCTGCTGGATTGCTGCTTTTTTTGATGATTTTTGGACTTTTTTGTAAGCTTTATCTAATTCTGAAATATTTTTCTAGATTTTTGATTTTCAATTGTTTTAATCAGGTTATGCATACTTATGAATAGGAGTTACACATTCTAAAACAAATCCGATTAACGGAAGCCTTTTTGAAATCTCATCATATCTGTCAGACCACTCAAGAAAATAGAAATTACTCTTCGGATATTTCTTTTCGTGGTAGAGATCCTTGAAAACGCGGTCAATTGCCTTGAATGTATTGAGAAAAAAAGCAAGTGGGAAACGTTTTTTTTTTTTCGAATTCCGAACAGCCCCACGTGTACTTTTCACGCTAGTTCAAAGATCTTTGCCCTTTCTGTTTGTTTCGATGGAACTTGACGAGTTTTCTGTTTGGTTTGAAGGTTTGAATTTCAAACTTTTTCGGTGTTTATATGGTACTTCTCTCTCTCTCTCTCTCTCTCTCTCTCTCTCTCTCTCTCTCTCTCTCTCTCTCTCTCTCTCTCTCTCTCTCTCTCTCTCTCTCTCTCTCTCTCTCTCTCTCTCTCTCTCTCTCTCTCTCTCTCTCTCTCTCTCTCTCTCTCTCTCTCTCTCTCTCTCTCTCTCTCTCTCTCTCTCTCTCTCTCTCTCTCTCTCTCTCTCTCTCTCTCTCTCTCTCTCTCTCTCTCTCTCTCTCTCTCTCTCTCTCTCTCTCTCTCTCTCTCTCTCTCTCTCTCTCTCTCTCTCTCTCTCTCTCTCTCTCTCTCTCTCTCTCTCTCTCTCTCTCTCTCTCTCTCTCTCTCTCTCTCTCTCTCTCTCTCTCTCTCTCTCTCTCTCTCTCTCTCTCTCTCTCTCTCTCTCTCTCTCTCTCTCTCTCTCTCTCTCTCTCTCTCTCTCTCTCTCTCTCTCTCTCTCTCTCTCTCTCTCTCTCTCTCTCTCTCTCTCTCTCTCTCTCTCTCTCTCTCTCTCTCTCTCTCTCTCTCTCTCTCTCTCTCTCTCTCTCTCTCTCTCTCTCTCTCTCTCTCTCTCTCTCTCTCTCTCTCTCTCTCTCTCTCTCTCTCTCTCTCTCTCTCTCTCTCTCTCTCTCTCTCTCTCTCTCTCTCTCTCTCTCTCTCTCTCTCTCTCTCTCTCTCTGTTTTGTAGTCAACGTTGTACTTTGCTCCTGCGCTCTCTCTGTGAGCGCTCTCCGCTCACACTCACACTCTCCGCGACGACAACGCATCGATCGCCGTGCCCTTCGCAACGTCGTTGACTCCCACCAGCCGGTTGTTGCCAACCGAACCCCTTAGGCGACCACTTGAGTGTCCTCCGCCGATTTTTTTTTCGCTTCGCTCTCGTTGTCTTGTCGCACTTTGAACGGCTGCGTTCCCTTTTTCGTGTACTTTTTTGCAGTTTTCTCATGTTTCGAATTGGAGTTTCAGTGTTTTAGCAATGCGATAGGCATTAAAAAGCCGGACTCTGGATTAAGATTAAAATTAATATAGATTAAAAGATCCTCTTACGACACTTTTTCTGCAGCTTTCACATTTTTAATTGAGTTTTTCAGTTCTTTTGAACTTCATATTCAATTTTATCAACCAATCGATAAATTAAGCACGGCTTTGAATTCAATAATTGATTGATGAAAAAAAGTGCACTTAAAAAAATTTTTTTCTTTTTTTAAATCGGATTCTTTTGTTTCATTTCAAGCTGATCATTGAAAAAGACCGATTCTTCGAAAATCGAAGTTTTTTTAGACCAACAATTTTTTTGAAAAAAAGCAAGTTTTTTCGAGATTACATAATTTTAGTGAAAAATTTTGATGAAAAATAAGGTCAGTTGGCTCGGAATTTTTATTCCAAGTTTCTTTTTCAATCAAGCTCACTTTTCATTGCGAAAAAAATTGCGTTCGACTGATTTTTTTGAAGTTTGAACAGAGTTTTATGAACCAGAATCACTTTTTTTCTCCTTCTTATCTCATAAGTTTCTTCAATGTGATCGACCTTAAACTTTGACTTCATCGTTAAAATGGCTACGTTGTAGTTTGATCAATGCAATTTAACAAAAATTAACCCACTTTCAGTTTAAGTTTCGTGTTAAATACTGAAAAAAGCGAATTTTTGTGTAAAATGTTTCAAAAAACTGAATAAAAGCCAAAGAAAAGTAAATTCTAATTTTTGCAATCTTTGTTACTCATTTCTTATCATTGATAGGTCAGTTGAAAATTCCGGAACTTGTCTTTTGTCATTCATAGGCTTTTCCGAACCAGAAATATTGGCAAACTTGCATTCCATCTGTTCTCTGACTCCATTTCATGCCATATTTAGGGTTTTTGAGCATGTCCAACTATATAATCAAGTGGAAAATAGGGAACCCACGTTTCAACAACTCGGAAACTTGTTTTCGAACCTTTATTTTTTATCTACTCCCGATCTTTGATGCCTTGCGAACAGGAAGAGGTTCTCGTTTGGATTCTTCTTCATTTCATTCTCAGAAAAATTGTACTATTTCCCGTTGGGGTTTTCTGTTTCGTAACGCTTTTTGTGTGCACTTTCGCAAACAGCGAATGAAAATGGTGTTCCACGTCAACATTGAAACAAAGTGGACGCCAAACACGTGATTTTTGCAGTCGTGTCAGTTAATTTCGAAGCATTTCATTGATTATTTCAAAGCCGAGTTGAAAAGCTGAATTTTGAGGTTACAGTAGAAGCCGAAGTCTGTAAGCACAGCGTGAACAATCTCTGACTACAGTAATTTTTTCTGCATTTTCTTTTTTGAATGTTTTTTCTTTTTTTTCTTCGATTCTCACTCATGGTTTCGTTAGAGCTTCCATTACTTGATTATAAAAAAACTCAAACTATTTCTTTTTCTTAAGTTCTTGTTTCTTTTTATACTTTCACGAAGTTGTTATGTATTTTACCTTTTTCACTGTTTTGATGTCTTTTAAAAACTTTTAAGTTTTTAAAACGTTTTAATTATTTTTTTCTTTGAACTTGTTTTATTTAATTTTGATTATTACAGGGTGATTTTTTGGTTTCCGGTGTTTTTCAAGCAATCAGTACTTCTGTGATTAAAAGGACGATTCTACATTGATTTCGACATGGATTTAGGTTGGTTATTCTATCAATTTCATTAAAAAATTTGTTTTTATATAGTTGCTCAGAAAGATATCGATCTACTAAAACACTCTAATTTCTCAGGGAATCCCTTTGAAGAAAAAAAACCTTCTAGTAGACCTTATTAGTCAATTTTCATAAATAATCACTCAACTTTATCGTTTTTCTCCAATTTGTTTGTTAATTCAGAAGCATTACATTTTTTAAGCCTTTGTGAGCTTGAAAAATCAAAAAAAAAACTGCCAGAAAAGAGCCCTGAGTTTCGAAAAAGCTAATTATTATACTTGATCTTGCGGCTTCCAAAACAGTCGAAATTTTTCCACTTTTATGCCGAGTTCAAAGTGATTTCCGGGAAATTAAAAATTATCTCTGACTCCCCAAAATTTATTTACCTTTTTCATGTTCTAAAGGCTATTTTGATTTTCGCGAGATCATTTTGGTCGGGGTATTCTGTCTCAAAATTTTTTTCAAAGGTTTGGATCGTGGATCAAATGATCGAAAACTTTGTATTATCGTAAAATAAGATCATTTAATCTCGAAATCTGAAGTAAAACCCCTAAAATCTGAGCTGGACTCGGTATTTTCCCGACTGTCGGGGCCGACTTTTTTCTTTCTAAATCCCCTTTTTCGCAGTTTTTCCGACTCGAAATCCAACTTTTCGTACTTTCCAGTCGATCCTCTGGCCGAGCCGTGCGCCGTTTGTGGCGACAAATCAACGGGTACCCATTACGGCGTCATTTCCTGCAATGGTTGCAAGGTAAAACTTTTGAATTTGCTTTTTTAAAATATAATTTTTGAGCATAAAAATTATTCACAACCTTCTCTGTTTTTAAACATCCGTAAAACCATTTCGAAGTCAAACTCTTGCTTCTACCAAGTCCAAAAGACCTTTCTGTTGAGATTCCCAGAGTTCCAAAGTTATTTTTTCTTAAATCCAAAATGAAGCACACATTTTCGAGAAAACAAGGATTTTCTAGGAATTTCCAAAAAAATCCTTATCTTTAGCATTTTTAAGGCGATCCGCCCGTGGGCGGGTACTTCTTAGGAGACTGGATATTAATTTTTTTTTTTATACCCTTGATTAATCATTTTTCAAATCGTTCCTGGTTTTTACTAAGATTTTTGTCGTTTTTCTTCCGTGTAGCGCTCTTAGTCCTTTTTTTTCGAATTTTAATTTTTGAATCCTAATTCTTTTTGGAAATGATCTTCAATTTTATTTTGAATCGGTTTTCAATTCATAAAATTGACTTCTCAGAGCTTTTTTTGAGTTTTTAGCCGACTTCCAACTCAACTATTGAATTTGAACCTTTTGATGAATCTTGGAGGGTTCTTCATAGATATTTATTGTTTTAAGGACCACTACAAGGGCATTTTTTGATTCACATAGGAAGATCCCGACGACAGTTTCGAAACTCCCTATGGGCAGAGCGTAGGGATATCTATTGTGAGGCCCCAGAAGATCCCTTTTACATTCCCTTGTAGGAAAACTCCGAAAATTCTCAGTTCTGGTGAAATGCAAGACGAAGTTGATAAATTTTTAGCTGGGAGTGTCAAATTTTGATTTGTTGAAGCAAAAATTATCCAAGAGACTCACAAATTTTATATGTACCAAATGTTGGAGAAATGTCTACGAATTGGAAAAAGGAGAGAAAAAAGGTGTATAGCGTTTAATAGAACATTTCTTACCTCCTAGCTTCTGAAAATAAATATAGGTTTTAATAGGGCAGTACGACTATTATACGAGTATTTTTTTTTTTGATATAACTGTCGAAAAGGCTTGTATCAATTGTGAGAACTTACTCTGTAGCGAAAAAGCTCACTTTTACAATTTCCTGAACGTTCTTTTGTAAACTGGAATGACAAACAAGTTTTTTTTTCTTAACATCGGACTCAAAGTTTAATTTTTTTTTTTTGAGATTGTAATTCTGATACTTTTTTATCGCCTCAGGTTTAGTTATCTGTGAAGCGTACTTGATCTCTGATCATGGTGAGTTTAAGCTCAATCATAAAAGAAAGCCTAAAACGACAACTTTAAGGGCTAGACTTATATTTTTTCGTTAGAGCTCATTTCAAATTTTTTTTTCTTAAGATCGTTGTTGGAAGAGATTCAAAATGAGACGTTTTTTTAATCGCTTAGTGTTGTCTGTTGAACGTACTTGATGAAGAATTGGAGCTCAACGGGAAATGGAAAGTATTAAAAGATAGTTTTGACATTTAACCAGAGAAGCGCATGATGAACTTAGTTTTGAATTCTTGCTTGAAAAACCTCTCAATTTCAAGGCATTTTGTCTTTTTGGGTTGAATCAACCACACAGCGTTCTTGATCTCTCAGCTCGATGAGAAATGAAAATTATAAAGGGATAATTTTGTCGACTAGGCGTATACTTTTGCACATTAAAGCTTTTAAGATTTTTTCTTTCCTAAGATCTTGGCTGAGGGAGCTTTTAACTTTGAGACGTTTTAACCGCCTTGCGTTGAGTTACCCATAGAGCGTACTCGATCTCTGAGTTTGAGCCCGATGAGAAATGAGAAGTACGGGGAAATTGATGATAATTTCCACGCCTAGACGAATTACTTGTCAAGTCACTCACTCCCTCGCGATTTTTCGGCAGCCGAGGCTGAAGCGTCCGGCGTTCGGCGGGCGTCTCCCCCCGCTCGCTTCCCCAACAGACTTATTTGTCGTCCTGCTCGCTCTTTGCTGTTGTTTGCGTGACGGACGTCGCCTTGCCCACTTTCTGTCTCCGATTTCCATTTGAATTCCCCTTTTTCATATTGATTGTTCGGGCCTCAGAGCCTGTGCGATACCGATAAAGGTTGGAAAATGACCGCTTTTGGCTAATTCAAGACAATTTCAAGACATCTCGACTATAAGACAAAACTAAAACTTTTGTTATTTCAACCCAGAAAACCTCAAACTAAGTTTCTGCCAAGTTTTTTCAAGGTCTTAAAAATTCTTTCCCTGTAATCTAGGCTGACATGATGAGAAAATTTTCTGTTTTTCAATAAGTTTCGTCTAATGTCGTGTTCAAAATGATTTCAGGTAGTAAAAAATTGCCGACAGAGAGTGAAAAAGATAATTGAATTTTGGAGGGTCAGAGACTTTTCATCATTTTCGTGCGGAAACTGCGACCTGTACGCGAGCCGCGATGCAGGATAAAACTCATCGAATTACCCGTTCTAACTTTTCTTACGAGAATCCCGAATTCCCCTTAAAGTCGCTTCTTGAAAAAAAAGTTGCTTTATGAAGGATTCTACTTTTGCGCGATTATTCATCTTATTCATACCTCGTTTGGCTTTTTTCCCCATTTTCTGAAGTAATTTCAAGGATTAGCCGATGTCACACGGTGAGATAAGTTTCTGAAGAAGCTTCTCCAAGGTTTAATCTCAGCTTTTCGAGTCAAAAGCTTTTGTTTTGGCAGGAAATCGTTTGTTTTCGATTTTTATTTGGCCATTAGTAATGGGAAAACATTGAAAAAAGCTTTTTTTTCAAGATCTTCGGGTTTTATTACGGCGATGCATACTAGAACGGGAAAGTTCCAAATTTTTTCGTTGCGAGACCAAATAATTCAACAAAAAAGCTCATATCTGCGCCTTTACTTAGTTTGAATAAGTTTCGATTTTTTATTCCATAGATTCCGTGATTTCATTGGCTGAACCGCTTTAGATTTTTTTTTTTTTGGAAGTTTGACTTTTTGAAAATTTCAAGTTTTCTGAAGCTTTCAGAAGCACTTCTAATGCATTTCCATCTCCAAAAGTCAGAATCCAACGATCTTTCGAACTTTTGGCTCTAAGGAAGTTGCATATTTACCTATAGGTTTCGAAGACCTTTGCTCTTGTTGTTTTTAGTCGCTTCCGTAGGCGCGACATTGAATGAGATCAAACTCTATAGAAAGAACAAAAATAAGTGTTTGTGGGGCTTTTCTTGAGCAGTCGTTCGGTGGCAAGTGCTCCCAACTACTCTTTCCAGCCATTTCTATTTTTTTTTTCTATAATTTTTCTTCCACTTCGTGGAAATTCATCTGTTCAAGCTTTCTGAGGTTGGAAGCAGCCTAAATAAAGTTCTAGAGCGAAATTCAGAACTAAACCGATGAATACAGTCAAGAAAAAAACCTGATCCATCCCTAAATTAGATGAGTCAACCGTATACCTACTTCTAGAATTTTTTACGAAGCAGTCTAGTTTGAAAAGGTCGAGCGGGAATATTCAAACAGTCAGCTGCGCCTTTAATAAGCTCTTTTTTTGGCTATTTTGAACGTTTTTTAAATCAAATTTTAAGCATCATTGTTAGTCAAAATCCCTGGCTGTAGAGTTTTAAGGAGAATGGGAAAATTCAAAAATGTTTGGAGGTAAAAAAAAATTTTTCAAGATCCTGAAAAATCCTTCGAACTTAGAAAGACTTTTTTTAGCCCAAAGTATTGCGAGAAATATTTTTTTCTATTCTTCTGAAATTCCATGGAAGTTCTAAGTTCCTCGGTTCAAGAGACTGAAGCCCTTGTTTTTTTTTACGAAACAAAAAAAAGTGAAAACTGAAATGTGTCATAATCTCCCGGTACCGTCCAACTCGTTAGGTTTGGCTTCATCCCGAGAATCTTTACTTTTGGCCATCCCTCATTTATACCTTTCTTTCAAATCTCACTGTCTTTTGGTTAATTGCAGGGGAGGAACTACTTTATTAATATTATGGAGTTGATTGACGGAAAAAGTTCAGGGGTTCTTCCGCCGGACTGTCCTGCGCGACCAGAAGTTCACGTGTCGTTTCAACAAACGCTGCGTCATCGACAAGAACTTCCGGTGCGCCTGCCGCTATTGTCGCTTCCAGAAGTGCGTCCAGGTCGGCATGAAGCGCGAAGGTTCGTTTCTATGTCTTTTTTCTTGTTTACTGATTTCTCGGTACCCAGTTGTGGCGCAAGATTAGTAGAAGGAAATGAGGAACGTCAAGATTTTAACATTTTTTCAAGAATAATCCCACAAGTGAGGTCATTTCTTTTTTCTGAAAACTGCTGGAAAATTTTTAACGTTTCATATTAGGATTCTGAAAGTCACAACTTTCCTGTTTTCCGAAACGAAAAGCTTTCAGTACTAAAACGAGTTTTCTACGACTTTGAGGCGTCTTCTCTCGGAAACTGACTTTGGGAATCTTAAGAAATTTTTGGTACCTGGGCGAGTTTTGAAATATTCCCAAACCCGAAGTAAAATAATCTTCCGTGTCAGTTTCTAAACTTTTGTGTTTGATTAACTTCTGGTCCCACTTTTTGGAGGAGTAGCACTTCCCTTAAAGAGGCATGGGTACTTCAGAAATTCGTGATGACCTTCAATTTCTAAAAATAGACGTTTCCGAAGGATTTTTGGTCTTTTTCGGGGTAAATCATGGTTTACTTTCAAAAAAGGAATCTTTTGGATCTTCTACATACTTTTTTGAAGAAAGGAAGGAAATTACTGCTTCAAAACCTTTTGAAAACCTTCATTTCTACGAAAAAATATTATTTCCGTTGATTTTCAAGAACAATAATGATTAGAAAAGCATTTTTGGCAAGTTTCCACTACGTGAGGAAAAGGAAGTCCGTTTCCGTCTTTTGTGCTATTTTCTGTGTTTTGGTCTCCCTGCACATATTTTTCTCGGCGGCGGCCGCGCGCCAACAAAAAACGCCTCCTCCTGAATGGGATTTTTGTTCTACTAAACTCGCGCCGCCGAGCCTTTTACTTGCTCCACTTTCTTTTTTCGTTTCATCGCTTTTCTGGTTGGAAAGTACATATTTTTCTTCTCTTTTTATCGTATTTTCGTGGTTTTCCTCGGTATAAGTTGTTTCACATTTGCTGATAATTCAGAAGAGCCAAAGTCTTCAATAATCTCAAATACAACTGGAAACGATCACCGCTCCTTCAACTTTTTTTTTTATAAAGTCGGTCCTTTTTCGGAATTTTCTATGGTTCAATTTTGTTTTTGTCGCGTGTCACTCTATTTAGTTTAGAGGCTTAAAAGATGATAAGAATAAAAATTATCGAGGGATCATTTTTTGTCGATTTCTTAAACTTAAAATTTGAATTTGTTTTTCGAAACGACGCTAGGAACCATATAGCCCATTTCGGGCCGGTTTTTCACCTTTTTTTTCTCATAAAAGACTTACGAAATTTAATCAAATTTGACTCACTTGCTCCAAGGCCGTCTTTTTTTCAGTTTTGAAGAGCCAAAATGCGAAAAAAAAGCTGTGTTCACGGTAGAGTTTTTCTGTTGTTCTGTGCGGCGGAACACAAAATACGAGATTTTCGCATTTTAATTTGATCTCTTCAATTTATTGGTTTCCAGCGATCCAAATAAAGCGCGAACCATTTTTTAATCGCAATAATGTCAATAATTAGCTATTACCTACCTTGAAAACTTGAAAAGATTTTATGCACGGTGATTTGACCTCCCTGCTGATTTTGTTGGTTTCCAGCGATCCAATTCGAGCGGGACCCAATCGGGAGTCCGAGCGGAAAGAGACAGCGAATGAGTCCTCCGCCGTCGGCGCCGGGCTCGGCGAGCCAGGCGACGTCCATCTCCAACGGATACACGAGTCCCAACGGCGTCCCGCCGTCTTCCGTCATCGACGCGCTCATGGAGATGGAAGCCCGAGTCAATGAGGTTTGAAAGTTCAACTGTAGCATGCCTTGCTGTCGTAGGATCTTTGTGCAACGAATAATTTCGATAAATTGAAAGCTGTTTTTCGTTAAGACCTCAGGGATCTGTTCTAAGCTTCTAGTGTCCATCTTGTTACTGCTGTGAAGTGTTATTAGAGGGAAGTTTTGAACTACGTGTTCATGGCTCAAGTTACTTCACCTATCTTCAAGAAAATTTTCAAAACTTCAAGATTTTTTCGCGCTTTTCCTATACATTAAACGTCTTATTGGAGAATAGAGAAATACTTTAAATCGGCTTACCGAAGTTTTGCAAAATTGCCCCCCCCCCCTTTTTTTGCGTTGTTCTTTATCCAGGGAAACATTGGCCCCCCTCTTTTTTTCAATTTTGTGGATTTTTTTGATTTTCATCAATTACTGAGGCGTTCATATGAGTAACAAAGTTAGTGCGCGATGAAAAAAATTTTTGCTAAGGCATCAGAAGATCATAAAGTTCCAGCTGGTACCAATTAAGTATTTATTTTAAAGCATGTTATTTTTCACCTAATCAGAGAAACTGAAGATTTCTTTTTCTGTTGGTATCAATAGGTTTATTCACTGCATTCATAGAATAGTTTGAATGAATACAAGAGAAAAAGAATTGAAGTGACCAGTAACGGGACTTATTTCACTCTAACGAGTCGATGAACAGGAAATGTGCTCGCGATACCGTAATCGCTCTTCCGTCATCCATCAGCAGGCGGTTCCGGTTGCCGGCGAAGACGATAATTCTGGATCTGCTTTTTCGCAACCCAACCGGCCTTGTACTGCCGAGGTACAAGAGAAGTTCGAATTGAACGAGAAAAAGAATGGAATTCTCAGGACCTCAATGAAATCTCGAAGACGACGCTTCTTTTGATGGTCGAATGGGCGAAAACAATTGCGCCTTTCCCGGAGCTTGGAATGGATGACAAGATCATCCTTCTGAAGAATTACGCGCCTCAGCATCTTATTCTCATGCCGGCTTTTAGGTATAGTGATTTTTTTTTTCGAAAATAAAGTTTACAGCTTTTGTACGAAAATCCATCTCTAAACATATAAATTTTTATTTTAAACTGTGATGAAGAAAAACTTTTTTTGTTAAGTTTTTAGATGAAAAAACAGATTACTGTCGTTTCGAGACCATGTCAGGAGTTTTTGATGTTTCTTTTATAATTGGTTGAAGTCAGTAAGCGATCAAGTTCAAGTGTCATTAACACGCAGCGACCCAACAAAAAACTCCGCAAACAAAAAAAAGCATCCTACAGTACCTCAAGATGACATGTCCGGAAAAAATGTTAAATATTGATACACTTACTGATTGACATACAGCCCGCCTACAAGAAATTCATCAGTTCTTAGATACCCAGGTGTATACCGTACCTAGCTACATTAAAAACAAAACGCATTTTTCGGAGAAATGAACATTTTCTTGTTTTTTTCAACCATTTTATCAAAATTGACCTTTTCCAGGAGCCCTGACACCACTCGAGTTTGTCTTTTCAACAACACTTATATGAGTCGCGATTCGGCGGCCGAATTGAACGGTTTCGCGGCTTTCAAGACCAGCAATATCACTCCCAGGTAATATTTGAAACACTAAAAATATATAAATTCGAAAGTTTTCCAGAGTCCTTGACGAAATCGTTTGGCCAATGCGACAGCTTCAAATGCGCGAACAGGAGTTTGTCTGCTTGAAAGTGAGAAAAAAAGAAAAATTATCGAAAATTATCGAATTTCAAGGCACTCGCTTTCCTGCACCCCGAGGCAAAAGGCCTGTCAAGCGCTTCGCAGACTATGATTCGGGAGGTGGGTTTTGAAGAGAAAATCACAGGATTACGGTGGTTTTCAGGCCAGAAATCGAGTCCTCAAGGCGCTTTACGCGTTTATCCTTGATCAACTGCCAGAAGAGGCTCCGACGAGGTGAGTAGAAGGTTTCGGTTTTTAAAGGCGCAGATAAGGATGAAAAATGGTCTTGCAGCGATTTAAGAGTTATGAGAGCTGAAAAGAAGGCTTCAAGATGCAGATAATGGTGCAAACAAATTTCTAAAATAAATTGAAGACTTTAAAAGTTTAGTGAGGCAGAAACTGAAAAAAATATGATCTCAGTGCAATTTTAAAGTATGGAATATAAAAAATTGTTGCAATAAGATTTTCTTCCAGATACGGCAATATTTTGCTCCTGGCGCCAGCGTTGAAGGCTCTCACGCAGCTTCTCATTGAAAATATGACCCTCACCAAATTTTTCGGTCTTGCTGAGGTAAAAATGAATTTTCAGGGTTTTTTGGGGTTGTTCTTTTGACGGAGTAAAAAAAGAATGTAGAGAGCAGCATGTATTGAGAGAAATTAGATAAAGAGTAGCTTTCGGCTTCTCCGGCGTCTCTCCAGGTTGCCTTGACCTCTCGCCTCTGATCAGTTCTTTTTTCTGCTTATTTTATTGAGAACACAAGAGTGTCCCCAATGGCAGTTAGGGGCAAAAAAGTGCTCTCTATAAGAGTTCTATTTAAGTGGTTTGTCTAGCGGTCAGACATGGGCTAGTAGAGAACTCAATTCTTCCAGGAGAAGTGGTTCACTTACCAAATTGGACCAAAAACTGGATGAAAGTTACTTCTAATCTCTCAGGGAGGTAGCATTGACGATAATAAAAGAGGGCTCTTCAAAAACTCTTTGCCCCTGTATGCTAGCGGTTTAGGGCATGACCCCTAAGCTCCTAAAGTTAGAGTGCTCCCTAGAGGGGAGCCTTCAAGGAACCCTAAGTTAGGCTCTATAAAGACTACTTGCGAGAAAATTTCTTTTTTCATGATTCTCCGACGATTTCAGGTGGACTCCCTGCTCTCCGAGTTCATTCTGGACGATATGACCGAGAATTCTTCGGCCCCGGCCTCCCTTCAACGGCATTTGGCTTCGCCGACCACTTTACCCACTCATGGGGTTCGATCTCTCTTGATCTGATCTTGATTTTTAAAAAAATCATAATACCTTTTCTAATGCAATTGTAAAATAAACATGTGAATAAAATCTATTTCACTCGAATCTTGGATGATATTTTAAAGGCGCATCGTGGAGAGTCGTCGATATGGCTCTGAAAGAAGGATTTCTTTATTGGCTTTTTCGTGTTTCATAAGTGAAATTCTGTGCACGCGTTTTTAAGTGAAAATTTTTTTCAGCATTCTTCTCTGAACTTAAAGATATCTCTAACGACATAAATTCGATTATTTCCCAAGCATGCGCCTTTAATATCACCAAGATTCCACAGGATGTCAACGAGATTTCTAGGCTTGTACCTTCAAAATTTTCAAAATTATAAGGTTCAGTTTTTTGAGAGACCAAAAGAAGTTATAAAATGTTCGGCATATACAATTTTTCCGTTTTCCCCTTTTCAATAAGTTCCAGACAGCTTTTTTGATCTTCTATTTGGACCACGCCCTGTGCCTTTAAACAACTTACCCTGAACCATTATTAACTTGTATTACTTCGCAATGCACTGTATAGCCATTTCACGGCTCCCAAGGGACGCGACCTGTCTGCCCTCTCCAACAACCAGGAACTCTCTCTTTTTCATTCGTGTCAGGATTGTTTTTGGATGTCTCAAGCCAGCCGTGAATCAGCTTTAATAAAAAAAATGACTCAAATAGAGATGAAAATGGGATTTTTTCCAGCCGCCCCTGAATGCGATCGCCTTGAGTTTGGGCTTCAACATTGGTCCGACCAGCAACGGTTCTGCCACCAATGGAATCGACAATGGAGCCAATCGCAACGTTATGAACATGTTGTGAGTTTTTTTTATCGATGAAAAAGGTTAATTTGAAGTAGAAATCGGTTGCTATTTCTTAAAAATCTCACTTGAAAACCTGATTATCAAATATTAACTGTTTCCGGGTTTGAAAGAAGTTGCTTCAAATGTACCAAGTTTTTTCTAGAATCTCACAAAAAGTATTAATAAGCGCAGAATTATCATTGATTTGTTTATTTTAGGAAACCGAGAAGCTTGATATTTTATTTTGATCCATATAATCTTCTCATACTTTAATTTTTTTACTGATAAATAACCTTGGTCGCATTGGGAATGGCTCGAAGCGGTTCTAGTTCAAGTCTTGGAGCTTAAACCTTTTTGTAACCGCCTGACACGTTCATCCATTCCTAGTGCGACCGATTGCCGTCAGTTCAGTCAAGAAAACACTTTTTGAAGGTTCCCCAATGGTTCCGACGGCTGTTCACTCCTCAACACGAATCCCCAGCAGAATATGATGTAGAGGTGAGAAAATAATCAATATTTTTGTAGGAACTTCAATTGATTCTCAAATGAAGATAAATTTCGAGAAATTATAGCTGGCTCACGGCTGGCTTGAGACATCGAAAAAGGGTCTTGACGCAATAAAAAAAAGACAGTGTCTGGTTTGTGGAGAGGGTTTGAAAGGAGTAGCTTCAAATGAGGCGGGCCACGCCCCCTTAGCGTCTCAAGCTAGCCGTAAATCGGCTGAACTCTTATCATAGGTAATAGACAAAAAACGGAAGATATAATGTTAGTATTTTTTATGAGCAAGAATAAATTTGACCTCAGTTTTTTCAATGGCCGCAGCTATAATGGCTCAAAGCGTCGCGCTCGCGTTGCGGTCCAGAAAAGGCTTTCCAAACTTTTTACGAAGCTTCACTATGCACAAGTAATTTCTAGTCAGACGAAAATTGAAGCAGCCGCTCGTCGTCTGAGCCATTCCAAGTGCGACCCTCGAAAATAAACCTAATTTTTTGCAGGTTTTGCAAGCTCAAAAATCTGTTAACCAAAACGGACAAACGACCTTTAATTGTAAATTTCCACAATAATAAACTTTTTGCCATTATTTTATCCATATCCAATCATTCCGTTTAATTTTCTGTTGTTTCATTTTTTCTTTATTTCGTTGAGAAATTACCCTATGTGATTAAAAAAAGCTTATGTGGTATCTAGAAATTATATTTTCCTCCTTTCAAAAAGAGTTTATATATATTTTTATTGTTGATTTTTTTGAAAAAAATTTTTATTTGAAATGTTCATTTTTTTCGATTATTCAGGTCACTGGAATAGCCCCTTCAAATTCCATATTCAGTTTGAATTTCTCAAGTCACCGCTTAAACGATTTTTTCAAACTTCTAACTGTGATCAGTTTCCCAAATTCCTCTTTCTTCATGCCATATTTTTATTCTTTCATATATTTACATATAGTTGAACTATTTAGATCTGTAAATATGTGCAGTTTCTTCAGAAGAGTATCTTTTCCTTCCGTGCCAAATTTTTATTCTTCATTTTTTATTGCATGTGTTTCTGATTTTGCTTTTTTTAAATTTCTCTTTTTTTAACTCAAAAAAATGGAATAAATGTGATTGTGTAACGGATGTTTTGAAAATTGAATTTTGTAGTCTTTTTTTGAAGATCTTGATTTTATCTTCGTAAATTTATTTTTTTACCAGTATTCTCTCAGATTCAACTATAAAAGCCGCTTGAAAAGGCTGTCATAAAAATGCAGTTGATTGAATAAAAAGCTACTGAAAAATCGGTACGTCGAAGTTTTCTTGAAAGCAGTTTTAAGATGTTTTTTCATCCTTCTCGAAATTTTAAATTTTGTTTTTCGCTTGTAAAAAATGTATTTTTATGATCAGAAAAGATTAAAAGAAGTTTTGATTGTTTGTACATAGGAACCGGAAAGGTCCGCCCACTTCGGGGTCGCTTTTTTTCAATTTCAGTTGCACGCGCGTAGTAACCCTAATTGTGTGAAATAGGGTTGGCCAATACCTTATTTTACACTTAGATTCTGAAATTCCTATTAAACGCGGAAAAAAAATCCATCGAAGCAAAATATTTTCTGAAAAAAGCTACTTTTCCAGGGACAATCATATATATATATTTTTAAATTTGTTACAAACATTGCATTTTGAGGTTGCATTTTTAGCTCCACCATAATCGTGAATTAGAGGTTGAATAGGAATTCGTTAACCGAAAATGGAAAAATGTCTCGAAGGTGAAAAAAATCACGAAAAATTGAAATAGTTGAAAGAAAACTATTATGGCGTGTTTATCGGACAAAACGAAAATTGCTTCGAAACGCAAGAAAACTGCTCCAAAACAAATATTAGTATCGTTTTGGAGCAACTTTGGATGAACACGATTTTTCGCTTTGAAGCATGTTCCGTTTCTCCGATGAACACGCCTTCAAAAGCGAAAAATCTGACGAATCTAATTTTTGCTGCGAGACCGGAAGACAATTTACCGTGTCCCGCCCACTTTGACATCTGGAATGACTACTTTGGAACGCCGTGGATTTCTGAATGTCGTTCAACTTGAAGTTTTCAAAGATGATGTACGCATTTTTGAGGTATAACTCTGAAAAGTTTTTGTTCATACAAGTATTTTAATTGGAGAAAAATGTGAATACAGAAAATACAATTGAAAAACGAAAAATAACAATGCACACGAGATTTGTTGAGGCAAAATGAGCAAGGCAAGCTTATTCATGAACTTTAAATATTGATTACAACGGGGATAAACATTTAGAACGTTTTACAAAAAACTTGATAATTATGGAAAATAAATATAATTCGAAAATTTGAGCTTTTTCTGTTCAGTTACTTATTCGGCAGCGACGTAACGGGCTCTGGAACAAAAAAAAATATACTTTTGAAAAGAAAACTCAAGTATTTGGAACTTTTATAGCAAACTTTTTCCCACCTCTGTCAAAATAGGGATTTTTTTCAAGGAGCGGCAGAAATTGAAAATTTCCGCAGCAAAAAATCACAAACTATCGTTGATCAAACTATAAAATAATCGCTTGCTTGATGGGTCTTGACTTTAAGAGTAAAGAAACTCACGATTTGCTCTGTTTCCTTTTCCGGAGTTCGCAGAAGAAAATGATCAAGCCTAGGAGGATGAGCATCACCAAAATGACGGCCAAAGGAAGGAGCCAAGCCATTTCACCTGAATTTGGATTGGAAAAATGGCTGGAAAGTAATTATCAATCGATAAATGTTTATTTTTTGTTCATTTCATCGATGAAGCAGTAAAAATGAAATTTCTAAGCATGTGCTGAAGAATTTTCCAAATCTTCAGCAAAAAATCTTGAATTTTTACCTAAAAGAATTAGGTAAAAATTCAAGATTTTTTTTTGAGTCTCAAATGCAAAAATTCTTAGTTTTCAGAAAAAAAAAGAGCTGAAAATAGTCTGTTTTAAGTATTTCGCTTGAATTTGAGGTCTCGTTTCTTTGTAAATATGAAGTTTTGCTTGTTGAACTTTTTCTCGGATTTCCATTTAAGAATAATTCGGCCATTTTCCAGAAAGTTCCAGAGTTTACTCCTTGTGAGGACCAACTTTTGACGTTGAGCATTTTTTCGATGACCAAAAGAAGTCGGCTGGTCTTGGCGTTGGCCGAGTATTCGTTGATCGCCTCGCAGGAATATTTCCCGCCGTCTTTATACTCGGCGTTCGTTATTTGGATCGTCGTTTTCGATAACTCCACGTTGGCGCCGAGTTCTGTAATTTAATTTCAGTGAGTTTTGATCAAAAATTAATCCGGGGACTGAAAAACGTTCCCTAGTGTGTCCCAGTTCCTTTTCTCTGACTAAAAAACATTTTTCTGCCCGCTGTTGAACTTTTGATTTTTCCAGTTTTTTTTTTGCGAATATAAAGCTTATAAATCCTGTAATGTCAAATAAAAAGCAGAAAATGACCTAAAGGCGCCCCATCCTTGGTCCATTTGACGATTGGCGGCGGGTAGCCGGTCACTGGACAGGTGATGTTGATGTTGTGGCCTTTCTGAACTATTTTTGAGGGAACTACCCATAAACAAGAATTAATAATAAACACACCTCAACCGACAACCCAGGTCCCTCGAGATGGAACTCGTTGTCGTCTTTGACCGTGAAATGCTCAATGTTGATCAGAGCCACTGGTCGAGCTGTAAACGTTTGTTTTTTTCAGGATTTTTTTCCTCTGAAAAAAATCGATGAGTCAAATCAAAAAAATATATATCTTTCATTCTTTTTTTCTGCTTCCATTTAAGTTGAGTTTTCTTAGAAAAAGCCAGAATGAAAAAAATTTCCAGAAATTTCTCGATTAGTTAAGACTTCACGGGATACTGATTTCTTCATAAAAATGATTTTTTACCTTCTGTTTGTAAAAAAATCGATTTGAAACTTGAAAAAAATTAAACCAAAACAGAATGGAAAACTTAAAAAAATAGCTGAGACTACAGACAACGATGATTTCTAGCTTAAAAATCGTTTTTTTATATGTTTGCAAACTCCGAAAAACTTTTTCTTTTACTATTTCGATAACAACTTACAAACTCTAAATCATCATAACTAATAAATGCGCAAGAAATATTTGATTTTTTTCGAACCAGGACGCCTTGAAGAGCATCTCAGCACAGTCTCAAAAACATTATTTTTTTTAACTGCCCTTGTTTCGATAGTTTGACTAAAATTTGATTGAAAAATGTTTTTTTCTTGATATAGAAAGAATTTCAGAATCAAAAGAAATAATGTAGGATTGAAGAACTTTTCCAGTCAACTTTGACCCCAAAAAAATAGTACAGTTGCTCAGATTTTCAGAGATTTTGCAGGAAAATCCATCAATCGGTGTAAAGAAACTCTTTCAACACAAACAACAGTTGTTTGGGGCCGTTCGAATGGAACGGCTCGGAGTAAATAGGAACATCTGGGAACTTCGTTGTAATTTATTTAGTCGTCTTCTTTTTTATACATTAAAATTTGTGAAAAAGCTATGCAATGACTTCATTCGACAATAAAACTCGTCAAAATCGAAGTTGAATAGATTATACGGCTTTTCAAAAATTCTCTTTGGGATTTATGAAGACGCAGAAGCCTCACATAACCGAAAATATACAAACATTCGCCTCGAAACCTTTTTATTTAAATTTTTTACATGCTCCTTCAAAAACTGCAATGAAGACTTTCGATGACGTCTTCGATAAAAATGCAGAAAGTTGTTTCAAAACGACGATTTCATTTGTTTTGAAGCGTTTTTGTTTTTTCGATGGAGTTTTCGTTTTTTTCATTTTCCTGAACTTGGACCTCGGTAACGCAATCCGGACGTTTCTGAGCCTTTCTAGTGATCTCTTCAGTGGCCTCGGCACTCTTAAGCGTTCACCAGAAAAGCTCAGAAGTTTCCGGGGCGCTTCCGATTTGTGTTACGGAGGTCCGAGCGAACAGACTTTTGCGAAAATTGTCATTAGAGAAAACTTCAAGTTCTATTTTATCTTCTGCTTGACCCTGTTTTCCCTTCGAACTCTATTGAAACTTATTCGAAGGACTTTCTGATTTAATAAATTTTTAGCTGAATATTTCAAAGTTCGAATTTCATCTACGCCCTCAGAACCCACCATAAACGTAGATCTGATGTCGGATAGGTCCATGCTGAGTTTCCAGCTCGCAAGTGTACTCGCCGGCGTCGACGATCGTCGGCTTGGCAATGGTTAAAGTCGCGTTCTTCTTGTTCGTCGACAGCGTCGCTTTGAACTTCTTGCCGTCGGCGACTCGAACAAACTGCGCCGTCTTGATGGCGACCTGAAAAAAATCTCTATCGTAAATTCTGTATGTTAACGCAACGGTTTATTTCAGCATTATACTATTTAAAAATTAGAAAAATAAGTACTGGAAGACTGGAAAATGAAACTTAAAGTGAAAATATTTCGTCTGAGATTTTTATCATGATATTCTCACAAACTGAAAAATGTCGCTGGATTCGAAAAACTTGTAAAAAATACCGACTGGAGACTAAACGAAGACGGAAAACTGAAAATAGCGCCCTTCAGCTCCATACAAAGTCACAGCAATCAGAAGTGAAAATGAGGATAAGAAGGTCAGAAAACCTACAAGAAAGGTAATCTTGCTGGAAAATTGAAATTTTCCTCATTATTGTTAAAAAAGAGTTGTCTAATTTATCAGAGGGAGGTCCTGAAAATGTCAACCCGAAATTCCAAAAAAATTCCGAACTTTCGGATATGGACCTTTTAAAAAGTCGTTTCTTTGCAACAAACAGAAACTTTAAAGCTTATTTTTTTGAAAAAAGTTAGAAGTTGTAAAGGCCTGCAGTATCTTGATCTAGTAAATAAAAAGAGGATTTCAACCGACTTTCAATGAATTTCGTCATTTAAAGTAAAAATCAAAAAAATTGAAAAACAAACTGAATCGAAAAAAACTGCTAATTTTTTTAAATGATATCTCCGCTCTATAGATTAAGCTCAGCCAGAACGCCTCCATTGATTTCAGAGCTAAGTTGAGCTTTCTCTCTCTTTTTTGAAATTCTCTGCTTCCAGAAAACTGAAACTCCAAAAACCCACAAGTACAAATCTGCGAATTTCCCAAGGGGTTTCTGTTTTCCAGAAAAAAAAAGAAAAGGCGACAACCCGCCCGGATGATTCATTCGTTTTCGTCGACCAGGGTGCCCCCATATTTTTTGCTCTCTTTTCTGCTCCGTTTCAATTCCAAAATGAAGTGCTAGTCGAGCCGGAAACGCCAAGGAAACGTCAAAAAACGCAGAATATCGGCTCAAAATGCATGAAAATTGAGCCGCAAAAATCTTTTAGAACGATAAAAAAGGGAGAAAATCAGCTGACTGGCAAAAAAAGAGAGGAAAATGAAGACACTGCCGTTCCTTGAAAATATATCTCCAGATTCAATTCTCTTAGGTTTCGAAAAACAATAGATTCTGAGACAAGAAACGAGATTTTCTATGTGAAGCTCACTTTTTGAATATATATCCAGGATGCGTTTGGAATGGCTATCTTAACAGAAAAGGAAAGAAACAAGCCATTCTAAATTCCCCTATACCGGTTGAAGTAAGCACGGGACGTTTTTTTTTGCAGTTTAATTAGTTAATATTCCCCAAAAGACGAAAAAAGGCGAGCCATTCCCAAATGCCGTGGTTGAAGAACAACAAAAGGGATTTAATTCGAATCCCTGGGCATTTTCGATTTGTCCTAAAACAGTTTGATAATGATCGTCAAAGAGTTTTTCCACAAATTCTCACGGAAATCCAAGTTTACCGAACACATTTTAAAGAAAAATTCAATCAACTGAGATCTTGAACAAAAACAAAAGTTCTCACAGTATCCGGAACGAGGCGAAACCTGTGGATTGTCGGGCGAACACCAGATGGTGACTGGATCGACGCCGTGGAGGGCATGAGCGTCGGAAGTTCGGCCCGCGACGAGGTTCAGCGCCGTTTTCGAGCCTCGACCTCCCAGGGCGGCCGCGTCGGCGATGAACGCCGTCAACAGCAGTATTAACATTGCTTCTGCAAAATAAGAGAATTTCAGAACAGCAAAAAAAAAGTCGAGAGCTTCTGAATGAAATTTAGACAGGAAGAGCTTCTAGAAATAGAAAAAAAGTTTTCTCCGAAGAAAAATATTCTAGGATAAAAAAATGATTACTTAATTCTTTGAAAGTGGTTATGAAAATATAGGAGTTGAAAAAAGATATGAAAAGAGTTTTACAGTCAAACTCAGACAGGAAAACCTGCAATAATGCTTTGCAATCCTAAATTTGACCCTTGTAGGCTTTCGAAAAGGCGTTTAGCAAGAAAATAAAAAGTAGGATGTTTATTTTTCTACAAAGGAGAGCTATTTGAAAATCAAAATGTCAATATTCAGATACAAACGGGCATTTAAACACTGAACGATCTATTAAAAAGGGTATGAAAAACGTATATTACACATCTTTTCGGGATAAATTCTAGTCAAACTGGTTAGGTTTTTTTTCTACTCGTCCTTTTTTATGGTTGTTTTTTCAATTTTTTTTTTCAAAATTCTATTTTGTGAGTCTAAATCTGTTCTTGAAGTATAGACTCGGAATGACGCTCAAATATTGGTGAAAAAGAAGGATATCAGTCTAAATTTCAACTAATTTTCGGTCCTTTTAGGCAATTATCAACCATCGTAAACAAACTATTAGAAGCAAAAAAATTTGAAAAAAACGACTTTTTTTCCAGTAAAAAAGTCTTCTAACTTTCAATGAAGATGAGTTTTTTTATGGGGCGAAAAAGAGTGAAAAACTGACATCCATCCATCTTCCAAGCTCTTAAATTATTCATCTTATTGTTTTCTCTCTTCTTGGGTATCTTCACAAGTCCATCCAGATGATCGATACATTTTTTGAAACGCGAAAAATGTTCGGTGAACTCGGTTGAACCATGAAATATCTGCGAATGAACAAGTTGAAAAAATTTCGAGATTGCTGTCAAAAATTTACTAAAATGGTAGAAAAAAACAAGAATTTCATGATTTTTTTGAAAAAAATAAAAAAAGTCGAAAAATGTTATTCGCACCTATTTTCATGAAAAAAAGGTTTTTCTGAAAAAAATATTCTCTATGCTGGTAAACAGTTTTTGTACAATCATAACTTATGATGATTCATAAGAAAATTCGAAAAGTTTGATCAATTTTTTTTTTAAATAATAGCTCAGTGAGCAGCTACAGACTCTTCTACGACGCTGGAACAAATATAAAAAATTCGAAGTTGTTGGTAATTCATAACAACCAACTGGTAACAAAACGTTCCAAAAACGAAATTTTCAAAAATGAAAGCTTCAAAAAAGCTCGTAGAACCTTTCGAAATGCTAAAAAGCCAAAAAAAAGCCCGAATGAATAAAAAAAGAGAATCTCTGCGAAAGGGAAAAAAAGTAAAAGGATAAGAAGAAGCAGGAGTAGAGAGGAGAAGCCAAAGTCATTGGAGGATGAGAAAAAAAGCAGTGGTTGGGGGAGCAGCCGTCCTCTCCCATAGTGAAAAGAGGGCGACAGATGAAGGAAGTGGGCGGAGTCAGAATGAGAGCCGGAGCTCCTCGAGCTCCCACCCAAACGACAACGAGCAAGAGGGAGAGTCCCCTAAACAACACATGGTGTTGCTCGCCTCCTCTTGAGCTTTGGAGTAGGATTAGGTTGAGAGTTGGCTGCTGGACACTTGATTTCCCGGACTTGGTGGGTTACGGTACGCTAGAAGTCCGCAAAAAAGCTGCTTGAAGCTCAGTTTTGAGTCTTAAATCCTCAAAATTTGATGGCACTGTTAGAAAGCTTTTCCGCTAAAATAGGCTGAAAGTCTGCCGGAAACTAATGGAAACTTGACTTTTTGAGCTTGATGGGCACGCTGAATGTCCGCAAAAAACTTCAGTCAAAATATACCATTCGGCGTGGTACTTCGAGGATAAAGACCCTCAGTAGTCTTTGCGGGTTTGGTTGAGACTTTGCTGCTGGACACTTGATTTTTTGAGCTTCATGAACTACGAAAAATTTGAAATTTTCGTCATGGTAGACGCTGAATAAAAGTAACGGTATCTCGAAAGTCCGCATTGAAGCCACAAATCGTAGCCAAACATTATTTCGTTTTAACGATCACTTGGGATTAGTCTCAGCTCAAAGTGAGACTTTTAAAAAAACAACTCACTAGGTTTAGTTTTTGCCCTTAATGTCTGTGAACAAAGTGAAGGGCTGTTAAAGTCAAGAAATCCCATGTCTCTGATGTCCAAAGTCAGAAGAGTAGGGTAAAAAAAGATGACTTTTGATGCCACATAAAAAATATTTCACGACCTCATTCCAATGCCATTTTGATTGAAAAAAATACTTTTTAGTTGCAATCGAGAATGAATAGAGGAAAACTTGGATTTTAACGTTGTCCTCTGCCTCTGCCAAGCCAGATGTTGCCACGAACGGATAAAAGATCTTTCTCCGCCCAGCCAACAAAACAGTAATTAATTAATCGTGACTAGCGACAGATTTCGATTCGTAACGGCTGAATTCTATTTCTTTGGAGATCAAAGAAATAGAATTCAGCCGTTACGAATCGAATTCCGTGTATTTTCTTCACTCGAAGTGGTAGCTCTCTCAGTCGGCCGAGGCTACCCTAGAGTGTACACGGAGTCCGTGCCCGAGCCCCACCATCACCGCCGTGCCCGTACAAGCGAAACTGAGGGATCAACTTGTAGAAGAACGAGGCGAAGGACCGTAAGACCATGCTTTCCATTCAATCGACTACACGTTTTGACTTCTTTTTCGCCAAAGGCGGTGTTAGTGCCGCTCAAAAGAGCAATTTTTTCACCGCCTAGTCGATACCATCTGACTAAAAAAAATCAATAAATATTGTATTGTATTGTATTGTAAAGAAGAACAAGATTCAAGAGTTAAGAGAATGGAAAAGCTAGAAGAAAGCCTCAACAATGCTGCTGATTTTTGAGGATGGCGCACGAAAACCATCGAAATTGAGCAACTCAGGCGTAATTTTTGGAATAGTCGAAATTACCTTGAACGCGGCATGACATAGGCTCATCTGGAACCATCTCAAAAAGACCTGATCAAGAAAAAAATTTTTCTGGAAAAATATCATTCAAGTGTACTCTTCTGTTTTTCAAATGGTATAGCAAATGGATTATTTCATCATCCTTTATTCAGGTAAGCAATTATGTTCAAAAAAACATGAGAAGATGATAAAAAAAGAAAAGTCAAGTTTAATAAAATTATATCTTCCGCGATTTTTCCTACAAAAACCAATCACGAAAATGTCCTCGGAACAATCTCTAATATGGTCGACGGCAAATTCAATTATTTATGAGCAGCTGTGCCTCCAACCTTTCTGACAGCTAAAAGAGTTCTTTGAACCCTCTTTTGAATGTTGGTTCATACAATGTATTCACTACTTCCAAAGAAAATGTTGAATCGAAGCTCAAATTTAAATATTTGAGAGATTCAGAGCTATAGTGGCCGCAAAAATCTTACTTTCTGAAGTTATCAACCTTCGAAGAACACTGGAAACTTTAAATATATTCAACTTTTCCTAGAAAATGGATCGCGTTTGAAAACCTCCGAAAGAAATTTTTTCTAGATAGAATCACAAAAAGTTAAACATCCAATAAAGCTAGCACGGGAAAATTCAAAAGAAAAATGATTACAAAAGAGATCTTGAAAAACCATTAAGTCCACGAGATTCATTTTGAGATCGAGAAATGGACCAAAAAAAACGGGGAGATCGGAAATCGGCGATTATTCTATTCGAGAGAAAAGAGCCGTCGGTTGGGGCGGATTTTCGCCTCAGCCATGGCAACGGTTGTGGCGCCGTGTGTTCGATTTCGATTTCAGTAAGTTGGTTTCTTTTTTCTCAGGAACACTTAAAAATATCCAGGTCATAAAAAGCGGAAGCTGATTACCATTTTCGCTTGTTGACTGATTTCTTCTAAATATTCCAATTTTCGAAATGAAACAAAAAAATCCGAGTGAGTCAATAAAATAGGGTACGGTAAGGAAACGAAAAGGAAATGCCAAGAATTTCCTCTCCGAGGCTAATTTCTTAACAAAGAAGTGACAAATATAAATGATGGAAAAATACAAAAAAATTACTCTGAAAAAAATAGCCACATTCAAAAATTCTACGAGACTAGTTTTCTTGATAACTGCTTCCCTTGAAGAGCTATTTCTTCGAGAAAAAATGCCCAAAAACATGGAAAGTCATGGAAAATGACAAAAAAACTGCTCAAAGGAACTTTTAGCCGCAGTTTCGGAAAAAAACAAACTTTTGAAGTCCCAGTTCGGAAACATTATTTTGAATTTTTTTGTCGCCCAATTTAATTTTTTTCAAATACGAAAAAAACCCTCTATACTTTTTATCCATCTCCTCAAATCTTCTGTGAGAGTATTGTGGAAAAAAACTTACAGAGAAGAGATTTTCAAACAGAAAAGAGCCGAGAAAATCGAGAAAATCGAGAACATTTCGCTCTATGGCCAAGCTCTGTGAAAAAAAAACCAAAAAAAGTTCTGAAGACTTTAAACTTCAGGTAAGCCAGAAAGAAGTCTGCGGAAAACAGAAAATTTCACGTTTTCATCAAGATTTTTCTGGAGAAATTTTTATTTATTCAGTAAAGGAGATTGAAAAAAAAAACTGATATACAAACAACAAAAAAGATCAATTTCGGTAATAATTGTTGCTAGTAAAGGGGAAGGTACAAGAATAACATTAGAATGGGATTTGAGATCGAAAAAAATTGACAAGAACTTCATTACAAAAGGGAGATTTAACAAGAATGGGTGGTTTTTTTTATTCAATTTGAAAAAAAAGGCACTAGATTGGTATTTTTCAAAGTGAAAAAGATGAAAATTATGAATGAACTCAACAAGAAAAAAGATGTTTTCAAGAATAGAAAGATGGAAAAGTTAACAAAATTTGTTCTCCCAAAATTCATCTAAAAAGAAGATAATTTTTTAGAAACGGCAAGGTAAAAAATTATAAGAATTTCAACAAGAATGAGATTTTTTTTCAAGATTACATAGATCAAACATTAAACAGGACTAGGGGTTCTTTTCAGAAATGTGTTTGAAAAAGCCCCGGAATGGTATTGTTTAAAATGGCAAGAGGAAAAATAATGAGATAATCACCAAGTATACAAAGATCAGAAACTTAACAGGAAAACTTCAAAAATAGCACAAAAATGAAATTTTCCGCAAAAAATTCCAAAAAATAGCAAGTGAAACTCAAGAAACAAATTAAACGAAATGCATTCCTATGTGGTCCTCGGGATGGGTCATGTGTTCCAGGAGGTGGTTCCATCCTTCGCAACGATTTTTGCTGGTCAGAACCAATTCTCGATTGCGGCTGAAAAAAGGACATTCCTTCTCGTATTTTTTGAGCGAATTTATAGGAAATTCCGAAATTCACAATTCAATGAGAACATGTTTACTTAATGTAGTTAATAAGTAGATTCCGAAGTTTCCTAGGATCTGTTTGGCTATATATTGAGTTGAATCAGGCGTTGAAATATTTAAATCTTTTTTCGAAGGCTAAACGAGCCCGTATTGGGTACTTGAGCTCCATCAGAAGCCTTAAAAAAATCTAGAACAAATCCAAAATGTTGAACATTCAAGCCTAGTCAGATGGTCTTAAGCCAATTGAAAATCATCTATGAAGTTCTCTAAACCTTTAGAGAAAAATTGAAAGAAAATACGAACTTGTTGATGGCCTCGAGGTACTCCTTGCCGCGTTTGGCGGCCAAATGAGCCAACATGATCGGAGTTGGGACGGAGATCGTCTTCGGGCATCTCATGTAGCTGCAGCACAACGCGTAAGAGACCGTCTGCGAAAAATTCTTGTGACTAGTATCGAAAAGCTCTCAAACTTGACTTCAAAGACTGAGAAAGTCGAATATAACTATGGAAAGTGCAGTTTTTTGAGTAAAACCACTTTTCTTTCAAGTCGGATTGAACTATTAAAATGAAAATCTTCTGAGTAGAACTAAGACCATGCTTGCACTCCATTTTCCACTAAATTACCTGCCAAAACGAGGGCGACGGATTCCAATCGTCGTGCAAAACGTAGTAGTGGGTCGGATGGGCGGTGCCGAGGGGCGAGGCTTGGCTGACGAGGTAGAAGTCGAAGTAATCCGGAGAGGTGATTTCTGTCTCGACGAGGGTTCCAGGAGCGACGTTATAGCGACAGGCACTAAAAAAATACCCATTCTTTTCACGTAATTCCCTACTTCTAATCTGAGAAGCTTTCAGGTAAAACTAGGAATAACCAACTCAAGAACCGGTTTTGAGATTTTCACTAGGGATTCATTGAGGCCGAGGCTTCCAGCTGAAGGCTCTTCTCCGTTCGAAGCTTATGAAAGCCCTTCTAGTTCACTTGAGATTGAAATACACCTTGGGGCTTCCAGTTCATTTCAATGTGTTTCAAGAGCCATAATTCTTCTACCTAGACTATCAGAGAAAAAGTTTTCGAAGTTCTCCCAATGTTAGGCTTATTTCAAAATGTCATCAGAGCCTTTTCTCTACCTGCCTAGATTATCCAAAATTCTAATTTTCAAGCTCTTAAAAGCTATAATGATTGAACTTCGTTTGAAATATACTTTCAAGCTTCTAGTTAGCTTCGAAGCACCTCAAGGACCGTCGTACTCCCTAATTAAGAAAAATTCAAACTCAGAAAAGCTCTAACGGTTGAACTAGCTTTGAAACACTCTATCAAGCTTTTAATTAGCTTCTACACCTTAAGAGCCGCCAAGAAACTCCGAAACGTTCTACTTTTCGAGCTCATAGAAGCTCGGATGGCTGAAAGGCAAGAAATCCCTATTTTTAGCTTCTAGAAAGCCCAAAAGACGAACTTGTCGGAAGAGGTGGAAATGCAGCTCTGTTTCCTGGTCTCGCGATCGCTCTTCGAGACCAGCTCCGAAGCATCTTCGTCGACGGTGGTCGGGAAGAAACGCGTTCGGTGTCGCTTCGTCACGACGATGTAAGTGAGAGTCGGATGGGGATTGTCTCCGTAGATGTCCTTGCAGGCGACATTGATGTCCGTCTGAAGGTTCCATTCACAGAAATTCTCAAATGCAGCGTTTCTTTTTATTGAAGAAGAAAATCTTAAGAATTCGAAAAAAAAAAATTAGGTGAAACATCGAGTTGTAAGTAAGAGAACAGTGACAGTCTGATGGGATTCTAAAGAATTTCTAAAAAGATTCGAAATTTTCATGTTGCAACTTTGATTATTATAAGCTGAAGATTTTGGTAGAAGGTCAGTTGAAAAAATTTTCCCTGGGTGATTATTTCGAACGATATCTTCAAGATCAACTGGAAAAAAAACGAAAAAATTTCCCGAGTTCCTATTAAAACTTTCTCAATTAATTTTTTCACCTTTCTAAATTCCGTATAACCAAGTATCCACGTAAGAAAGTATAGTTTCCATTTCTCTAAAAGTTCGTCGACTATTTTCCTCAGGAGTTTCAAAGTGTAAGATTATTTTCTTTCCTCACCTTCTCATTGTAGAGAGCTCTCTGGAACTCGCTCTCACTGACGCCGTCACGATAGACGATGATGTGTTTGGGCAACTTGCCAGTTTCCTGAAAAAGTATTCTTTCAAAGAGATTCAACATGATTTCCTGGAAAAACCATTCTGAATTTGCGAATCCGAGCCATGATCTCATCACGCATGTGGACGATTCGTTCGATTCCTTTCGGCTGAACGCGATAACTGACGTCCCATCTGAGAAAAGATCAGGATAATTGAGTTTTTTGAGCAAAACGGCCTCAAATTCGTATAACTTTATGATAAAAGACGATTATTGTGAGTAAAAGGCATCAAACTTGAAAATTTAACTAAATCTCTTTTCTCTCTTACACAGTATGAGCCGTGAAAAAAAGGTATTGTGACTTCAAAAAAAAATATATTCATGAATGGTTTATTAAAAACTGTTGTTTTTTTCAGATTTTGAAGCAATTCTTACTCATTTCCTTGAGCTCAATTCCATTTTTAGGGACTTATTGGCTTCAAAAAACAGATTTTCCAAACTCCTCATAAACTCCTCATCCTTAGCTTCCCATCAAACATGGATAGAAATCAAATCTAAAAATAATTTCGGAAAACTTCTTCCTGACCGTTTTCCATTCATTTTCCACTCATTTACTACCCATTTTCTACCTATTTTCTACTCTTTAACTACACATTTTCTACCTGGTTTCTACTGATATCCTACCTAGTTTTTATTCATTTCCTACTCATTTCCACCTCAATTCGAACCATCTTTCCTTTAATTTTCGCTCAACTCCCGCTTGATCATCTCCTAACTCACTGCATCAAGGTGTGGTCGATGTTTCCGACGATGCTGGCCACCGAGGCGCTCTGGACGTCCATCGACCTGCGATCTTCGGCTCCAGGATGCGTGACGTCGATGCCGAGAATCAGGGTCGAATCATTTTCGTCCGTGATTTTCTCCCAGCTGAAAGTTAATTTTGACCACTTTTATCCCTTTCCGGCCTTATGTCTATCTCAATGACTTTTCAAGTTATCCAAATTTACTTAAAAATTTTTTGAACCTTTCGCGATTTAAATTGAATATATTGCCGAACTCTCAACCTAGTCCTGATTTGAAGACTAAAAACCCGAGTCAAAAAAATAAAAAGGTTTTTTTAAACGGTGTTTTTTTCAAGGCGGTTTTGAAAAATATGGGTTTTATTATTTTCTTTTTTCTCGATTTTTTTCTCCTCACTTTTTGTGAACCCTTCCATTGCCGAGGCAGTACACGACTCCAAGTTTCAGCATCATTTTTCAGCGAGAGCAGGAAAGACGTCGCGCAAGTCAGTGGATTGCCCTGAAAGAGATAGTTTATTAGGAAAAAAATGGATAGTTTTGTAAAAAGATCGGTTTTTTTTTTCAAATTTCCCAATCAATTTCTTCCAACGGGTTTTCAAACAGTTTCTTTTTTGAGAAAAAGTTAGAATGACGTCACGAAATTTCGCTGACGCCATTTTTTCAGGAAGAAAAAACTGCGGAAATTCTTGCGACTTTTCTTTTCCAAAAATCACGCCATTTTTCGAAAAAAAAATTAGGTTCTTCTTCAGCTAGACTATGTCATCCTCCGGAAAAATTGGGATAAAAAGGTTACATTTTTCCTTCACTCTACTCAGTTCAAATAACGTCAATTTGCATGAATAACATGACGTCGTTCTGACCCACCGTAATCTTTTTGAACACTTTCTGCGTGATTCCTTGGCAGTGGACACCGTAGGCGACGTCGCACGCCTGCTTGAAAGTGCCTGAAGAAATGAGGAAATTCGGATTTCGCCATGGCTATGGTAAAGTTACAGTAATCGTTTGCATATCCCTTGATCGTGCTGCATTTCTCGGCAAAGATCGCAAGTATCAGAGGGGTATAATCCGGAAAGTTCCTCTTGACCTGGAAAACCGAGAGATCAGAAAAAAAAAATGAAAACAGAAAAGTTGAGCTTAATTACGAAGCTAGAATTGAAAAAGTTATAGATGCAATTTGAAGGAAAAATAGCTGAAATTGTATGGAGAAAATCTCAAATTTGAACCAATATAGCTGAACTTTTGAATGAACACATTTGAAGCTTAAAGGAGCATAGCTAAAGCTTGAAGGGATGGAACTGAAAAACTTGAAGAGCACAGCTAAAAGGCAAACTTCAATGGTACATAGACAAAAGGAGAAAAAAGCTGGGAAAACGTACGCCTCTTTTGAAGTCCATGATAAATTCATCCAAGTCCTGATGAAGCGAGACATCATTTGGTCTCGGCCGGCCGTCGGGTAAATTTTTCTGATGATAGACCCTGTTCTGAAATGAATAAAAACTTACAAGGGGGTCAAATCAGGTTTTGAATTGCAAAAAATAGTCAAAAAATAATGAAAAATCCTGAATTTTCTAATGATAACTTTTTGAAAAATCTTCAAATTTCGCACTGCAAACAACCTTCTTTTTCAGAACTTCTGATGATTCACACTAATTGCAAGATCAAACATAAAAAAAATTTAAGCTCGTAAAAAGCCAAAAAATGCTTAATTCAAATCAACAAAATGCTCACTCCGAACATCTTTTGACCACCCCAGGTGTGTCCAAACGCCTCGAAAGTTTTGAAGATGGTCGCCATACGCGAATTGTTCGGGCCGTGCGGCTCGTTTTGGCTGAAAATTATGAATTTTTATTCAAAATTACTGTCATTACGCTTTTATCTTTCTGAAAGAACCGAAATTCAAAGATGACGTCACATTTTTTTTCAAAAAAAACCTTAGAAGTGACATCATGATGTTCAGTGCTAGATTTTGAAGTAGTACTGAAAGTGACGTCATTAAGCTCAAAAGCACTATGATGACGTGATTTTCGAAAGTATATGTCGAAAAATGCCATGATTCTTTTTTAGGATCTCTACGATAACTTTTTGTTCAGAAGTATTTTTCCAACTAATGTTTTTCGAGTTTTTTTTACAAATGACGTCACTATTCTCATAATTTTTTTGACGTCATAGGTCTCAAATGCTCTTTTTCGTTGACTCTATTTTTCTTAGAAATTCTTCGAAGATTTGAAAGAGGTCAGAAGCTTTTCTATGACGTCATAACGCTCAAAGTTTCATTTCAAAAGTACCGCTATGACGTCATGTTCGAAATCATCAGCTTACTAACAACTCTCTTAAAAGATCTTTTATGAAGTAATACTGCGATCAGAACTACTTTCCGTTTATCATGACTTCATGCTCACTAAATGAGCCATAGAGCGCGAAATATTCTTTTTTTTCGGCTGTTTTGTCTCACTTGTGTCTGTCCAAGACGTTCATCTCTTCTGTCGATGCGAAGTCGTGTCTCGGGTCGAGGAACCAAATCACTGCCGTAATGATTTTTCTGCGTTGGCTTTCGGGCACTTTTCTGAAAAAAAGACTATTTTTCTTGACCATTTTCTCGAAAATCAACCTGAATTCGCCATTCGGCAGCTTCAAGTCCCACATTCCGGTGGCAATTTCTGCCTGTTTGATCGATGGGTCCGACTGAAAAACATTTTTTTTTTCGCTAAGGGCTCAAAAAGAGAGGTTTTTCCTGAACTCTTTCAAAAAAAGCCAACCTCGAAGTCAAGTTCCAAAGCTGGAAGGACCAACGAGGGAAGGCGAATGAATTCCCGACCAAATTCGACGCCGAACTTCTCGCAATATGGGTCGTTTTTCCGGAAAATCGGCGGCTGCTGTGGGTTTTCTCCGGGCTGAAAAATTGAGATTACTCTTTTTTCAATGTATTTTTAGAAAACCGGATTGAAAGCCAACTGATCGATGAGTTTCTTTCGGCGATTCGGCAGGTCGGAGGTTCCCTGGAAAAAAAAAGATAGAAATAGAGATTGATTGGGAAAAAAGTTGGTTAAACTTTTTGTTTTATCTCTAGTTAGACATGTTTTTCTTCAAAAAAACTCGAATTCATTTTTCTTGTTTGCCCAATTTCGAACAGAGACTTTTGAGTTTCGTTTCAATCCTGAAATGCGGACCTGGAGCATCAAATGTCGGTCATCTTGCTTCAACGGCTTGTTGTACGGATGGATAAGCGTGTCCAGAGTCCCGACCCATTCCAGCGGATACAGTGCCCCGTTACTTTTCTTCGAGCTCTGCAAACGACAAAATCTCCTTGGAATGGCTGAGAGAAGGTTGCAGCGCTTCGGGAGCCAATTTTTCGAAATGACTCTCGAAAAGAGATGGAAATCGAATAAGTGTTTTCAAAGCTTTTCTCTTTTTTTGACTGAAAGTTATTTGAAAACCTATGGTCACAATTGAGACAAAAATTTAAAAAAAAAGCTTTAATTGCACCGCAACCGTAATGCGTCAAGCCATTCCAACTGCGACCAAGTTCAGTAGAAAATATCTCGATAAGCGATAGCAACTTTTCTGCTGCCTTTTGTTCTTCTAAACTTTTATTAGTTTTCATTTCCTAAACTAAGGTCGCATTTGGAATGACTTTTTTCCATTTCCAACAACAAAAAACGTACCATAACACAAGGTAAATGGGGATATCGAAGTTTCGCTTGCAAGTGCTTTTCATAGTATTCGGCAACGCTCAAGATGATGGGCTTTCCGTCTCTGACGAGCTGAAACTCAAAAAATAGAATGTTCTCAATAATTTCCTTGTTGAGAACAAACTTATCAAAACTCGCCTGAAACAAGGTCTTATCGGCTCCTTGCGAGGTCAATCCGTTGTACTCGAACTTCCTGTTATTTCGCATTTCGACACATCTGACGCCTGAACATAGGAAACGTTTTTCTTCTTCCTTCAAACACGCTTGAAAGTTTATCTGGGAGAAAATCGGTATAGTCTGTTCAGATTTTCAACGTCAAGCAGCTAACTCCACCCCCAAGGCTACAATATCCTTCGCGTCAATGTTTTATATCCAGATGACGATGAACCTTTAATAATGCTGCATTTTTGACTTCTTTTTCTATCTTTTAGATCAAAAAAGATCAAAATTAGTCCCGCGCGATAAAACATCGACGCGAAAAGGTACCGTCTCAGCAGGGGCGGAGTAAGCTGGTTGACATTCAAAATATGAACAGACTATAGTTGCGACGCAAAAGATTGGAGTGAAAGGACAATTGACGAGCTGGAGAGGCGCCAGACAACGAGAGCGTCTTTGCAAGTCTGGCATCTCTCTAGGTCGCTGTTGATCTGTCTTTTGACCTCTTTTTTTGAATCGCACTAACTTCTTTCAGCAAAGTGAAAAAAGCGGTTTTTTTTTTGGAATTTCTCCCGATTTCGAAGAGAAGAATGGAGTTAGCAGCCACTTTCGAATGATACCTTTATTCATACATCATTCAAACCTTTAAATATTTGATCCATCACTTTGCGAAAGGTGCTCGACATGCCATTCTCCGTTAAAAAAGCATCTTTTTGCGCCTCTGTCGACGGTGAGATTTCCACGGATTTTGCGCAAGAAATTGCTATCATCTCGTCCGTCAGTCTTCGTGCAGGGCCCACCACAATCGAGTTTTTCACTGGAACATTTCAAATGTTCATTCTTCTGTGGTTCGTGGAAAAAAAGTTAAAGGTTGCACAACACTGTATTTTCTAAAAAAAAAATCTCCAATTCAAATTGAACTATCGCAAAAGGTTGTTAGGCCTAGAAGACGCTCAAAACTTCCCTTTTTCCCTAACTTAATATCGTTATTCAAAATTTGAACTAATAGGCAAAAAGCGCCACCTTTTTTATTTTTTCGAAATCAGGGTCCTCTAGAGCGTCTTTCAGTGAAGTTTGATCAAGTTCTGAAGCGGCCCATTTTTTTCAAGCGATGATTCCGAAAACTTTGGTGTGATGAGATTTTTTGATGATTCCAATTAAAGTTGTGAGTGTAGGATCAGTTCCTAGCCTAGAATCGACGCCTCGAACAAAAAAGCATATCAATTATGAATTGTTCGTTGTCGAATAGACAGCATACCATCGACGTTGCAGAAGATCCCCAGACCCCCGTTCATCTTGATGCTGATCGAAAGGCCGGTCCAGCACTCGAGGCCTCGGAGCAGGTTGACGGAGAGATTTCTGGCATAATTGTCTTGGTAGGGGTTCCTGGCAAAAATCGCACGTCCGATCGTGGCGTAGTGAGCATCGCGAGCGCTTTCTTCGTCCCTGAAACAAATTGAAGATGTTTTCTGAAGATTCGGACGCGAGAAAAGTTTTCAGAAGTTATGCTTTCTCAGCATTTCTCAGCTGCTGAACGAAATTCTCGATTTTTGTCCTATAACTGATTTATGACTCTGAAGTTCGTGAACTACACAAATTATGGAGGAAGGCGTTATTTGAAACTTTCGAAGCAGCAAAACTCCCTAAAAGTCCTAATTAGATCAAATGTTCCACACTAGGCTAAAAAATCTCCCTCTTCCATCTCGGGCTGAATTCAAAATGCGGCATTTTTCAGTCCACTCTCGAACTTTTTTTCGCTTGGCTTTTTGAGGGATCCAGCCCACGTATTTTTCTCGTACTTGAGAACACTAAAGTGGTTCCTTGAAGGATTCCCTCCAGGGACTACTTTACTTGCCTCTATAGGGACCATTAAACTGGCGCTTTTTGAATTTAAAAATGTGAAAAGAGGAATAATAGACCGAATTTTATTAAATGTGCCTTTTTTTTAAATCTCAGATTAGATTAAGAGACCCCTCTAGAGACCAAGCAAGGTTAGGAGATTTAGGGGTCAGATCTAAACAAATGCGAGGGTCATCTGAATTTTACCCTTATTTTTTGTCCCTCCTAAAGGTTTTTTTTTTCTCTAACCTCTGAAGGGGCAACCTAAGCCTTCCTAATGATGTAAAATATACGTCTTTTTCATTTACTCAGTCTTCTTTTCAAGCTGTTTTCCCGTTTCCTGAATGTTTCTGGAATGTCTCCAAAATCAACGAACCGATTGGGATAACGGGCGGCCTGAGTCGCCATGGAGTCGAGCAATCGGCGCATCGAGTCGATCGCCTCTTCGAGGTGAGCCATTTCCGGATAGCTGTAGATTTCGCGGTGGACGAAGCGAATCATGGCCAGAGCAGGTTGAAAGCGTGGCGGTCCTCGGCTTGGCTGAAATTCGTTGAATTTTCTCTGACTTTTTTTCGGAAGTTCTTGATTTTCTATCAAAATATGTGGTTTTGAGACGTGAAGATGAAAATTATACTAGCCCCCAAATTGTTTCAATTTCGAATAATTACCGGAGCCGTTTCCTTCCAAATTCTGGTACCGTCTTGTGTCCGCGTGAAAGGGAACGGGATGTCCTCGAGAGACCTGAAAAAGGAAGATAAAAGGGAGAAAGCCGCATTTCTCAAGCATTTTGTTGAGTCCGAAAAACCGCTCAAGTGGCCACTTGGGCTTGGCGCCTAGCCTTAAATGATTTTTGGAAGAATTACAATTTTAAAAAGGTTATACTTCCACTCAAAACTATATTAAAAAAAGGTCGCCGACTTTTTTCTTCTTTTTTTCAAGTTTCAAGTTGAATTTGGAAGAAAATAGAAAAAATTTTCAAAAACTCTTTAGAATATTTTCCCCGCCATACACTGGCTCACATACAGTGATGTTGGAAAAAGCTACAAACAACTTTCGAAGAATATCAATCATTTTCCGCCTAAAACTCACCAACAGGTCGTCTTATCGTCGAAAACGATCCGATTATCCCCGAGGGCGGGCCCTTCTCCGATCATTTTCCAGAAGACCCGCGAAATGTCTTCCCTGAATCAAAATTATCATGAGCACTTTTTTCTGAAGATTGATTTTTATTTTCTTACGTTTTCTTCATCGGCACTTCCTGTCGGTTCTTGAGCAGGAAAAATTGCATATCATACTTATGAACTCTCATATGTTCCGGCACGTAGACCTGGAAAAATGTTATAAATTTATATTCTTTTGATGGATTTTCGAATCACCCTGACGAAATTCGCGAAAACTTCGCGCCTGTTTTTTCCGCCACATCCTTTGTCCGGTCGCTTGGCAATTTGTTGTTGCGGCACCTGAATTTCCAAGAATTGGTACTGGATTTTGTGGTGATATAGTAAAAACAGAGGAGAATATCTCACCTTTGGCAGCTCTTGTGGCGACTCTTGTCGAACAACTGAAGCAGGAACAATTACAGGAAAAAATTTTTTCTTTTCATATAAATTCAAGATTCGACCTCAGAAGAACAAAAAAAAATGAAATACAAAGCGTCTATAAAATTTAAATTACTGTAGTCATCGCGGCCGCAATTATAACTTAAAGAACACGGTCATTTCCAAAAGCAATTTTTTTTCTTTTTAGGCTGGTATATAAGTTTAGAAGTACCAGGTCGAGGAGGGCCGCCGCGTCCTCCACCTCGCGGCTCGCCGCGTCCGCGACCACCGCCGCGATTTGAGTCGCGTCTGTCGCCGCGATTTGAGTCGCGCCTGTCGCCGCGTCCATCGTCACGACCGAAGTCGCGCCTGTCGTCGCGTCTGTCGTCACGACCGTAGTTGCGTCCATCGTCACGACCGAAGTCGCGCCTGTCGTCGCGTCTGTCGTCCCGACCGTAATCGCGATCGTCGCCGCGACGGTCTCCGCGACTGAAGTTTCGCTCGTCCCCGCGACCATTGCTGTCGCCACGGTAGCCTCTGTTGGAGTCATTACCGTAACCCGGATCGCGATCGCCTCGTCCACGGTCTTGACGATCTTAACCTCTGTGGTTACTGTAGTCCTAACTTCCTTGTCTACCGTAACCGCGTCGGTCGCCACCTTTTTCACCGTAACCGCCACGGTCATCACGACGATCGTCACTGTAGCCTCGTCCCGACATTTTGTAACTGCAAATGAATTCTTGAGGGGAAATAAAATAAAAGTCTTAAAAGTACTGGTTTAAAGGCAGGCGCCTTTAATCCTTTAAGAAGCTTAGCAAGGATTTTTGAAAGAAAGAACGAAATAAAGTTCGAAAAGATCAAAAGAAAGAAATTTGGATGTGAATGCAAATTTACGGAAAAGATAGGAACAGAATATTCGCTAAGACAATATTTTTTAAAAAAATTCCCGCGTTCATTGAAAGATGATATTTGCGGTCTTCAAAATATTGATGTGGCGTGTAAATGAAAAGATTGAAAAATAAAAAATTGAAATCAAAATCCTCATTTCAAAATAAATGCCGAAAAAAAATTGAGAAAACAATTTTGAAACAATAACTCTCTTTATTCTTCTTGGGAAAACAAAATGTTTATTTTTTCGAATAAAAGAGAGAACAAGATTTAAAAGTACATGAGATATGAACATTATATAGTTTTGAAACTTATGACTAGCTTCAAAAAAAAAACCCCAAAACTTCCGTCAAGATAAAATAATGACGAAAACGACGGAGCAAAAGAGAAAAGTTGGAACAAAGAAAAAGAAAAATATAACCGATCGGAATGAAAAGAAGGAGCCTTTATATAGTCGACCTAATGGGAGTTGGATCAGTCTCCAAACCGCCTACTTTTGACACATTTTCTTCACATATGAAACACATTTTTTACAGTTTTTGAGTAGTTGCCGAGGCGAGGAACTGAGTAAACATCTTTTGGGAATTTTTTCGTCACCGATTTTCACACCTTCCATCAAAAAAGGACGTTTTCCGCGCATCTTTGACACATTTCACGTTGTTTTTGAGCTGTTAACGATGCAAGAAGAGGTGAAAAATCAAAAATATTAGAAAATATATTCAATGACCTCATTTCAAAGAATGCCAGAAAATATTTGTTCTCAACAAAAAAAAGTCATTCATTTTTTCAACCAACATTGATTCGAAGTTTTTTTCGAAGGAAATATTGAAAAATTTGAGAAAAATTAGAAAAAAAGGAGCAAGTTCTAGAAAAAAATAGGTAAATCAAACTTTCTCTGATTTCAAAAAGTTAGAACTAACTTAGAAGGAACGAAAATGACAGAGCAAAAGAAAAATTTTTTTGATTAAAAAAATCTTTTTTTGTAATCTTTTCTAACGAAACTTCAACTTCAGTAATAAAAATAACAACGAAAACGAGGGAGACAGAGGTTCGAAAAAAGGAGAAGATATCTGATCGAAAAAAAAAGAAGGAGCTCTTATGTAGCCGATCTGATGGGAACTGGATCAACTTCCATGCCGCTCACTTGTGACACATTTTTTACAATATTTGAGTCGTTAATTAGGCGAGAAGTTGAGTAAACATCTTTTGGGAACTTTCGCCACCGATTTTCGCACCTTCCATCAAAAAAGGACGTTTTCCGCGCATCTTTGGCACATTTCAAGTCATTTTTGAGCTGTTAACGGGGTGAGAAGATGAGAAAAATTCAAATTTGAAGTACTATAGTCAAAGATCTCTCAAAAAAAAAAAAATGTAGAGTACTGGCCATAACGGTGTTTCAAAGCGGTTCTTTGGGCTTAACTTATTTGAAAGTGGTTCAAATGTCTTGAAACCTCGCACCGATTTCAAATAGCTGTACAGTAATTTATTTCCGAAAGCAGAACTCATTTGCTTGAGACAGATCATATTTGTGAGCAAAAAAGCAAAATCGTGAAAATAGAAATTTTTCTGTTGTAATTTGAAAATTCACATTTTCTGAGAAGCTTCGACATTAAATCTGGAACTTCTTTCCCTTGTAAAACAAGTCTTCAGCTTTCCAAAAAACCTAATCAGACCCCGACCGATCCGATAGTATGCGCGCAGTGACTTATTTTTTCGGAAGGTCCTATCGATTTGAGGTCTCGCCATTCTAATGGACTATACGTAGTCAATTTTGTTTGAGGACACTACTTTTCATGTTTTAAAAACTTGTTTCACAAGGGAGAAAAGTTCCAGATTGAATAATTTGATTTTTGAAAAATCAAATTTTCTGAGAAAAGCACAAATCACAACAGAAAAATTTCTATTTTCACGATTTTGCTTTTTTGCTCACAAATATGATCTGTCTCAAGCAAATGAGTTCTGCTTCCGGAAATAAATTACTGTACAGCTATTTAAAATCGGTGCGAGGTTTCAAGACGTTTGAACCACTTTCAAAAAAGTTATGCCCAAAAAACCACTTTGAAATACCTTTATGGCCAGTACTGTACATAAAAAAGGAAACGCCATTAAATCACTGATCAGAGAGAACTGGTGAGAATTGAGAAAACCATTAAGAATGATGCTAATGACAAAAAAAAAGAACCTTTTTGGTGACAAGATGAAAACTATAATTTTGAAGAGTTTCAAGCAAAAAGGTTAGGATTCTCAAATTTAAAAAAAGTCAAAAAAAAAACCAAAAAAGGTTTTCATGGCCAGGTGTCTCAACAGGTATGCCCGTACTAGCTAGAAAATTTAGTTTTCAACGGATGTAAGAAGAAATTGGTGATCCAGCTGAGTTTGAGACTTAACTATACTGAAGCGGTGCCTCAAATTGGGTAGATTGTATCAAAATTTCTACCTGATGTGCTTCTACGGGTTCGATACGGGGACACCTTCTGAGAGCCATTTTACCCTCATCAGCATGAGAGCAGGCTCTTGAAAAAGATTTTTTTGAATCGATTGGGCTTCAAAAAGTGTTTTTATTATCTATTGTGGTTTTTCCTTTCGGAATAAGTCGAATAGATCTTCTATGTGTTGAAAATATGTTTATCAAAAACTATATCTAGAAAATTTACTCGAGCTTTTGGCCAAATAATAGGAAAGGTGTTCAAAAATTCAATATTATAAATTTTTCTTATCTTTTTAACAGTACAGAGTTTTCTATTCCTGAGAATGTCTAAGATATAGAAACCAAGGAAAAAAATATAACTCTGACTCGGAAATTCGAAAAAAACCTACGGAATCAGACCATTTTCGAGACCCCTAGTTGGACTGGTCCAAAAGGTCTTTTTTCGAAAAACTGAAAACCTCATTTTTGGCACTTTTAACTGTTCGTAAAGCACTTTTTTGTTCAGATTTTTTAGTCAAAAAACTATTTTCTTTATTTTTCATGTTTTACGAACTTCCAAAGTTTCTTCGTGTGCATAATTTCCCGCTGAATCCAAAAATTCAAATTTTCACCTCTCATTTCGAAAAACGAACATCAATTTTCAATCGAAATTTCCATTTGGCCAAAAAAAGTTTTGAGAGCATTTTTTTTTCGTTATTTTCGTGTTTTACTACAGTTTTTCTACACAAACTGCTTGAAAAACGTCTTTGTGGTGAAATTTCTCGTTTGGCGTTACTAAAGCGTACGGAGAGCGTTCTGTCGAGTTTCGAAGGCAGCGCGACATCGCACGCGATTCCGGACCGTCGTCTCGACTCGTCAAACACTCGAAAAGTAACGAGAAGGTCGAGAAAGATCGAAAATTTACGGAGCTCATTAGAGGATATTTAGTTTCTTGTCTCTGACAAAAGGTTAAATACTTGGATTTTTCGGAAACCATCCAAAATAAGCTCCTGAAAGCTTTGAATTGTGAGTTCCCCTGATGAAATTACAATCCGAACTAAAACTTGAAAAACTTCACAATTTTAAAAGGACTTGAAAAACTTTGAAATTTTCGAGTTCAAACCACAATAACGTTTTAGACGGAAAAATTGCACCGAGGGAAATCTCTTGAGGAAAAGCACGGACACGAGTTTGCGGCCAACAGATTAATCAACCTTCTTGAAGCAACTGACTTCGCAAAAAAAAAGAAGGAGAAGTTCCCTTCTTTTTCTTGGAACTTTCGTGCCGTTCAACATAGGAACTTTCTGGGTGAAACCATAGAAAAACTAAAAAATTGCTCCAAAAAGTACATTTTTTGTTTCAAAGCAGTTTTTTGGGTTCACGTCTGTTTTGTCCAATGTTAACATTTTTTCCTTATCTCTGAGACACAAATAAATTTGGAAAAAGAAAAAAGAAAGGTGATAAGATAGTAATGAACAGTCTTTTTCACGAAAAAAAGCTGTCAGTTCAGCTAAATCCCAAAAAGTGATTAAAAAAAGGAAAAAGTTATTTCAGAATTTTTTTCGTCGTATAATAATTCTGAGACAATTTTTTTAGACATCAGGATTCAAAAAAAACCTGATAAAATATTAAAATCAATACAAAGATGAGAAAAAAGTTTAGAAAAAATCGTTTTAGAATGATATGGACTTAATGTAGACTAAAAAAGCGGGTTAGAAATTAGGAAGTTTCTTGAGACATGTTGATCCGTAAAATGAAACGATTGGTCATATCCTTATAAAACATTTCTGTGAATCAATCAGTAACAGAAACCTCTGGAAAATTATCCAAATTACTACTAGAGAACTTGAAAGAAATTTAAAAAGAATTTTGAAACATTATCATCAAAAAGATCGTTAAAACGTTGCGAGAATCAGAAATTAGACTTGGAAACTCAAAAAAATGGGCGAGAAACTATAAAAAAACTAATTACAAGAGAACTTTTTCGAGCCCCGGGTAGGAATTTTGAAGAAACTTGGCTAAACGCTCTCAAAATGAATTTATCGAAGGAAAAATTGAAAAAAATTCACAAAGGTCTCGAAAAAAAAAAGCTGGAAAAATACTAATGCGTATGAGTCGAAAAGCCATAGGAACCAGTGGAGCCACCCAAAAACCGTAAAAAATGAGACGCGGCTAGGAAACGAACGGGGCGGAGGCTGGGGCTGAGGCGAAAACGAGAACGAGAGAGGCCAGAGACGGCGGCTGTCGGCAGAGAGAGCACTCCGACGCTTGGAGGGGGACAGGGAAACTAGAATGGCCGAGGGACGCAGTAGCCAGGCTGTAAAATGAGCAACAGCTTTTTGAAAAATTTCTTGACCTCGTAAAGTTTCCGAAAAGGGCGAATTACCAGGATTTTCCTGCCGGTGCCTTCGAAACGACAAGCTT